AAAAAAAAAAAAAATAGCCTTGGGCCTCGTCTCTTGCATACTGGATGATTTCTGATCATTATGATGTAGATTACTTATCGACGTCATCCCTTCAAAAAAGCCGAGACCAGATCAACTGTCAAAGGATTACTAATCTTTTATTCTAGTAAAGCGTCTACCATATCACAATATTCTATAGATTACCAAATCGATTGCCAGTCCATCCCGCATCAGTGGCCATGGAAATCTTGCTGAGACACAGGTGTTGTGACGAATGACGCGAATATACGACCCTATACTGTCTAGCACAATGATATCGGCCGATAGACTTATATGGAAGATTTATACAAAATGGTGGATTACCCATAATGGCTCTTCTGTATAAATAACGAACCAACTCTCTTCCACAGTTAAATATTTACCAAAGATCATTATTCAGGATTACCATGGGTGCTCCTCTTGTAACCGTTCTTGTAATCGGAGGCACAGGTGCGCAAGGCCAGCCTGTTGTAAAAGGTGCGTCATATATCAACACTAATAGATAGATCCTTTATTAATATTATTAGAACTCTCCGCAGATGGCCGCTACAAAATCACTGTATTGACGCGCAGTGCACAATCCGAACCCGCACAGGAGCTTGCATCGCTGCCAAACGTCACAATACTGGAAGGCGAAACCTTCGACGAGCAAACCCTCATGAAAGCATTCAAAGGCATCGATGCGACTTTTGTCAATACCAACGGATTTGCCATCGGCGAGAAAGCCGAGGTCTACTGGGGAATCCGCATCTACGAGATTGCATACGGAGCAGGAGTCAAGCACTTCATCTGGGCCTCGCTGGCCTACTCCTCGAAGCTAGCGCACTTCAACCCCGACTTCCACTGTGGGCATTTAGATGGGAAAGGGAAAGTGACAGATTATCTTACCTCGCAGCCTACAGACCATATGGCGTGGTCAGTCCTTCTTTCTGCTCCATATGTGGATACGCTCTCTCAGCTATTGAGACCAAAGCCTGATCCGAATGACCCAAGTCTGATGGTCTTTTCAGCGCCACTTGGCAACACTGCCATGCCTCTCATTGAACTGGGAGACCTCGGAAAATATGCCAAATGGATGTTCGATCATGTGAAGCGCAGCAACGGCATGACGCTTAAGATAAGCACAGAGCATATCCGCTGGGCAGACCTGGCGAAGGATTACACTGCTGTTACCGGACGTAAATCAATCTACAGAGACGTTACCCTCGACGAGTATTTTGCATCCGGAGCCTTCCCTGACCCAGAATTGAAGGTAGGACATAGTGTAACACACGACGATCCGACGCTGCAGACATACCGGGAGAATTTCTCGGCTTTCTGGAGACTGTGGAAGTCTGGCCTTGATACGAGGGATTATAAGATCATGGACGAGATTTTACCTGGAAGGATTCGCAGTGTCAAGGAGTGGATGGTAAAGACTGGGTATACAGGCGAGCCTGGAAGAGTCCTAAAGGACTATATTGACAGGGAAAGGAAGAAAACTGGATGGCCACTTCTTGGATAACCTCTCGAACTTCCTTCCACACCAAGTCTCTCACACAAATACTTGGGTAATAGTAATGGAAAAATAAATACCATTTGCATCCAGCCTGCAAACCTGCAAATCCGCATCTATATACATGAACCCCATCAGCTGGGATCAAAATAGCACCCTGTGTTAGCTGCTCTTTTGAACGCTCCAACACCGACTCCCGTGCTTCCCCAATCTAGCCCCTTTCGCCGTGCTTTTCAATCTCCAGTGCTCCCGCGCTCTCGGTAATCCATGGAACTTCTCCTTGCTCCATCTTCTTCGCTCTTGAAGCCGTTCCGCGAGCAATCTTCCACCCCGGCGCCACGCACACCTACTCCAGTTAGCAAACCTCGCGGTCAAGGTAGCCATTGTCGCTGCAATTAGCCATCCCATTAGTAGCCGTCCTCATCAGCCGTCGTTTCATCGTTAGCTGCACCGGCGGTCGTCGCGAAGGGATCGACACCGTCTTCACACTGTGGGGTACGTGCGTTGCTGTTCGCGTGGCGCTGCCGAGGTGGGGTTCTGAGTCGGGAATAAACGTTATTTTGACGACACCAGGTCGTCTGCGAGGGCGGTCATGTTTTCTAGTCGGGGTCCGTGTAAGCATTCATGCTCGGATGACGGTTGGCGGTACTTATATACCATTTGGAGGTCGTCGATCGTGATCGTTCTGATCGCGATTTGGAGATCAATCCACGCATGTTGAAGATCTTTCCATGCGTGTTGAAGATCTTTCCATGCATGTTTTACCCATGTATGTTGAAGGTCTTGCCGCGCATGTTGAGGATCTTTCCACGCGTGGTCGTTCTCGCGGCTAGGCCATGGCATAGCCACACCATCTTCTGGTCCTGCCGCCTTGTCGTCTGCCCATCTTGCGGCTTTCCCAGCTTGTAGGCCATCCATCCGTCGCTGCCTCTTCGTGGCCACGTCCGCTTGCGGCTTTCCCACTTTGTGGTCCTGCCAGCTTGTGGTCCTGCCGCATCATATCCGCCCAACTTGCGGCTTTGCCAACTTGTAGACCTTTCTTCACTGCCTCCTCATGGCCTACTCAGCTCGTGGCCTCGCCTCTAGTGGCCTCTCATGGCCCTCCAGCTCGTAGCCTCTCCAACATGAGGCTTCCCCCTCTTGTGGCCTCTCCAGAGGCCTCCCTATAGCCTCTTTCAACATATGTTCTCGCGAACGCCTTGCGCCCGTCCGCAAAAACGAATGCTTCTTAACGATCGACCCAAAGAAAAAATCCGATTGATAAAATCAACGCGCAACAGACTCTTTCAACATATGTTCTGTCGAACGCCTTGCGCCCGTCCGCAAAAACGAATGCTTCTTAATCGATCGACCCGAAGAAAAAATCCGATTGATAAAATCAACGCGCAACAGAACGAAATAGCCTCCTCACATCAAGCCCCTGCAACTCTTACCGCTCCTCTTCACTCCCAACGCCCAAACGTAACAAGCACTCGGATTTTTTGTCATTTTCTCAGCACATGGAGCAAAGAAGAGGAGGCCTTTCACACCCCGGGGAGGGGTATTTATCTCCTTTGGTAAATGGTTTTATTGCTCTCTTTCGCGAATGTTCTCTCCGTCTTACCTTTGACGAATGTAAAACCTGCCCGCTTTGGCCTGACCAATATAATTCTTACCCATCTTGTAATTGATGCCATAGCACAGACTGGAACCATGGGGGAGATTCAAAGCCCGTACTCTATCCCTGGTACCGAGGGAGATGAGATCATATAGTCTCGTGACTTGAGGCGAAGCACTAATGTTATGCTTGTGGCAACCTTATGTCCCCCAGTAGTAGGTGCATGGGATCGATACCAATGGGTGCGAGAATATGTTCGTTTGCCGCCCAATGCGACTTGTATTTCTGACACAGTGGTTTTGACATATCGAAACCAAGGATGAAGGATGGAAGGCCACGGATGTGGTGCCACGGCGTGCGAATAGTGTATGTGATCCCGTGACTTCAGGACGTAAGGGGGTCTGCAGTGGCGAGGGTCATGTGAAGGTTGCTTATGCTGTGGATATGAGGCAAGGGACAGGCAAGGGGTAAATCTGATGTTGGATGAGGTATTATGGAACACAGGTAACAGGGTACTTTTTGGTGGTTACCAATCCAACAACAAAGGCTGCTGGATTTGGAGTCTTATAGCTGGTCACTACTTTGCGTATCCTAACCACTTGACAAAGCTCCAAGGCACAACATCGTCTTTGCCCGGAACTAATCCTCGTGCAACAACCCAGACAAATCCTGGCCCAGTCCAAGCGGTCCATGCTAGGACCCATATGTAGCCCAGCACCTTAGTGACCCTCCTCGTGGTTACATTACTAGTTGTAGTTATACCTATTGCCGCCCAGATATAGAGCACCGTGCTCTCTATCATAATCCCAACAGCCTGCATTAAAAAGAACTTTGGCAAATCGAGTGCAAACGGGCTTTCTCCGAGAATGACTACCCCAGGGAGGTGAAGGAGCGCAGTGACATAGAACGCGAGGAAGAGTCGAACATAGCGCGAGACTATTTTCCAGTGGGGAGGTATGCAGAGTACACGAGTAGTGACGAAAGAAGTGAAGGCCTCTAGAGATGACCGAAAGATCTGGTGCCAGGTTATCCTATAAATTTCTTCCGTTAACGACCAGCCGCAATAAAATTAAGGAATTAGGCGCAGCCTTACCCCCAAAATCGACGCAATGTATAAGCTTCTCGAAAGCTACCAAATAGTGGAGGCCAGTTCCGTGGCTCACTTCTACCAGAGAAGACTGCGGTGACCGATGCAATATTGTATGCGATGGTAAAGATACCATAGATGGAGAATGCAGGGAGCAGGACGGTGATTGGCCGAGCAATGATCTCCTCGAGTGGGATATCCCCTATTCGAGAGAAAAGTGCTTGCTTATATTCAGGGACGTCTATTTCCGGGTTGGGAGCTGGTAGGGATGCGAATATTGCGTCTAGAGCCAGGTACGTAATGAGAATGTGGGCTATTCTTCCCCTCAGAAATTCGCCCTTGTTTGGAACGTGTTCTGGGTGATCTCTCGAAAAGGTAGGTAGTCCCTTTATGGACCATGACGTGTTGACATTCCGGAGGTTAAATAGAAGACACCAAGCTGTAAAGGTTCGCCCAAGTCCTGATCGAGACGCAGAGGATGCACTTTGCTTTGGTTTTGAAGTTGTTACCGCGCGCAAATAAACTGCTTTCCACAATAGCAAATCGAAAGCTCGTAGATGGAATATCCAAACCAATGACATGAATACGCCATCATAAGTGCTATTCCCTGTAAACACTGGAACGGAGTACTGCAGTTGCGCGGCGATTGCTATTGATAGGAAAAGAATTGAGGCGCGCTGGAGGACATGTGATGGATCAATGAAAACAATGGCATATGCAAATACAAGAGGAGAAGTAAGAGCAATTGCTCCTAGGTATACCGCCGGGGATGTTACTACTAAAATAGACATCATGAGACCATATGTTTGATTTCAAGATGATTTACAAATATTTATGAAGTTGTTGATAAACACGCTGCTGATGTGAGATTTTAGTCGGTGCCAAGGCTGTAACAACACCTCAATAACTTTCAGATTTTTGACCACAGCCCATTTTACCATCCCCCCATAACAAATTTTTATGTATTTTACGATGTTTTAAGTGTTACGAAATCTGGTGTTGTGAGAAGACAGTCAGGTGAGGTGTGGGGGTGCAGAACGGGTTTGGGTATGTGCATCGAGGTAAGGAAGTGATACACCAAACATCTGAAGAAAGTAATACAGAATGCATCATCGCATATTGAAACTGCGAGAATAATTATGAGTTACATTGTCGCCTTGCATATGTCGTGGGGATAAGTACGACGATCGATGCTGCAGTACGTAGGGATGTCAAGATGTCATTAAAGGTTATCCTAACGACAATGCGGTGCTGGGAGGGGAAGCAAGGATGGTTTTGAGTCTGTGTAATTGAGCTGGGTGGAATAATAGAAGCAGATAAAAGACGATAATGTTCATCCGGTCGTGCACGTCACAACAATCGCAAGTAACTCAAGATCAATTTAATGAATCAATTTCAACTATCAATCCAATCTAGATATGATTTTCCGGCCATACAGCAGCGCGTCCGCTTCCTGTATTCCCAACTCCGCCACCTTCTAATCCGTCCCAATTTTCATTTAAATCCCAGTCGTTCAAAGCCGCAATCCAGCTGCGGCTCGAGTCCTTTTTCAGTAAAAACAACGCCGGCCAAAATTCAAACTTTTTGTCGTTCTCTCAATCACGAGATTTGACTAGATGCACGAGGATGCTTTAGACGTAAAGCATATGCCTCGCGTGCCTGCGCTTGGCGCCGGCCTTGGTCCCGATCAGACACTCGAGCTCGGTCTCCGGTGTGGACAGCGTCTGGATGTCGTCTGGGAGGTTGTATGCGTTGCTGCAAGGGAAGGTTTGACACCCGCTCATCGGGGTCTTGCTGTTCTTCGGGTACAGCATCTTCACTCCGTCGTGGTCATCCGGGTTGACGATGGCGCTGACATCGAAGTAGTTCGAGCCGCTGAAACCGTCCCATCTCACTTCACCGAGCATGCCGGGCTTGTTCTCCTTGCCCTCCGAGACGGTGTACCAGTTGCCTACCCATCCGTCGGGGAAGGTGGCCTCTTTGGAAGCTCCACCGGGGAGGTCCATGGATGGGATTTCGGGCGAGCCCTCTTGAGGTGTGAAGATGACTTGGCGGTTTGTGCTGTCTTGCGAAACCATGTTAACGGTGTTCGCGGCGGCGGCGACGGCAAATAGCGTCGCGATCGGGAGAGATTGCCAGAATTGCATTGTGTCGGTTTGGTTGTGGGTTGAGTTGTTCGTATAGGTAGATTTAGGTTGCTGTGTGGCTGTATTTGAAACTCGTTTTTTTTAATGTTTTAATATAAACTTCGAGTTCGAACTGGAGAAAAGAAAGAGGACCGAAACGACACGGTGGAGGGGGTTTATATAGACATCAGGTCAGGGCCATCGAAAGGTGAGCGTTGTAAGCTTTGCCCGCGGAATGGGGTGCGGATGGGGAGAGGAAATCGGCGCAATTCATTGTGGACACCCTTGCCTCCAACTTGACGTTGTATAGGCCGGTCCTGAGAGGGTGAAGGGTCTGGCTCGATGTTGGTTTACCAATGGGTATCTACATGACGGGAGAAGTTGAGCTGTCATGCTTGGTGGGGTCGAAGTCGTCCGAAAACGCCCTCGAATGTGCCTGGCGGGTGAGTGTCTAGAACTTTGGGTCCCGCTGTTCTGGGTGGACCGACTATTGGATCTTGACTCGGGTACCTGGACGGGTGAGGAACCCTGAAGAATCGAACGAAGTGGACCGAGGTCGTTGAGACCGGGCGGCCAATGAGAATATCTTTTGGAACATTACTATGAATGCCCTATGATCTGTTGGCGGGAGGCGACATGGAAATGGAAATCCCGTGATCTCCCTCCTGGTCACTTCATTTCACGGGTAACAGCCCCCTTGGTAGAATAGAGGACTGGCACAGAGCGTTTCTGGTAGAATGCATATGGTTCTGGAGTGTTTTCTGGTAATATGCATCTGGTTCAGAGCGCAAGCGGTAGACAGTGTACCTGGTATAGAATGCATGCTGTTGGTGGTTTGTGCGGTGGAACCTGGTTAAGGGTAGTAAGACGTTCAGTTTGAGGGTATCTCACCCCTCACCTTCTTTACCCCTCGCCCCCTCCTGTTCCCTTCCTCCTGTTCCCTTCCTTCCTCCCTTCTTTCCTCCCTTCTTTCCTCCCTTCTTTCCTCCCTTCCTTCCCCTCCGAACAGTGCATCTCCACACCAAAATCAACGCGTGGCGATAGTGGATCGTGGCTTATCTTGGCAACGATCATCCGCTTGTGCCTGCCCTAATGCCCTACCTTAACCCGTCTGCGCCAGTCAGAAGCCGTAAATGGCTGTTGATGGGTTTTCGTCTCCACGCTCCTGCCGTACCGAAACATTGCCATGCCGCGATGATCGGGGATTTGAACTTTCATCGCTCCACAGGGCTGACCTACCACCTCCTCCGTGCTTGGGGGAGCTTGGTGATACCCTCTACCTCCCATCCAACATTCCACAGAAAGAGTATCCGCTCTGGGAATGTACGTACTGCATCTGTATGTACATGTACGTATTGCACGGTAAGCATGCCGGCAAACACCACACACCACCACTGCCAACATCCCACAAGTCCCTTGCTTCCCATTCCGACATTCCGACAAACGATCGACTTCTCGACTGAGACACGCAACACAGTGGAGTTGAGTGAATAATGTGGACCCTGCAAAAAGAGCCTTCAAGAGCTTTTCATGTACCACCTATCCTGACACGACGACCATGATGGGCCCACGGCCGCCGCGCAGTCGTTCCTTCCTCCTTCGGACCTTCCTCCCAACGGCAACTTCCACCACCACGATGCCATTCTTCCCTTCCACCAAAAGTCTGTCGCTCACCGTGGGCAGACATATCACTTCACCCACCCCCACGCAACCCCGACTTCCCTCCGCTTCCGCTCCCTCTCCCTCGTATGCCCGTTATGGATCTTGCGCGCAGTGGACCTAACCCCCCCCACCACTTCCCACCTGTGTCTGTACAACGTATGTATATACGTATTCATTCCTGTTATTGTTCTGGGCCCTGTGTACCTCGAGTTAGCTGCATCGTCGGTGGTCGACGGTCTAGATCTTTGCGAAGATGTTTCAAATAAGGTTACGTCAGCCGGATCTTTGCCACATTGGCTCGCCACCCGTTGTTGATCGTTGCTTGTTCCTGCGCCGCGGGACGAAAAATTGTCGATGCGCTGGCTTTTGCACGCTGATCTTGACCCTGTTCCTGGGAGGGAGGGCGAGAGGTGGGTCTGAAGGGGGGGTATTTGGGTCCTGTTCCTGGGACCCGGGTCGAGAAAGCTCTTTGCTGTGCCTTTTGGCTTGTTGATCTTGACCCTGTTCCTGTTGCGTGCAGGAGGGAGATCGCTGCCTGTTTCTCTCGCGCGGGTGAAGGGATCTCTGCCCGTTCCTCGTATCCCGATCGAGGAGGTCGATCGATGCCTGTTCCTGATTCGCATGTGGTTGAAGGTTTGTCCTATCTCGTCAATGCTATTATTCATGTTATTTGTAATTGATTTTGGTCTGTTTTGACCTGGTGTCAGAGTAATCTGTGCCATGGCCGGATTGAGAGCTCCGTCTTCTTGGTGTCTACGGCCTCTCGCTCTCGAGAGCCATTCGCAGTGCGAAGGATTCTCGGAGGAAGCGGACTTCGTGTCATAGCTTGACATGCCCGTTGCAGGGGGCGGATTTTGTGTCATTGATCGGCCTGATTCAATCCCTTTGATGAAGGTAAAGTGTTGGTTTGAAATGCTGTCGTGCAGGTTCCATAATTGTCGTTGTTGAGACTCGCCCAATGAGGCCTTCAAATTTCTTTCTTCCAAATTGGGATTTATAAGTTGTGAATTATCTATTTGAATTTTGATACAACTTAATATACAAGCCAATGCCCGAGTGGGGTTATGTATGTGGCTTTGGGTGGTGTTTGTGTGCTGAAGTCGATATTGAGCCTCATTGTTGTCAGCATCCACACACACGTCAACGCAAGTCGTATAAGTATAAACATATATATAAGCTATGCGACTCAATAGGCCTTAAAATACCCTAGTGGGATTATGTATGTGACTTTAGGTGTGGTTGCTGTGCTGAAGTGGAGGTTGGCGACGTCGATATTGAGGTCTTAGAGCCCCATTGTTGATAGTATCCACAGCCACGTCAACATAAGCCATATAAGTATAAACATCTATATAAGCTATATAACTTCATCTACATTCAAAGAAAAGGGCAAAAATATAGCTCGATATCTAAAAATGCAAAAGACCCATCAGATCTCGTCGTTTTGAGATCCGATGGTAGAAAATCACTTGATTTTACTTTTTTTTGTTGATTGGTGGGAGTCGAATTGGTGACCTTTTTTATTCATTCCAAGCCCTGGCCAGATTGTCCAGACAGTGGTACTTCCACTGCGCCACTGTGCCGCTTGATTTAAAGGCGACTTGAGTTGCATTATAAGGGTTGGGTTGTTTCGCTTGGTGTTGTGGTGTTGTGGTGTTGTGGTGTTGTGGGATTGTTGTTGGGAAAGGGGGGAAATAGGTGGGAATTCCCCCCTATCCCCCCAACTATCCCCAACTCTCCCATATAAGCGCGACAGATAGTAAATACAGGCGCTTAACGTTTTCACCCACCTCCTTTTCGGTTGAGGGCTACAGGGCTAGCCTATTTATTTACCGCACACTTCCAGACGCGCCTCTTCTTCTTTTCATCCTCCACATCACAACTTCACAACTTCCACCTTCGTCTTTCGTTACAACACAACAACAACTTTCATTTCGTCCGTCGTTACAACTTCACTCTACACTATCGTTTCATCACCCTTTCATTTGTTTCCAATCAATTCAAACTTCAACCACACTCGTTATTTGATCTCATCAATTCAATCTTCCAATCCATCAAGATGAAGATCATCCAGGCCATCCTTTCCGCCTTCTGGCTTCTGACTCTCGTCCATGGCGTATTCGGAGTTGGAGTCGGTGGATTTCTCAACCTCGGCGGCGCTGGAGGTGGCGGCGGTAGTGATAAAGCTGCCGTTGGTCATGAGGTTCTTCCTTGGTTCACCATCACCCCTCCCTCTCCTCCAACGATCACCCCTTTCCCTCCTGACTTTGGTGGAACCAACAACATCTACAAGACCACTCCTGATGTTCCATCAACCCCGACTGAGACTGAAGCTTCCGCCACTCCTGTCGACACTGCTGTCAGCACCGAGGTCACCGCTAACACTGCTGCCATCACTGGGCCCAGCGAGTATCCAACTGCTGCCATCACCGAGGTCGTCAACACTCCAATTGCCAGCGAGGTCGTTAACACTCCAGTTGCCAGCGAGACTGTCGATATCTGGGTCATCACCACCGTTTCTGCCTACGTCACGATCTGCCCCAGCCCAACCACCTTCACTCAGGGAGTCCAGACCTACACCATCACCGAGGCCACGACGCTGACCATCTCCAGTAAGTACACCCCCTCCCCAACCCATCCGATCTAGACTAACCCTCCTCCAGACTGCCCATGCACCATCAGCTACCCCGCTCCGCCAACCGTTGCCACCAACCCTCCATCCGTCGAATCTGTCCCTGTCCAGCCCATTGGAACTGCTCCCGTCCAACCCGTTGGAACCGGTGTAACCCCCGGTGGCAACCCAATCATCAACACCAACAACACCGTCACCCCAGTCGTCAATCCCCCAGCTGTCTCCTCCAACTCCACGCGCACGACCTTCATCGCCGTCACCGCACCTCCACCACACGCCACCCAGCCACTCATCACCCTCGGTGGTAGCACGCCTGTCATTCCCACCCCCGTCGCTGAGACTCCCGTCCCAGTGCCCAACACCCCGGTGGTCCCTGTGCTGCCTACCCCGACTCCTGCTACTGGAGGCGCGGGTCGCGTTTTCATCGGCCTTGGGGCTGCGTTTCTCAGTGGTATCGTCGCTGTCTTCCTCTGAGCGGCCGACGTGCACCGCCCCTGCGCACATGTTTCATCTGTGTGTGGCTGGTGTGTTTACTAGCCTCGTTGCTGTGGAAAAGATAGGATTTGAGCTTACGAATAATGGATATTTTTAATGGGATATGAGGATAATGGATGCAGTTTGTTTTTGTGCTCTACTGGACCTGATCTTGATGCTTTTTGTTCGGATTCGCTCGATTACTATGGACATGCTGATGATGAGAGATCTGTTATGAATGGGCTCAGATAGGCTATGGTAACTACTTCAATGCAAACTACTGTCATTGAATTTGTTCGTATCATGCATGTTTTGTGAATTTAAGTGACGGAGTATGAGGTGAAGTGAATTTGATGTGATGAATTCATACTTGTGTTTCCCAAATGTAGTCCCAGGGCCTGCGCGTAAATTACACCTTGCACTGCCACCCACAGCACGACACAACGGCTCCGCTCAAACAGCGTCACGACCAACATCGAGGTTAAAGTCGGTCTGGGATTAACAAGGGGGGAAGTATCAAAGCACACGAGAGATTCATTTAACAGATGCTCTTGTACTATGTATAGTTGACTTACAAAGTACGATTAAAGAACAAATTCTTCGTATGGTCATTTGCGTACATCGGCACAAAATCCGACGCAAGATACCAAGTAGGTTTCTGCATAGCATCGGCAATAACCTTCCCATTAACAACCAGATTCTCAAACGTCACTCCATCAATACTCTTCTCCTCACTATACCCTTCAAAAATCGACGGATTGGCATTCGTGCCCTCATAGGTTAGATTTCTAATCGTCACATTCCGTATCCCTCTCCCAGGCGAAGTGTTGTATTTCGAGTTAAACATAACTCGTATATTGATCAATTGACCCTCGCGGAAATCTTCTACCCGGACATCCTCGATGAGAACATTTTGGACCAGATTGCTGTCGCCGGGGTTGATGGCTATGCAGCCTTGATATAGCATCTGCGGTTCACGATGGTCGAGGATATCAATGTTCTTGATGACTATCCCATCCATAGTCTCAGGAGAATCAGTGTTCCCATGCGTCCCGATGTTGATCGGATGCGCGACATCAGCCCAGAGCGAGGAATTCTGCAAAGTGATGTTTGAGGAGTTGCCGTAGTAGTCCCAGCGGTGATTGTATATAGCGACGCAATCGTCCGAGTTCCGCATGAAGATATTGTCAACCAAGGTGTCGGAGCAAGAGAAGAGATCAATACCGTCGCCGTTTCCTTTTGAGCTAAAAGCGTGGAAATCCTCGATCGTGAGTTGATTTGCCTGGCCTGCTGTCACAGCGTACCCGTTGGGATTCAGCACCGTAACTCCAGAGATAAGAATTCTTTCTGAGTAAGCAACTGTGATGGCGCCGCCGGGAGTATTGTAGAGTATTCCTCGACCACGGAGAGTTGCGTCATGAACGTTAGTAAAGTTGACGCCGGAGGTGAGAACACCACCACCGGCGATGTAAACCGTTTTCCCGCTAGGCACTTGAAGCACACCCCCAGAGACACTGTGCATGCCTGGACCAAAATAAATGACATCCGTATCGTTGGCTGCGGGAACATTGGTCTCGATACTGCCAGCGAACAACTGTAAGCAGTCGAAAATCTCGTCGTTGACTTGGATTACGAGATTTCGGGGTTGGACGAGGCTGAATTTCAAGGTATTGCCTCTCACTTTGGGGATAATTCCATACGAGTTGGGACGTATATCCGCTGAGTGGACAGCAGATGGGTTGTATGTGACTTCCACATCGACTGTGCCACTGAAATCGAAGTAGGCCATCGAAGATTCTTGTATTTGGCCACTCCCACTCGTAGTGTTGATGAGAGAAAGTTTCGCTAAATAGATATCAAGTGGTACCCATTCGGTCTTTGGTGATCGCACCATGACGGAGAATGAACCTTTGGTAGGCATCTCCGTTGGTCTGGGGTATACTTTGAGTTGGGCATTGTGTGGATGTGCTGTTGCGAGACTTTGAGCCAAGGTAATAGTGGCAAGCACAATAATGCTAGTGATGGAGTTAATGGAAACCATTTGGGATAATGAACGATGCAAAGTGCAAGAAGGTGCAGCGTATTATTAATGCGAGGTTGGAATAAACATAAGCCTTTTAAGCATTAACGAGCTGTATGTTTGAGAGCTTGCCGAAGAGAGTCCTCGGCATTGTGAACTTCAAAGAAGCCCCACTAGGACTTCTCAGCGAAAAATATGTCCCCTACTGTCCCGGACATAGCAACAACTCCCGGCCAGCGGAGGAATGCAGATATGGCGTCCGAGATATTCAGTTTGCTGGAGAAATCTAATCAGCCCTGCGGGTTGGGGCGTTGGTGTGGAGAAAGCTGGAGACGATGTGGCTAGGGACTCGAACCGGCGCATATAGCGGCATGCTCTCCGCTTCTCCACAACCCCCGCAAAAACCCGCCAAACCCCCGCAAACCCAGCGACCAGTTCCTCAATAATTGCAAACTATTTCAGGTTCTAGATCTGGGGGGAATAGAGATTGACTCGAAGGCTGGTCACCAACTAACATAGGCATTTGTTCATTCTAAATATTGACTGTAGGATTTATCTGAGATAACTAAACACTTAATTCCATATATCATGATCCGGAATATTCTCCTCGAAATAGACCTCATTGACCTCTTTAAACCCAACTGATGGGGCGTCAAATGGCCACGGATTCCCATTCCCACTTGCAAACAAAGCAAAACTAGCCCCTTCAAAAACAAAAAAATCTTTCGGTGCAAATGCAAGCCAGGAAGAAGCTATGTCTGCCATCCAAACAACGGAATTCCCACCAAATTGAAAGCCCAATGAGTATTTCAACGGTGTAGCGCGAATGGTGAGAGTGACACCCGTTGGTATAACTGTACTATTTAAGGGGATCTGACTAGTCTGTATACCATGATCAGCAATTTCTACGATTGGGTAAAAGGGTTGGCTTCTTACTGTGGAAGTCCCGTTCATTAGTAAGGTACTATAAAAGCACATTCCTGTTTGGTTCAAACAGCCTCGTACCCCTATATCTTGATGTTGAAACTCGCTGAGATAAACAGAAATACCAATAGATTGCAGATAACCTAAAGGTTTGATAGTCGGAAGTAACGAGGCTGAGAATGTCATATTCAATGACTTCTGCTTGCGCAGAATTGCTGTAGGTGTATCTCGTTCACTTAATGAGAAAACATTGGGAGTGAATATTATACCGCCGTTGCCGTGAGTGCCGGTTCTGTAATTTTTGGTATATGGAGTGCGTAATTGGTACCAGCTTGAGTCAATGACATTCGACAGAAATGTGTCCCGGAAAGCAGCTGGGGGATATTTCTGATCAGGCGTCGTACCAAAGCTCTCACTAAGAAGAATTGGTTTGTTTTTATTCAAAATCGGCCAGCCATCATTCCACTCTATAGTCGTCATGAATGTCTCTCGCCCTAGATATAATCAGCCAGGTCGTCTTTACACATAGTCATGTACTTACCAAGAGGGGAGGTCCCATTAATCTTTCGTCGGGCGATAAATGTTGCATACCAATCACCGCGAGGAGTTTCTACAAAGGTTGCATGTCCCGTCGACTGAACAGTAAGGTTGTCAAATCCATAAGCACCATTAAAAAGGATGGGATTGTTTGGCGCTGGAGTCCACGGCCCCTTTGGTGAATTCGATCTTGCGATCGTAGATCTGTGGAGGTCGTCGGTGCCACCCTCTGCAATGAGTAAATAGTAGTACCCATCTTTAAAAAACATCTTAGGCCCTTCATCTCTTGCCGCGGCGTTGTGAGGGAGGGTTCCGTTCCATAAGCTAATGTATTCTCCAACGCAGTTCCCAGTCGTTAAGCTGACCTCACATTGATAAATACCCCACAGACGATCGATATTGTTATTAGGGGCCATAAGGTTCAAGTATGTCTTCCCTGAATTTGGATCATGGAAGAGGCTTGGATCGATGCCCCAAGGCTCACACCAAGTTGGCTTTGACCAGTTAATCAAATCTTTTGATGAGATGAAATAAACTCGAGGCCACACTCTTGCAGTTGGATCGTATGTCCATCGTGTCATCGACGTGAGATAAAATCGGCCATTAATGTAGCTAAGGTCAGGCGCCCATACACCTGTTACCCTGTAAGCCTTAGGTCACCAAACGTTTTGTGGGAGGTTTACCAGCTCCTGTTGGAACACCGTAGAGCTGAACATCGTCGGGAGTTGTCAAGGCGTGGGAGTATAGCTCCCAGTTTGCTAAGTCTTTGGATTTGTATATTGGAACACCAGGAAAATACTCAAATGAAGATGTTGCAATAAAATACTCGTCACGAACACGAAGAATGCTGGGATCGGGATTCCAACTGGTTTAGGGTCAGCATTTGTTTTCTTTGTCTAGGGGAGAGCGGGAGAGCCAAACCCGGAAATTATAGGATTTTTTATTGCAGCTATGCACGATAAAAGAGCAACAACTATTACAGAAAGCCACTTCATTGTAAAACTTGATCTCTCTTAGTAATGAAATAAAGAGGGCTTTTAAATTAGTAACCCAAAATTGAGATGCTTCATATTTGATACATCATCACTAGATATTACATGGGAGATAGGAAAGGGTAAGGTATTTACGACCGCCGTTTCTTTGGTCCGGTACATCCTCCGTTGCCTTCAATAGCGAACCTTAAAACGAAAAATAATGCAAGCAGGCAGCTCGCGGTACGCATAATTTCTACCACAGAGGTTGGTTAGTGGCAGCCGTTTGCTAGAAGATCGAACTAGGACACTTTGTCAGCTGCTCTAGGATTTCAACACTAAATATCGAACGGGCTTCGGAGCAATTGTCGCTAGTGAGGCCGCGCGGAGAGTTTACAGCCGATTGTTGCCCCCTGAGCAAGGACCCCTGAATCTGCTTCCATTACCCCGCATCCCCGCCGCCCCAGTTTTCGTTTGGTACACAGTACATAAGGATAGCTGAGTGGAATACCTTGAAAGCCAATTCTCACGTCTTCAACGCCTACGTCTCGAGCCCACAAGCCATTATTTATCGTAGATATGATGGAACACATGCCGAAAACTACTCAAAGTACTCTTATTTTCGGCCCAACTACTTGTCAGCTACATTCTTCCCATCGAATATTTGAAGGATAAAATGCTATGAAACGCAGAAAAATTAAATCCTATATTACGCACTTCCCCAAATCCCCGACGACATTCCAGAATTCTGCTTATCTTGTTCCTTATTAGTAGTAGAAACTCTGGCCTAGATCTATAAACATTCCCGCGAAGTAGATATTTCCAATAACCACATTCATGCTTGAAATATTGTACAACAGGCGAATGGGGGTGAAATGCTCAATTGGTCGAGATCCGAGATATTCCTACCAAATCGTGACAGAGCTCCATTGGGCACAATACTCTAGGTATGCCACACCTAATATATCGTATTACTTGAGGCTTTTATGTCTATTGTTGGAGCTGATTCGTATACCAAGCCAGTCGTGACCAATGGGATGAGCCTGGGAAAACGCCCGAATCCAGGCCTTTTCTTGGCAAATTCCAGATCATCCCCAGAATCTCCACCATCTATTCCTCTGCCTCCTCTATTAAATTCTTCCTTACGCAAGAAACCTATGTGCATCTTATCGTTGATGAAGCAGCGTTTCAGTAAGGTACAAGCTAGGAATTAATTGCAATTAGGTCAGCTTCAGTGGAGACTATATCATAGTGCGGGACAAACAGGTTTAGCGCCCAGTTCCCCGCGCCGATCGAAGTAAATCCTCACTCGCAGCTCTAGTGCTCTACCTAACTGGACCAGGCTAAAAGGGCACGTCGGCGCCGCCTCATAACCGTTCCGTTTTCCACATGTCCGGCTTTGCTGACCTACCTCGGCACGAACCCGTAAAAAAGCAGTAAGGACGGAATGCAGCTGAATGCCAGATGCTCGTCATTTTCATACCCTTGCCAAAATGACAACTTTCCTTTATAAAGTTCGCGGCTGCCTGTCAAAAGTTACACTGCCTACGACGACGTGGTGCAGCCATACTTATTGAACATCACGATTTGAAAGTTAGCATGATGGTCGACTCTTCTTTTGTGAAGATTGCAGCAGCATGTTTGGCTGTGTTTGTGTTCGTCCACCATGTCATCTCCTTGATACAAAGGCGCCGGTTTGCCAAAGCGCGGGGTTGCAAACCACCAACCATGCTCCCACAAACGGAACGCATTATTGGCTATAAAGTCTTCACGACGATGGCAGCTGATATGAAAGCCCGGACGATGCTCCCAACTTCGCTACAGCTTCATAGAGAGCTAGGCAACACCTTTTCTTTAGTTCTTCTCAGCCAGCCGGCAATAGTCACTATTGAGCCCGAAAATCTTAAGGCGGTTCTTGCCACGCAGTTCCATGACTTTGGTATTGGTAAGAGGCATAGAGGAATGGGGGCATTGTTAGGCCATGGCATTTTCACCTCTGATGGCGCGCATTGGGAACGTTCACGCGTATGGACCTCTTTGTTATAAAGACTATTTTCTTCAGCTGACGTCTTGGAGGCACTTGTCCGCCCCAGCTTTGCTAGGGTCCATGTAGCTGACCTTGAAACCTTTGAATCCCACATTCAACATTTGATAGCCAAAATCCCTAGAGACGGATCCACCATCGACTTGCAGCCGCTGTTTTACCAGCTTACCCTCGATAGCGCCACCGAGTTTCTCCTGGGCGAGTCTGTCGATGTTCTTCGCAGCCCTACTGGTTCCGAGCAGCAGCTCTTTGGTGAGGCCTTCGACTTTGCCCAAACGGAGTTGAATCTTCGTCTAAGACTCGGCCCTTTCGTCTGGTTCTACCGCAACAGAAAATTCGATACTGCTTGTATCCGTGTGCACAACTTCATTGACAAATTTGTTGCGAAGGCGCTTGAGTTCCGGCGAGAGAGTCAAGCGAGCGGGAAAACAAATAATGAGGATGAGAAGCAGAAAGGAAAGTATATCTTCATGAACGAGCTCGCTCTAGCTACAGATGATCCCATTCAGATCCGTTCTGAGATTCTCAATATCCTGCTTGCTGGTAGAGATACCACTGCCGGTCTACTCAGCAATACTTTCCACGTCCTTGCTCGTCGCCCAGACGTCTGGGCCAAGCTGAAGCATGAGGTTGATCAGCTAGAAGGGAAGAGACCAGACTATGAAACCTTGCGTAGTATGAGATATCTGAAACATGTCCTGAATGAATGTAAGCTGCCGTACCAAACAACACCGAGTCAGCCTAAGATATAACCTAACCTTTCTCTCAGCTCTTCGTTTATATCCCTCAGTACCTCAGAATATCCGCTTTGCCAACAAAGACACAACCCTACCAGTGGGCGGTGGACCTGATGGGACTGCCCCAATATTCGTGGCTAAGGGCCAGATTATATCCTACAATATATATTCCATGCATCGGCGGAAGGACATATACGGAGAAGATGCAGATGAGTACAAGCCCGAGCGTTGGGAGAACCTACGGGTGGGCTGGGGCTATCTACCATTCAACGGCGGGCCTAGAATCTGTGTCGGTCAGCAATTTGCCTTGACGGAAGCAGGATATACGTTGGTGAGGTTGGTGCAAGAATTTGAGAGAGTTGAGAACAGGGATCCGGAGCCATGGCTGGAGAACTTGCATCTCACATTGGGTTCGGGCAACGGAGTTCATACTTCGTTGTTCCCTCGATCATAAGAGCTATTTACTATTCTAGCCGGTAGATGTAAGATTCTGGATATTAGTTTGATGCAGGAGATTGATTAGGGTTAAATTAATCGTACGTCGAATTCAAATGTGCCACAACGCACCTGCTGCAAGCAGTTACGCAATAGATTCGGCTTCTATAGATCTCGCCTGGTGAGATAAGCCGCAGCTATGTTAGTTTAGCACTAAAGCTTGGCTGTCTTGGCTTAATTACCATATTAAGGGTGCCTTGCTCTTATTTCCATGCAATTCGGCAGTTGTGAGCCATTACTCCCAAGACTCGAAGTGCAAAGGTGCTACATCAAAGCTATACGAGGCTGAGTTAAGGGTTGAACATAACAGCGTGACTGCATTTACGAGCTCACGTAATCTGGGGAAGGTGGACAACGAATCAATATAAACGGTCGTCAGTCCGTGCCGTGTAGATTAGCTACCCCATAAGCGCTTAAGCATAACACCCCGAGTAGATCTGGCCGTTTTAGGTCCCATTCTGTGCGACTGCCGATCGGATCCTGATTCCTGTGAAGCCACACCCGCGCCATGCTCTGCGCCAGCGATGTCAAGCTAAATTAGCGTCACGATGTCGGGAGGGGCTTTGTTGAGGCTGAGGTAAAGCGTTGTGGGCTAAGATAGTGGGATTTTAAGCTGGGTGATTAAGTGGCTAGAGTGTGAGCGAGAGAGGTGTGCGGTGTTTGGACGGGAGGGGAAAAGGTTATTTTTGGCCTGTTAATATTTAGGAATGGTTCTAAGTGGAGTGCACGTGTGCTAATTTTGGTTCTAAGACAGCAATGACCTTGGTTGCTTGTTCTGTTTAGCCCCCAGATGCCGAGGGTGATGTGAGACATCTCGTTTTCGTTGAGACTTGGACTTGGGCTTTGAGATTTTTGGCAAATCCTCCTCGTATAGAGAACTGTCAGACTTACACAAAGCAAAGACTAATAGGGCAGGTAGTAGCTATGAGGCATATTTGCAGATGTCGGTAAGAGGAGGCCAGTCGGCGAGAAAAGTATAAAACTCCCAAGCATTCCTCTTTTCTTATTTCTTACCATTAGATTTGCATCAGCTTTTCCAATACAATCTAGAACATCAATCACTTATCTACTCAAATTCGCCTTAACAAGCAACCGCAACAATGCAATTCACCAGCATCCTCTTCCTCGCTATCCAGGCTACTGGCGTCCTCTCAGCTTCCTACGCCGGCAACACAGGCGTCGCTCCCGACCTCTCCAACTCCTCCATGCCACCCCCAGGCACGGCATGGGCTCGCTCATCTGATAAATTCGTACGTGAAATCCGGATTTCCTTAGACGTATGTAACTAGGCAAATTACTAACTCCCCCATCTCCCAGAATCCCCTCACCGCCCGCGGTTGCGTCTCTACCGCTCCGTTCGGATGCGATCTCGGCAAAGGCCGCTGCTGGAAAGTCTGCGGTGATGGCGGACAGTGGTGCTGGACTGCTGGCGGTGATGGATCTGGAGACTGGAACACTTGCTCTGACTGGGGACAGTGCAACCAGCAGCAGTCATGTGGGAAGAATTGCCACAACGCTGCGGAGTGTGGATGCAGTTGCTAGATTATTCAAGAAAGGGGGTTGGTGGGCAGGATGCGTGGTTGGTGCTTGGGGATTATGGCTGAGCAGGTTGTCACTCCTTGTTATTTCAGGCTGATACGGAGAGGATTTGGTTGTTGCTCTTCACTCTCATTACGCTGCATACTCAAATACAAATACTAAGGGCTTCACTTTTAATTTCCTACTCGTTAGTGAGCAACGCCGAGATCTAATGTCACTGTGCAACATGTTATTAAAAATTAACCCACGTTTTGGACGGTCACTGTGGCCGCCCATGTGTAACACCTTTCATATTGCTCTTTCACATCAAGGAAATGGTAGAGGAGCAGATGGCACACAAGTTACATCTAAGCCCGGCGTCCCACCCGGAATCGCAGTATACAAGAACGGACCCATCAAGTTCTCCTCCCACGACACATGCACGCCAACATCAGCAAAGGCAGGTTCCACCGTCTTCATGTGCTCGATCTCCTCCACTCTCCCCGGTGGTATCGGACTCACGAGACCAATCGTTACGCTCCGAAGCTTGGGAAAGCTTCCTGGTGCCACCGACGCGAGGTGCATCAAATCTTCATACATGCTCTTGTACACATACGTGAAATGCACCATTTGAATCGAAGGTGGCAGCAGCGTCTCCAGTCGTTCTGTGCCTGTAGAAGTGTCGGACTTGCGGTAGAGTAATGCCTGGTCAATAACGAGTTCCTCGAGCTGGGTGAGCTCCCGCAACGATGTGACAAGTGGAATAGTTTCATAGTCCTCGTCATCTAACACGCTCTCGTAACCGGTTGGAACAGGGTTCGGTAAAAATCCAAAACAGAGCTTCTTGAGCCTCTTATCCGTTTGAGAGAATGTGCGTACAATGTCGGGACAATCATACCAGAAGTGGATATAGTACACAAGGTCTTCCAGTTCTACACAGCGCTCTATCAACTTCTCAAAACCTTCGCTTGGAAGCTCATCCAGCACTAGCTTCCGCAGCTTGCTTACAGCTAGGTCTTCTGACCACGGATCCCCGTCGTTGTAATCAAACGACAATAAAAGCGTACTTGCTATTGCGTTACCACGGCAGTCTAGCGCATATAACGTCTGTAGATTTGGCGCAGCAGTGAGGAAGGGGTGGATCTGGAACAAATAGTAATCAGACCGCTGGGCACCACGGAGTGCAAGCGTCTTAAGCGCCGGCAGTGCCATTTTATTATCCGCATACCAAGACCAATCCAACTCATCGAGGTATTCGCACATATACATTAGCGTCTCCGTGCGCGGCGTCAGCGCGATGGCAACGCCCATAAGCCACTTGTGGAACTCGAGGCGATTCTCATTGAAACGCCCAGGCTGGGCTTCATCAGTCCAAACTTCGAGATATTTACCGGTCCAGCCGTCCCAGCTCCAGCCAGTTGGGAGCTCGAAACCAAGCGCGCTTCCAGCATCGCCGAGAATTTTCATTAGCTCAGGCGTGCAGACGTCTTGCACGCCTGAGCTCTTGAGTTGCAGAGATTCCACGCAGGCTGCTAGATCGGGGCGGGTAATCAGGCTGCGGATGAAGACAGCGAGCTTGTCATCTTCTAAGTCCCAGGACTCCCTGTTCCACGAGTCATAGTGATCGGAAAATTCGGTATCGACCGACCGAGCGAGATTACCGCATGCGTAGTAGTGAAAGAGGATGGGTTGTGCTATGGCGCATAATGTCTTTGACGAGCGGCACATGCGCGCCAGCGTAACCTTTTCGGTGCGGGCCTCCGTGGTATTTGAGTTGGGGAATACTCCTGGATTCTGGCAGTGAGAGCATAGGTAGGAACATATTTGGGCGATTATTTCGTTTGGCACTGAGTAAGATACCATATTCGGAGTGTGTGGCGGAACGGACATGGGGAAGAGGCAGTTGGCTCTCGTTAAAAGAGGTTAATAGTAAAAGACTTGTTTTTAAAGCTAGAAGCTTTGCTAATGCCTATTATTATATATCTATGTAGGTGATGACTCACTTAGAAGGCAGACGCTCAGAGGAGCTGATGGGCGGATACGCGCTGTTGCTATCCGGCGGTTAAAGTCCAAAGGTTAAATAAAGATTAAAAGTGCAGGGTGCAGATGTGCTCTTTGTAGGAAGTGGCGAAGAAGGGGGTGTTTGGTAGTATATCTGCACACGGATCAATATATCATGTTCAGCCCAAGACAAATAAGACGCAACATAATGAAGGACAATCATCCCTGGTTCAATCCCTCATCTATATTTCCAGCTACTCCATCACAAACAACTACCTCGCTCGTATCATCGGTGGTATCTACAAGTACACAAAAATCCTCGTCTCATCCTCATTCACACCAGCATATTCATAGACCATCTCACTTCTTCTCCGCCGCCTTCTCCTCCACCTCCTTCTCATCTTTCGTCCCCTCCTCGGCCTCCACCTCTACTTCCGCAGCTTCCTCACTGTCCACACCAGGACTCTCTATAATGAGGGTCTCACTCTCTACCACCCCGTTCGCCACAGCTATATCCCCATTCACCACCTCACTTACAACTTCGTCAGGTGAAATCGGTAGAGGTGGGTTAGGTGGGGAGCCACTGATTTCCACTACTGGTGTGGGTGGTAAAGGCGGTTCGGGGCTCGTTGTGGCCGCAACCTCGGTGGTCGCATGGGTTGTAGCGACGACAGGCACTTCAGCAACAGGAAGTGTCCTATTCGTCGCGGTAGTGAGAATAGAATCACCCAAATCGCCAGCGCCATCAAGCTTGCTGATTTTAGCAGCAAAGTGCTGAGCATCACGAAGCATTCTGGATGACTGTTAGTGAAGTTCACACAGAATAGAAGCATCAGGGCAAACGAACCTCTCCTTCCCCCTCTCCGTCGTCACCGGAGCCTCCCGGAACGCCTTCCCCAGCTGCTCCATATAACTTCCAAACACCGGCTCCATAATCCCCAACACCGTCTCCTCAGGCATATGCTTACTCAGCACGCGATGCAACGTCCCGGTCTCCTTGGTAAGCGTATCCATGTACGCGCTCACCGCCTTGTCACCTGCGGAATCATCATCCCACACGATCGCCCGCATGGCGCGGAGATGCAGCGTCGCGCGCCCGGCCATAATCTCAACCAGCTTCTCCGAGATACTCGCCTGGTGCTCCTGCAGCGCGCGTCGGACCTTGTCGAAATCGCCCATTAGCCCTGCGGCCGACGCTCCCGCGCCGAGGTGTCGCCGGACGAACTCACGCAGGTGCGGAATCAGTGTGGCGACGAAGCCGAGAGCGCGCGAGGCGAGCGCGAGATGTTTGGTTGTGATATTTTTGAGGCCGACGATCTTGGTGGCGCCGGCGCCGAGGATGAGTTGTGTGCAGCGGCTGTTGAAGAGTTGGATGTAGGCCAGGAGGAGGGGGGAGACATCGGAGGTGAGAGAGGGGATGCCGGTGATGAGTTCGAGGTAAGGGGAGAGGCCGCGGAGGCAGATGATAGCAGACGAAGGGAGGAGGAAGGTCTCTGCCTCGATGGTTGCGGGACGGATTTTCTCGCGCGCTGAGGCGGTTTGGGAGGGGTCGGCGGGGGTGGGAGCGCCGTTGGGGAGGGTGGAGTCGTTGGATTCATCGTAGGGGAGCCAGACTTTACTGCCGATGCTCCAAGCGGCGGGGTCACGGTCGCTGCCTTCGAGGATGCGTTCTAGGTAGACGCCGTCGCTCTCGGTGAAGTCTTTCGCGGCCCAGAGGTCAGCATCCATGCCTTGTGCTAGGGCTTGCTGCTGGGAGTTGCTGAGGAGTTGGATGAAGTCTTTGATCTGGTTATTCACGACGTTCTTCAGGACCGTTCCGCTCCTGCCTGACACAGCTTCGCATTCGTTGGCAAAAAGGAGGTTGAGTGTGAAGTATCGCAGGAATCTTGTCGGTTGTTGGCGGACACTTTGCTCCGTGCGGACTCTGAGTACTTTGACGATCTGGTTCTGTGCAATGTCCACGGCTTGGCCAAGAAGATTTGACATGTCAAGAGCTTGGTGTAATTCCTCCTGTATATGCCTCCTTTCCTCGGTTGCCTTGCCACCGCTAACACGGTCTTCAATCGACCCAAGATTTGGTGTCCTAGGGGGTGACCTGGGGCCACCCATGGAAGGTGACCCTGGCGGAGGCGAACCCGGTGATGACCCATCCAATGTACTCGTTACATCAAGTAAGACCTTCACCTGAGTGCCCACTCTCCTCAGGGTTTCTCCGACACCAATATAAATCTTCACCAGAGTCTCTTCAGCTGACTCAGGATCTAAATTCCGTAAATTGCGCGCCAGGATAGCAGATCTGTCTTGTTGACTGCGTGGTTTGTTTCCTCCCACAGTAGACATTGACATCACGGAATCCGTATCATCGTCATTGGAGCTAGGTAGTGGCCGTTTGATAATCGATTTTATCTCGTGCAAGACGGCATCTCGATATGCTGTCGTAGCCGAAGACGTGTGGTTGGCTCGATATAGACCATTGATATTTGATAGTAGATCGGCTCTGAACTCATTGTTCGTCGTCAGGTACGAAGGAAACGCGGACTTTTCACGATTATGTCCGCCCCGTGTGCGTTGTGAAGCATTGCTCCACCGTTGTAGGGTGTCATTGACTGGCGTGGATTCGATGTGTTGTCTGATGTCGCCAAGCATTGATTTGATAAACCTCGATTCAAATGTCTTACCAATTCGGAACCGCAGAACAGTGAGGTCATTGTCGACCCCTTGTAGAGCCGTCGCCCCTGAAAGGTCGCGCAGTTGGTCTTGCTCGGGGACATCCAGCACTTTGGCATCTCCATTCAACTGCTCACCATGGATAAGCCTCTCAAGAGCATCTATCGCGTCAAGTGCTCGTTCCACCTCTTCACTTTCAACATATGATTCGCAAAGGCCTAGACCAGCCACGACGGACTTTAGTTGCTGAACAGCATCCGCCAGCTGCTTGAGATTCTCCCGTCGGCGTCTCTGCTTGACAATTTCCATGCCTCCCAATGCCATCTCCTTGTCAAGTTCGTCCAACTCGTCACGCAGCTGCTTTATTCTGGCCACAGAGTCTGCGGCTTCGGAGTGTAGCTCACGCAAGGATCCTAGAGCAGCAAAAAATGAATAGGATGCAGTCGAGATTGCGGAAATTAAGTGCACCTCAATTGTGTCCATATACCACGACAGTTTCTCTTGTAATATTGCGTTTGTCGCCAGAGCCTTCCTGGGGCCGGCTACATTTCCGTTTGACTGTTTCCGTTCCTCTGGCGCCCCTGGGACAGGCCGAACGACTTCCGACCGTTCGCTGACAACGTCAAATATGCGGGGATTCTCGAGTCGAAAGTCATCGTCGAAATAAACGGTAGGTATTGTCGCAAGGGGCGCAGGACCTTGTGCGGCTCGTTTCCCAGGTCCAGCACTTGAACGTCTCCTGGGTGACTGGGAATCATTGGGTGCCAACGAAGACAACGATGCCAAGGACGACTTCCTTGATATATCTGGCCTTCCGTTATCGTTTGACTCCAGTAGATCCGCAAACTCGTCGCTCTTATTACTCCCTCGTCGTATTATCCGCAATCCCTCCTCGTCCTCGCTATCTTTCGCCCGCTGTAGAGAGTTCGACAGTGCGCTAATCTGCGCCAGATACGGCTTGAATACCGCCGGGTCAATATGGGGAATATTTGTGAGCGTTACTGGCGGGATATCTCGAGCGGTGGGTGGTTTATGCGCACTGGACGCTGGAGCTGAAGTATGAGCGATTAGGCCTGTTCTCACAATTGGCGGCTGTAGGAGTGTCGATATAGCTAAAGAATTGTTAGTTACTGCGACAAGCTCGTCGCACAACGGGCAGCCTACCATTCTGTCCTGCTTCTCTCACTGTTTCCGACCACGGTCCCGACGAGCTGTCCAGGGCCCCTCCTATTGACGTTACGGAGCTCGCCGTCGACAGGCGCCGGGAGTTGTAGCGGGTGGTAGAGCTGTTTCGAGAGGGAGGATCGTATCGCGGGAACGCATATTCGCTCTGGCTCTGCCCATGAGATGGCGGGGACGTTGAACTCCCGGGGGACTTTCGAGGGTTTGAGGCGGACATGGCGTTGAGCTTGAGGCCACGGAGGCCGCGCAAGAGCTGCTACTCTCCGGTATTGTTGACATCCAGCGATCCGTCACCGAGGCGTCATACCTAGCAATTGGATATTGAAGAATTAAGAATTGTGCACTTCGAATATAGGCGTAGAGTGCGACATGAAGTTGTATAAGCTGTACAATGGGGCTCTATTATATTTCCTGGTATGGACTTTGTCCCTTTGTCTTGCTCGATTGATGCTCCCGGGTCACCGTAGCGGATTTTGGTTGATCCTAGCCACACAGCCTCATCTGAAGAAACACCCCGGACGGGACGCACAGATAGGAATTGACAAGTCACTCCTGCAGCCACTTTACGCGAGAAATCGCGTCGCGTCAAGACTCTAAATCCTCCCTTTCAAAGACGCGTTCCCCCCCTTGTGCTATCCCCGCCATCTCCTCCAACATCAACGCTTAAACGCTTCAACTTTACGACCATTGCGCCAGGGACAACGAGGACTATACTATCGACTTCATACTTTCATAAGAGTCCCGCAATATGGATCGCCAATCGGTATATACCACGAGCGTGTACCAGCCCAACTATGGCGAAGAAGACGGTGAAGTGCGTGCGCAGATCCTGTTGAAGCTGCAAAGTTTCATTTTGGAATTCCAACTGGGCACTGCATTCATTTACAGGTAGGAGAGCTCACAAAGATAACTCATCTTCGTGTTCTAACCTTGCGCAGAGACCAACTTCGTGCAAATGTGATGAAGAAACAATACTTCTGCGACGTGGATATCGGCCATTTGATCTCATTCAACGAAGAGCTCGCACACAAGCTAGTCACCGAGCCCGGAGAGATTATTCCTCTGGTATTACTCCCTCCTTGCCCCGCCTAGTGTTTGCAATACTGACTGGCTCCCAGTTTGAAGCTGCCCTCAAAAACTGCACACACCGGAGTATATACGCAGCCCAAAAGGAGATTGATCTTCCCGAACACCAGCTTCTCATTCACTCTAACGCCGCGGAGCTCTCGATCCGTGATCTTGGCGCCGTAAAAATATCCCAGCTTGTGAGGGTTCCTGGCATTGTCATCAGTGCCTCGGTTCTGTCGTCAAAATCGACAGTGGTCTATGTCCAATGCAAGAATTGCTCGCACACACAAACCATATCAGTTGGAGGTGGATTTTCGGGTGTCACATTGCCTAGGAATTGTGGAAGAAGTCGGGATGGAGTGTCTGACAACTGTCCTATGGACCCATATTTTATCGTTCACGAGAAATGCCAATTCGTTGACCAACAGATCCTCAAGCTCCAGGAAGCTCCTGACCAAGTTCCGGTAGGAGAACTTCCTCGACATGTCCTCATCACAGCCGATCGTTATCTTACCAACCGCGTTGTTCCTGGGTCGAGATGCACAATAACGGGCATCAGTTCTACTTTCCAATCAAAGGCTTCCAAGTCCGCTACAACCACATCAGCTGTAGCAATCAGGACACCTTACTTAAGAGCTGTTGGAGTCGACAGCGATGTTGACCAAACGGCAAAGGGAAACTCTACCCTGACAGAAGAGGAAGAAGCTGAGCTCCTCGAGATGAGCCGCATGCCCGACCTCTACAACGTCTTAGCGGACTGTATTGCACCTTCAATTTACGGAAACAGAGATATTAAGAAGGCGATTGCATGTCTTCTTTTCGGCGGCTCTAAGAAGATTTTGCCAGATGGAATGAAACTTCGTGGCGACATCAACGTTCTGCTTCTGGGAGACCCCGGAACGGCCAAATCGCAACTGTTAAAGTTCGTCGAGAAGGTTGCGCCAGTCGCCATCTACACATCCGGCAAAGGTTCCTCCGCCGCTGGTCTTACAGCATCTGTCCAGCGTGACCACTCAACGCGTGAATTCTACCTCGAAGGCGGAGCCATGGTTCTCGCTGACGGCGGCGTCGTCTGCATCGACGAGTTCGACAAGATGCGTGACGAGGACCGCGTCGCAATCCACGAAGCCATGGAACAGCAAACCATCTCCATCGCCAAAGCCGGCATCACCACGATCCTCAACGCCAGGACCTCCGTGCTAGCAGCCGCCAACCCAATTTTCGGCCGCTACGACGACCTCAAGAGCCCGGGAGAGAACATCGACTTCCAAACCACCATTCTCTCGCGTTTCGACATGATCTTCATCGTGCGCGACGAGCACGAGCGCGGTCGCGACGAACGCATCGCCAAGCACGTTATGGGGATCCACATGGGCGGCCGCGGCGCCGAAGACCAGGTCGAGTCCGTGATCCCTGTCGACAAGATGAAGCGCTACATCAACTACTGCAAGACGCGCTGCGCGCCTCGCCTCAGTCCCGAGGCGGCCGAGAAACTCTCCAGTCACTTCGTGCAGCTCCGCAAGCAGGTCCATGCCAGCGAGATGGAGAGCAACCAGCGCAGCTCCATCCCGATCACGGTCCGTCAGCTGGAGGCTATTATTCGTATCTCGGAGGGCCTGGCAAAGATGACGCTCTCGCCTGTGGCGACGACGGAGCATGTTTCGGAAGCGATTAGGCTGTTCTTGGCGTCGACGATGGATGCGGTTAACCAGGGGAAGAGTCAGGGCTCGAAGGAGCTGAATGAGGAGGTGCTGAAGCTGGATGTTGAGCTCAAGAGACGTCTGCCTCTTGGATGGAGTACCAGTTTGGCGTCGCTGAAGAGGGAGTTTGTTGAGAGGAAGGGGTACACGGAGGGGGGGCTGAATAGGGCTCTGTTGGTGCTGCAGAGGAGGGATAAGATACAGTTCCGCAACCAGGGTTCGCAGGTTTTTAGGACTGCGGTTTAAATTTGCGTACGTGTGGGGGTTGTAGAGGATGTGTGATGATAACGTGTGCCATGGATGGTATTGATGGGTTGCGAGGCGATGGATGGTGCATGGGAAGGATAGACGAGGATAAATGGGCTATGATAATGCCAAAGGGGGCTGGGGTAGGAAGGCGTCATGGACGGATATGCTGGTTATATATGGCGTTCACAATCGTTAAGAATAATAAGATGAGATACCAGTTATCCCAATGGCCTAAACACCTCATGTCTCGATTGGAAACTGTCGAACTTTTTAGCACTAATAGCCTCTAGAACTATTCGCCATACTTACAAACTCCTCATACACCCACCCTTCATTCCCAAACTCACCGGAGAAAATGGCGTAGCCAATCGACCATCACCGCCCACCTCCTATCCTCCAGGCGCCCACAAGACTCAGCCCTTCCCATCATCGCCAACTTCGAGTAGCAGCCAAAGTGGGAGTCTCAGCACATATTTAAAAAGCCCAAGCGCAATTCTCAAATATATAACCTCACAGACTGGACATTTCGATGAAATCAAATGTGGCCGCTGCTAAATACAGATTCCTCAGCTATTCATCGAGTATAGTAAACCGCCGAAATGATATCGTAGGCGCTATCATGCTCAGTCTGTCACCGATTATAGATTCTCACCGGCCATGAATTCCTGTCACCGCCCATCCTTCATCAGCGCAACATATGCTGTCACCCTAAATATCCCAGTGAACCACGTTCGAAAAGCATACCCCACATCACCGTCAGATGAGTACATAATAATTGCTGTGTAGGTCTTTCCGAGCCCCATTCTATCTCCCTGGGTATTCCCTGAAAGCGACCTCCACATAGCCCATAACGCTGAGCTTGAATAAAAAAACTAACCTCAGTCCAACTTCCACTCTTAGATTCGAACGCGGCTTTATACGGCACAATCTTGCCATCTATAATAGTAGTTCGTTTGAGCCCATCAATCTTTCCCTCCTCATATAACTTGATAACAGCCCTGATGTTTTTGTGCTGCCGCTCTGGCTGGTAATTGGGGTTGCTTGGGTCGAGGAAGCCTTGGAGTTCTTTGATGCGGGCTTGGACGTCGAAGACGGGGGTGATTGGCATGGAGGGGGAGAATTCGACCTTGTCTGTCATGGTGGTTATGTTTTTACTTTTGTGCTCTTGTTTTGTGAGGCGTGTGGTGTGTTGTGATTTGGTTTTTGTTGTGTTGAGGTTATTTGGTATTGCTTTAAAAATCGCCTGATTATATTGTAATATTTCCAAATTTCAAGATCACCGCTTTATAATCAAGATCAAGGGCATACTAGCAGAGTATTTGTATACAAACACAGCTAGGACTGCCGATGTTGAATATAAACTCCAAACCCCCAAAATAACTCACAAAATCACTCACCAACTTTCTGATCCTCCAGTCTCTGACCTTCCAGGCTTTCCTTTCGCCCGATAAGTATCTCTGGTTCTTCCCACAGCTTCTTACGCAAGTACTGTATGTGCATGAGTGGCAGTGAGCCACGCAGCAGCAGCGGCATGGAGCGGTGACAAGAACGAGTCGGCGGTGAGAATAGGGGTTGAAAATCGTGCATAGTGCTTAGAGTAAAGTTTAAAGAATGTGATTTTCATTTGGGATGTGAGATCAGAGTAGGTAACGTCCAATGCATATTGTTTCTGATTCTTTGTTATCTTTGGAGATTGGTCTGAGCAGGAAGGATTGATTCGGCTTTTGAACCTCACTATCTTTGCCTCAGCCAAGGGATGGGAGTGTTGTTGTCAGCACAGGGGAGTTTGAGCTACCAGAAGTGAGGGGTATACATATCAACTATAATATCAAGTTTAAATCCACACAGATATTATATTCACTACCCCCGCTTCTCTCCACCCCATCACCGCCTCACCGCACCCAACTCCCACCTCCACCACCCCTTAAAATCCTGGGTATGCACCTCAATCCCCAACTCCTTCAACGCCCTCGTACTCAAATGACAGTCAAACGGTCTCTGCACCCCCGTATTCCCCTCATTCCCCTTAACATCCTTCTCCATCTTCTCCAGCCCCAACCCCATTAAATGCGCAAACATCTCACACATCTCATACTTCGTATACAGATCCTCCGCCGAAAACTGCAGTACGCTCGGCAACCCCTCCGCCTCCCCAGCTTCGATCTTAGAAGTGTAGAGCGCGGCGATATCAGCAATCACCCTCCCTACATCCTCGGTGTTGGTTGGGAAACGCTTTGCCCATCCGTCCATTACTACTTTCTCCTTCTGAGCCTTCCACACAGCATCAACCAAACAATTCACCGCGCTATCAGCATGTTTATCCGCCTTCCCATACAGCACCGGCACCCGCAACACCACGCCCTTCCCCTTCCCTCCCGCAGCGGCATAAGCTTCCTCAACCGCCTTCTCGCCCTCAAGCTTCGTAATCCCGTATAAATTCGTCGGCGCGGGCGTGGCGGAGGTCTCGTAGGGAGCCTCGCCGGGGGCGCCGGAGAAAACGTAGTCGGTGCTGATGTAGATGAGGACGACGCCACGCTTGGCGGTTTCCTCGGCGAGAGAGCGGGTCGCGGCTACGTTGATGGCGCGGGCGGCGGCGGGGTCGCGGTCGCAGGAGTCGGGGAAGCGGTTTGCTGCGCCTGGGGGGTGTTAGTGTCAGCTTCCCTCGAGTGTGTAAAGTTCCCGAGGGAGGGGAGGAAGGGCGGCGTACAATGCACAACGACGCTGGGCTTCACATCATCGAGTGATTTGGCTACGGCGGCGGCGTCGCTGAGGTCAACGGCCAGGATGGCGGGGGGATTGGCGCGGGTGAGGCCTGTGCCGGTTACGGACCAGGATTTGCGGTTGAATGCTGTTGTGACGGCGCGGCCGAGGAGGCCAGAGGCGCCTGTTACGAGGGCTGTTTGGGAGGACATGGTGGTGGGTGTTGTGGTGAGGTTGGGAGTTGGGATGAGGTTGAGGTTGAGATGGAGGGGTTATATGGGAAGCGGATGCGGGAGGGATGGGATGATGTCACGGTGCTTGGATTATGCTTGGGGTTTTGTTTACTTTGGAGAGGAATAGTGCATAAAATAAATAAGTCTTAATTCAATATTATGGACGCTTTTGTTGACATTTGTCCAGTGCAAACCGATCTGAGTGAAGCATTGTTTATAGCGTTGTTGCCTTGACGCATTGTGCTTCATATTCGCCTTCATATAGCCCAAGGCACCAGTGTGCCAGTCCATCAGGATATCCTCCAAGAATCCCTACCTCCTCCAGTTCAAAGCCCAGTATCGTATCCAGTATCCATCATCCTGTCCATCATCCGCAGTATATTGCTGTCGACATCCCCATCCATCTTCTTCTTCTCCGCAACCACCCATCAAGAGCAGCACGCGATGAAAAACGCAAAGGTGTTTATTCTCTCTCGAGAAAGTCATGTTCCAAAGATTCCCTCCCAGTCCTAGAACCGAGAGGAGCGGTCATAGTTATAGTTTTCAACTAGCAAAAATGTGATCTCGGACGAATCCTCACTGATACACATAAAGCCCGTGCACTAGGTTAAAGAAGAAAAAAGAAGAAAAGAAGAGGAAAAGGAACTGGGGCGGAGGAAGACTTTATAGTCGCGATGGGCGACGCTAAGCGAGGGGGTTTGCGCGCCGAAAGGGGAATGGCGTGTTGGGCAAACACTGCAAACTTTTACTAGTGCGTGTTTGGTTTGTTTACCCTTGTGGGTGCGTCGTGGTAGCCTCGCAGCCTCACCTTTCAGCCTTGTCGAACGTTGCCTGGCTATACGCAACTCTACTCTTTCAACTGTGAAGGCAGAAGGCAGAAGACAAGATTTCAAGATTATACCCAGAGCAATACTGTGTACGCTCATACTGAGTCACCACACTAACCACCCTTCAAATTGAACATCACGCCACCATAATATTAATATCAGCTGAAAATAAAATTATACATTACCTATCCACCCTCAATTCAAACCCTCAAAATATCATCCATCCCCCTCTCCTCCAACCACCTCCACGCCTTTAAATCCAACCTATCCCTCACCCTCTCCCTCAATCGCCGCTCCCTTTCCCCACCGAAAGCCTCGACGCCAACCTCTTCGCCGCTCCTTTCCACCCCCCAGTCCCCGGCTTCGAACTCGTCCCCGTAGTCGAGCTCGTACTATACGAAGTCGGCTTCTCGCCACTAATATTCCTTCCCATCCCCGTCTGATACCCCCGCGAACCCCTACCCGACGCTCCCTCACCAAGGTGCTGCGAATCGTCATAGCTGCGCGTGCTACTCACGCTGCCCATACTACTCCTCCTCGGTCCGTGGTTAGGATCGCCCGCGCGTCCACCGGGGTTATACGGGTCCTCCATGGCGGAGGCGGAGCGGGGACCGCGTGCGCCGCCGGCGTTGTAGCTCTCGTCGTCGTAGTAGGACGAGCTGCGGTCCTGGCCCCCGGTGGTGCCCATCTCGGGGTTGTCTTGGCTGCCGAAGGTGTGGGATCCACGGTGGGGGGAGGCGGCGGGGCCCATGCCGGTGTTGTCCACGTTGTCGGTGTAGGATTGCGTGCCGCCGTATTGGCCGTAGTTCTGGCCCCAGCCCTGGGCGTTCAGCTGGTCGGGGTTGTCGTAGCCGCCCCCGACGTATCCGCTGGTGTTGTCGTAGGAGGACATTGTGTGTGTGGTTGTGTTGCTGGTTCTCGATTTTGTTGGTATTTGTATTGGGGATTTTGGGAATCAGTATTTTGGGGTTGATGCAGGTCGAATAGGGGTTGCGGGAGGGTGTATATATAGGTATGAGGAGGCCTTCCGGGACTTCCTCGACTTTCTGGTTTCACCTCACATCCTGCACGTGTGAGGTAAGAAAATATGGATAGCCCTTCAAAGATTTAGCGGCTATGATTATTCGAAGCTCACCCGAACAGCTATAGCTTTCGGAGACGGAACTACCGACCACTCAGCGGTTGCAAATGTCAACACCAGGGGCAAATTCGATCTTGATCGAAGACAGGTCAGTTTTTTACCAGGTGCGATATTTGTGGGTAAGCCAGAAAACTTTTGCGCTACGTAGATTGAGGGCGTAGTAACCCGAGTTTGAAGATTTGGGGTCCAATCCGGGGTTTCTCGTGACAATATTCATGATGTCATGGACGTTCATACCCAGAACAGAATATCCCCGGTCGGCTCACCTCGGTGCGATTAAACCTAGAGAGATAAGATACTTGCTTGTGGTCACGTTGTGTACATATTGGTCCTAGTTGCTATTATTGTAAATTTGCATCAGCTTGTAGTCTTGTCTAGTGTAGTCTAGCTATCAGTATCTTGACTTTGGAAGATTGCATGAAGAATCGAAAGGACTTTTAACCCTAGCGCCTCTACTTTGTCCTCTTGTAAATCTTGCCCAAGAAGCTCTCAAACACAGACTTCTTCAGGCCATCGCTCTCATCAGTCTCATCAATGAGCTTCCTGATCTTGCCAACCTCGCTCTCTTCATACTCCTGGTATAGCTTCTCCAGCCCCAACTCGTTGTACAGCTTCTTGACAACAGCCTCGTTATCCTTGTTCTTCCTGCCGTAGTTCTCATCGAGGACCTTGCGCTGTTCTGGTGTCGCGATCAGGAGAGCCTTGTTGACGAGCCACGAGCACTTGTTGTCTAGGATGTCCGTGCCGATCTTGCCAATGTGCTCTGGGTCGCCGAAGTTGTCAAGGTAGTCGTCCTGGATCTGAAAGTAGGTTCCGAGGGGGATGAGGATGGCCTCAGCTTGCTTGAGGTTCTTCTCGGTAGCGATGCCGAGCTGGTGGAGGGCCAGGGCGACGGGGAGGTAGAAGGAGTAGTATGCGGTCTTGTAGATGACGATGAAGGTGTACTTCTCCATGGAGAAGTTATCCAAGTCGACCTTGGTCTCGGGTGCGGTGAGCAGATCACAGGTCTGGCCAAGCTCGGTTTGGAAGGTAACCTCGTGGAAGAGCTCCATAAGGTCAACGTACGACTTGTGCGAGCGGAAGTACTTCTTGAGGAGAATGTAGATGGCGGACTCGAGCATGAAGGCGTCGTTGATGGCAATCATTCCAACCTCAGGCTGGCGGTACCAACAGGGCACACCGCGGCGGGTAATGCTGCTATCCATAATGTCATCGGAGACGAGGAAGTATGCCTGGAGGAGCTCGGTCAACCACCCAAGGGTTGCTGCCTTAAAGTACTCCTCCTCGTTCAGTTCCTTGCCGGTCATGAGCGAGACGGAGTCGGGAACGGACATGCCGCGGTTGCACTTTCCGCCGATTGCGTTCGCATTCAGGTTCTATAAACTCGTTAATTGGGTTCGGACATGTGGTGTGGCCTCCGTACGTTCTTGAACCAATCCAGAGCCTGCTGGGGAAGGCCATAGGACTTTGAGTGGGCGAGGACATCCTCAACAAGAGTTGGGAAGATCGACTCGAACTTCTCGAGGGCGGCGGACTTGGCCATTCTGAAATTGAGAATGCGGAGATGTGAGTTTGAGGTTTGGGGAGTTGTGTTTGGAGAGGAAATGCGGGGGAGGGGAGAAGATCAATTAAATTGGGGACTTTAATGTGAGAAGGGCGGTGGAGGGGTAACAATTGTTGTCCCGCTTCCCAGGGGTTTGGCGGTGTGCGAATTGGGATAGCTTGGATTCTAGGGTCGGCAGAATATCCGGCGCGACAGGCATTATCAACATCGCGGCTCCTAAATTGGGGAATTCATATATAAACAGACCATTGCTGCATTTCCCACCTACGACTGTAGATCCGAGGGCTGCTGTGTTTGCCGAAGCTACTAGAGTTTATAAACTAGCCTGCTGTGTTTCAAGTTTTCCTCTCGGAGCGAATCTCCGACTTATATATACAAATCACGCGTGTTATACCGAACGAGGCCAGATACAGCGCCCCAGCTCCGTTGAGACGATTAAGCAGTCGGAACCACCAAAACTTGGGCTTGAATAGCTGTGGATGGTGGGACAAGTCCACTAGGGATAGGCGACAGCGACATGGCTCTCAGCGAGCGAGAGACGGGCCAGCTTCGCGCGGCACTACAGGAAGCAGTGGTGAAATGCTCGGAGAGATGTCTCTACCAGTCGTCGAAATGGTAAGTCAGCATCCGTTCTGCGAGATATGAGGCTAACGAAGTATATCCAGGGCCGCAGAACTACTCACATCCCTTCCCGAGGAAGATGCGCCAGAACCCGAAGACTCGCAAATGACTGAAATCCTGGCCAGCGGCATGCCACCTATTGTTGTGACGGGGAACTTGGACCCTGAAGAATCGGCGCTGGAGGCGAAAGAGATAAACAAATATTTACTAGCGAAATCGTTCTTCGACTGTCGCGAGTTTGATCGGTGTGCAGCGGTATTCCTACCAGAAACAATGTTAGCAGGAGTCTTGTCGACGGAGCCATTAGGTGCCAGTCAGAGCCCTGAAGCGTCGAAAGGAAAAGGCAAGGCGAGGCAATCAATACCAGCAGCACGCCCGCCATTGGGCGCTAAACTACCCAGGCTGAGCCAAAAGAGTTTATTCCTTGCGTTATATGCGAAGTTCATGTCTGGCGAGAAGACAAAGGATGAGGACAGCGAAATGGTTATGGGACCCCACGACAGCGGGAAGACGATAAATAAGAATCTGGTGACGATAAGCAGGTATCTAGAGGCTTGGTTCCAAGAGAGGACCACCGAAACGGGAGAAGTTGTGGGCTCCCAGGGGTGGCTGGAATACCTCTACGGCATTGTCCTCGCGAAAGAGAAGAACGAAGAGGAGGCCATGCGGTTACTCATAAGAAGCGTTCATTTATACCCCATGAACTGGGGCTGCTGGTTAGAAATGACCTCTCTAATAAGCCGCGTCGAAGATGTAAGCCACCATCGCCCCCAATTGAGTACATACTAACACTCCCAGCTCAACCGCATATCCCCCCACCTACCCCAAAACATCCTCTCCTTCGTCTTCCACCTCCACACCTCCCTCGAGCTCTACCAATCCACACCCTCCCTCCACACCCAACTCCACCAACTCCTCAGCATCTTCCCCACCTCCCCCTTCCTCCTAACCTGCCTCGCCCTCCTCGCCTACCACACCAAAGACTTCATAACCGCCGAGTCCCACTTCTCGCGCCTCCTCGCCCTCCACCCCCACCGCCTCGACTCCCTAGACCACTACTCCAACATTCTCTACGTCATGGCTCTTCGCCCCAAACTCTCCTTCCTCGCACACCTCTGCTCCGCCACCGACAAGTTCCGCCCCGAAACCTGCGTCGTCATCGGGAACTACTACTCCCTCCTCTCGCAGCACGAAAAAGCAGTAAACTACTTCCGCCGCGCCCTAACCCTCGACCGCGCCTGTCTCTCCGCCTGGACACTCATGGGACATGAGTACGTCGAACTCAAGAACACGCATGCGGCTATCGAATCGTACCGCCGCGCCGTGGACGTCAATCGTCGGGACTACCGCGCTTGGTACGGCCTGGGACAGACCTACGAGGTCCTCGAGATGCACGCCTACGCCTTATGGTACTACAAGCGCGCTGCGGGCCTGCGCCCCTGGGACGGCAAGATGTGGATGGCAGTCGGATCGTGTCTCCAGAAGATGGGCCGCGACGCTGAAGGCATCAAAGCCCTCAAGCGCGCCTTATTCGCAGACGGATACTACGATGCCGGAGCCGGGGCCGGATTCGGCGCCGGGCGCGGCGCGCGCACAAAAGCGATGGATCCGGAGCTGCTCCTGCAGATCGCGGGAATGTATGAGAGGATGGGGGAAGGGGCTGAGGCGCGGGAGTACATGGAGCTTTGTGTTGCGCAGGAGGAAGGGGAGGGGGAGGAAGAAGAATGGGGGGTGGGGGTGACGGTCGCGACGAGTAAGGCGAGGATGTGGCTTGCGAGGTGGGCGATGGGGGAGGGGGAGTGGGAGGTTGCGCTGAGGTATGCGACGGAGCTTTGTCAGGATGGGGTGGAGGTTGAGGAGGCGAAGGCGTTGGTTAGGGAGATTAGGGCGAGGGGGGAGGCGGGGGAGGAGGGGGGGATGTCGAGTCCGTAGGGTGGGAGTTTGGGGGCGGAGTAGGTTTGGGTTGGTAGTGGGATTGCATGGGTTGGCTGTTTGCAGGTCACGGTTGTTTACATAGGCTGTGGAGTATATTGCTTGTTGCCTTGTTGTTTGTTGCTTGTATCCACTATGCTACACTTGCACACATGATATTTGTTACCAAACCCAAACCTTAACATGGTATTCATCCTCGGATCCAGCCCTCCCAGCCCAACCTCAACATGGTATTCCCGTCCCACCTCAACCCTCCATATGAACAACCTAAACCCTCAATATGCTATTCCTTCCCAAACCAAGTCCTTTCTACCACCCAACCCAAATGCATCCGTCATCATCATAATCATCATAATCATACATCACCCACCCCCCTTCCTACCGTCTAAACACCGTCCCCGACCTCTCCAACCCTCCCCCACACCCCCCGCACCACCCCCCGCAACCTCCACCAGCGGCACCCCCCTCGGCGCCTCAACACCCCTCCCCTTCCCCTCCCCCCTCCACTGCGGCGCCTCCACAAACCCCGTCTTAAAATCCAACAACGGCGCCGGAATCCCCGGCACAGGCGGCGCATCCCCCGCCGACCCCACCATCGTCCCCGCGCGCGACCGCGTCGACCGTGTCGATAATCCGCGCTTCAACCCTGACGACGCACCTGCGCCTGCGGACCCGGCGGCGCTGTTGTCGATGGGGGATATGGCGGTGTTGAGGAGGGAGGGGCCGGCGATGAAGGGACCAGCACCGAAATCGGGGTTTGCGGACCCGCCGCCGGCGAGATCGCGGGCTGCGGCTTGGCGGGCACGTTGGGAGTAGGTTGGGCCGAGGAGGGAGGTGGGGGAAAAGGTCTCGTCCGGTGCCGGGGGGGAGTCGCGGTCGCGGGTTGCGAGGGGGGGGAGGAGGGAATTGCGGAGGTGGAATGGGATTTGGCGGTCTGGCGGGGCGGATGTGGGATCTGGGGATGTGGTGGAGGGGATGGAGACGGCGAGGGGTTCGAAGGAGCCGAGTGTGTAGGGTGTTGAGGTGGGGGATGTTTTGGAGGTGGCGGCGCGAGCCATGGTTGAGACGAGGTACCAGGAGCGCCATCTCTGGACGGCGGATTGGAAGGCGTCTGCGGTGAAGGCGTCGTCGGTGCAGAAGAAGTGGACGAAGTTCTCGGCGGAGAGGAACATGGTTGCTTTTTGCTGGGATTTGATGGCGCAGCAGTGCTTTTTGGGAGGGGCTAGCTTGCGTAGTTGCGAAGGGACGGGGACGTAGACGTCGAAGTCGGAGATGTGGCAGAGGGCGAGGGCGTCTTTGTCGCTGAGCTTCCCGCCGGATTTGCGGTGCGCGTAGAGCTGCCCGCTGGGGAGGAGCGTGATGTACGATTTTATCCACCGGCCGGGCTTGTGGGAGTGGTGAAGCTGGGCAGAGAATTGGTCTGGGCGTCGCCGTGGCGCGGAGTGTGGCCATAGGTCTGTGTCGTGGCGAGGGGAGTCGGAGCCGGAGAGTACGAGCGCGTTCTGAGTGTCGCGGTCCCAGGAGTTCATGATGTCGCGGACGCGCTCATAGCGGCGGATGCGACGCTCTACGCCGGCAGAGGCGTATGACTCGCGCAGGATGGCGGAGTCGGGGGTGACGGACCCGGAGAGGATGTTGGTTGCGGAGTAGATCAGCTCTTGGGCTGTGGTTGTCGGGGTCACGGGTAGATTGATGGATGCTTGCTTGAAGCGGATGAGGACGCGCTGTTGTGAGTTAGTTGGTGCTCGTCTGGTCGCATTTTGTAAGTAAAGAAACTCACCCTCTCTCCAGCATTCACAGCCGAAACAGGCGCATCCATCCCCACCATCGCTGCCTCTACCCTCCTCCCGCTCATCTCATCGCTTGTGCTCCTCGTCTCCACTTTCGTCTCTGCCTTCCCCCCCGATCCCGGCGGCGTCGCTGTAACCTTCGCAGAGCTCTTCTTCCGCCCAAATATCTTGAATTTCCCGGCACTACTCGCACTCACGGGCGTAGGAGACAGCGGTCTCGGCGCAGCCACAGCAGCCGCAAGTGTAATCTCCAACCTCTCAAGATCCTTCCGCTTCTGCTCAGCAAGTAAGCGATGCGCCTCCTCTTCGTCTGCTTTCTGGCGCTCCAGTCTCTGCGCCTGTGTGCGCTCGTGTGCGCGCCTGAGCCTGGCTTCTTCCTCTTGCGGCGAGAGGGGAGTTGGTGGTGGTGACGGCGAGCGAGGAGAGGGCACGTGTGTGGTCTTGTCGTCTCGTCGTCCTAGATGATCCTGTGGAATCGCGCCCGCTGGAACGTTTCGCGTGGGCAGGGGCGTCGCGTGCGCATCTTGTGTCGCTGCCCTCCGTCTATATCGAGACATGCTCCTCTGTGCAATCCCACCCTCTGGCTGTGTGGCTGGTGGAGGCGCTGGAGTCGCCATCGCGGCCGTATTCGCCTTCCTCACCGACCTGTACCTCGAGTACTTCGCTGGCGCCTGCACTGCTGGCGCAGGAGCGCTATCGGTGATCGTCGCCATGGCGGGGTTCAGTGGTTACTTTTTCGATTTCGTTCGTCGTTTGCGCAAGATCGGCCTTCGCGCGCAGTGCATTGCCGGCCCTTACACGTATTGTATTTTTCGACTTATTACAATTATCGTGGTTTTCCGAGGGATGTTGTGTGTTTGTGGAAAGGGGGTGGGGGAGGACAAAATGTCTCCAAGGTTGGTGAATCAGGGGAATCGACGACGGGGAAATTTAATGTCTTAATGTCCTGGCTGGCCCATCAAAGCTGAACGAAGCGGCCTGAGCCGTGTTGGCGTATGCAGGGTCACCAGTGGTTCCGCTCTAAATTAGCGGAGCGGGGAACTTGGCGGGGATTGGTCGTGGGCGGAGCGGACCTTGGCGGGAAGGGAAGCGGAATCAGGTTTATGGTTGTTTAAAGTTCACTCTCTCTGACGGCTGTCAGCTTACAGAGTGGCGTTCTCTGCTCTTCTTTGTCAACTCATATTATGAATTTACAGTGAGATATTGCCTAGGTGAATGTTTGCAAATCGGTGGGAACCGTTGATAACAAGGTAAGAAAGGGATAAAGATGCGGCCACCGAGTGCTGTGCAGGTTACAGTGAGTTTATCTCCTCAATTTCTCACATGAAAGCTCCTTCACTCTCTCTCTTTACAAAGATCATGGCGCCGTCTTCTTTCCACCGGCAGGCTCATTAAACAAATATTCGCTATCTGATTTATATCAAGTCTTTGCACTCACTATCTGAGTCCTTGAGTTCATTGCACTTGCTCAACTCCTACCTCCAGCGTCAGGACGGGACGACATTATACCTCGTTATCGGCGCAAGCCCGCGAGATGCACCCCGAGCACTACACTGTACTACGAGACAAGGCGTGCCTGGCTAATGCGAGGCCGATATAGACCAAGAAGCTACGGGGCAGCGGCGACGATGACGATGAAGAGGAGTCGATGGACAAATCGAGCCCATGAGACTATAAATTACGGCAATTCAGGCCATCATTGTTTACCTCGAGCGATTGGTAGATAACTATGGGTTGAATATGAGTGAGGCGGTCGATTTCTGAGTTCCACCACGCGGCGCCCCTTTCAGGCATTAGACATCAGGCATCAGGCATCGGTATCAGGCGGTGGTGACGATGGAGCGCGGCAGTGACAGGAGGCGGCAGTGACAGGAGGCGGCAGTGGCAGGAAGTGGCAATGGCAGGAAGTGAAAATGACAGTGACATGCAGGCGATTCTCCAAGGAGGAGTGGGAAGCGTTGCAATGAACGAATTTTGCTGTGCTTAGTTCGGGAGCGAGGGTCGGCCATGTCGCTAGTTTGCATTGAAAATGAACTTTTGCGATGGTTCTCTCCTGGGAGGGAAGGGACGAAGACGACTACTTGATACCCAGCTTGATGCCTGAAAAGGGGGAGCAGAGCACGTGCAGGAAAACAGGAAAGAGCGCAAAGCTCTGAGGAGAGAGGGAAGTCTGGGCTCTGGGGAACGCGCATAGCTGGCAAGAGGGTTGTAGATCAAGAAGAGGTCGGCTGGCGCTATGGAAATGAAGAGCTGGGAGCCCATCTCATCTGGCGGGAAATGTGGGAATAAGTTCGATTTCCCCATCTCGATTCTAGGAAAGTGGTATAAAGACTGCGAGGAGAGTGAGATACCAGCTGCTAATACAAAGTCGTCGATCGATCTGTTCGAGCAAAATACCACGACCCCGCGGAGACCTTAAATTCGCAGCCCGAGCAGAGGCATTAGGTCTAGAATCTCCGCGGCTTCGTCTAGTAATTACTAAACTTTATACTTCGTATATGCCGATAAACCATTGTGACATTGTCTGTGTGTCTAATTCGGTAGGGGGAAGGAAAAGCGCAAACGATCCTTGCGATTCCTTCCGATCCTACCAGCGATCCTACCGACCGAGCTGACTGACTGCATTTGCACAAATCGTCTGTGCATATCCCCATCCCATCACCCCCATGAAAGAAATACCATCTCCTAATTGAAGAAGCAAAAAAAAGGGGGCATACCAGCCAATCTTCACGGCTTTAACGAAGACAATAACAAGAAGCAAGGAAAAATATATATATATAAGTAGACCAGCTTCACTTTTCCAAGCCATCAACCGTTTGCGCCCAAAGCCACCCCCCCTTGCACAAGCCTTTCACAACGTCTCGCTAACAGCCCTAACTCAAATCGCCCAAAAAAACCGACAAGCATCTCGATCCTCCCAGCCCGCAATTTCCACCCTCTTCCGCGCCGCCAATGAATCGCGCGCCGTGCCTTTTTATAGACCGGGGAAGGGAGTCCAGCCGCACGTACTAGCTTCAGCCGGCAACGCGATGGAGATGTAATGTAATGTCATGTCATGTAGAGAGATCCATACTTAAGACCTGTCGCGCCCGTGTCCTAGGGGATCTGCTCTAGTCACAGCTGTCTAAACCCTCAATAGTCGGCCTCAATAACCTCAATCTCGACCTCAAGCCCTCACGCCCTCACGCCCTCACGCCCTCACGCCCTCACGCCCTCACGCCCTCACACCCTCAAACCCTACAACAAGATGCGCGCCACAACCTACACCCTCCTCGCCCTCCCCCTCCTCGTCTCCTCCACCCTCCTAACCCCCCCCCTAGCCCACCGCTACATCCCCCAACAAATCCTCGTCAACTTCTCCCCCCTCACCCACCCCTGCACCGCCTACGCCAGCACAGACACAGCCTGCGGCCTCCTCTGCCTCCCAGAGGGGTACACCTGCTGCCCGGACAAGCTGGGTGGTTGTAAGCCCGGCGAGAGCTGCGTGAAGGGTGATAATGGGGAGTATGGCTGTTGTGGTGGGGGTGGGGGGAAGTGTACGGGTGATGGGGGGATTGTGGATACGGGGGGGAGTAAGGAGACAACGACGGGGGAGACGGGGAGTAGTAAGACGACTGTGACGAGGAGCGAGAGTACGACGACTGTGAAGGACACGGAGACGAGTACGGGGGAGACGAGCACCACAACGGGGGAATCGAGCACGAGCACGGACGCGGAGACAACAACGACGAGCGCGGAGACGACGGCTACTACTGATGCGCAGCCCACGCCGACGGGTGAGACGACGGCGGCGGGACCGACTGTTACGGGTGGTTCCGCGGTGTATGGTGCTGGGTCGTTAGGGGCTGTTGGAGCGGTTGTTGTGGGGTTGTTTGTGTTGTAGGGCGTGTGTTCGGGCTTGTGCTGTAATGGGGAGTGAGTGTGCGGCTTGAAGATAGTTGTGGGATGGGGGATGGATGTGATGAGGGGTTGATGGGGGGTGTTTGGAGCTGGAGCGAAAATTGCAGGACGGACGGGAGAGGGGTTTGGATGGAAGATGGGTGGTTGGAAGATGGAAAGTGGTTTATACCCCCAGCGCATCAAGATCTGCCCTGCACTCTAGCAGATGATGAGGGGTGAGGGGATGGATATGTGGCGTGGGTTGTTAATACTGTATATGAAACCAAGATGGCAGCATGCATACTTAAATAGCAAAATCAAAGATGAGATTTCATAAACCTGCGTCCTAAACGCCCTTCTTCCTCGCCTCGTCGGTCGATCTGTCGTCAAACTGTCGTCATTGCACATTCGCACATCCACTGGATGTCCTCCTATCGAACCTCATCGTCGAGGCACATCCGCGTCCTTCAAATAGTCGTAAATTACCGCCTCTCTCCCTTCCATTATCTCCCCCCCCCTTCACACTCCCTACACCACCCCAGCATCCCCCCTCACGCAGCGGAATCCCCTAATGTCTTACCTGTGGCGGCGCAATAGTCCCATAAGTCTGCTGTCCCCCCCCAGTCTGCACACGCTCGCTATAAACCCCTGGGGCGCGATGGGCCGCGTATTGGCCTTCGAGAGCCCGCTCGCGACGCTCGTAGTATACGTATTCGAGGTAGAAGGCGTGGATGTGTCCTGGGATGTAGCTTGGGTGTCGTTAGATTTCTGTCTGTATGTTTGTGGTACTGGTGGGGGAGTTGGGGGGAAGAGGAAGGATAGGGAGGGAGGAGGACGAGAGGAGGGAGGATGAGATGCTTACCCAAGAAGCGTGAGGCAGATGTTAATCAGAACATCCGCACCACACCCCGCGACGCAGAAGACGCCTGCTGGTGGGACTGTGTGTGTGTTATTAGCCTTTCATTCATCTATCCATCATGTCTTTCTTTCTTTGGCTCATCCATCAGTCGCCCATCCATCTAACCATCCATTTATCCAGTCCGGCAGGCAGAGAGACGGATAGATAGATTGGCAGCTAGACAGAGAGATAAATGGGCGCTGGCAGACAGCCAGTTCGCGTGAATGAAGTTGGAGGAGGGGAGGGACATACAAAGGAGGGTGATAAGAACCACCAGAATCGCTGAAGCAGCACCCATTTTTGATGATTCGCTTTAGATGTTGTAGTTGTAGTTGTGTATATCCTAGCTAATCCGCTCGTGTGTCGCTTTTCCTAGTCCAGTCGTTTATTTGTTTGTATCCAGTATCGCGCTCTGGGGTATCTCTCTATCCTCTCGCAAATAACTTTGTGCCTGAATCCAGTGTTCAAATAAACTTCACGCTCGTAGATGTAAAGAAGACAAAGGTCGTCGTACTACATCCAACAAGAGGAGAGGGGAGGAGGAGAAAGGCGCTTACCATTACCATGTGCCAGCCCGCCAAGCCCTCACAAAAGAAACAATGACGTAGTCGCCCTTTCCGCACCACCACCGCCACTCAACGCAACGGCGGCGGCGGTCGGGTGGCTGGGGAAAAGGGGGTCCTCTTCCCGCCGCCACAATATGTGTAGTGTATTAACCAGAGTTACTAGGGATGAGGAAGAAGGGGTGGGCGGGATGTGCATAGTAGTATGAGGAGAGACCGGTGAAGTCGAGGAGTCTTCATTTTTTCATTCGTATTATTATCAAAGCCAGAAAAAAGCCTCCATCCATCCATCTCCATGGCCATGCGACTATAACCCCCCCCAACCCAGTCCTCCCTCTTAAAATCCCCAAGTGCAGAGTCTATGCTACACCCCTCCTCCCACCCCAGCTAGCAAAGGAAGAGAGAAAGAACTTCGCGCAACGAAAGAAAAATCGATGCCTCACACCCACTCCCCCCAACAGAGCAGCACAAAAAAAAGTCAAGGGCAAAAAAAACAAGATCACGAGAGTAACACATCAAATTGGCAAAAAGAAAAATACAACAGGAAACAAGACCCCCCCTCCCATCCCCCCCCTTTCCCACCCCCTTCCAAATCCCATCCCAAAATCCAAATATCAACCCCCCCCACCCCGTCCGCCAATCCCCATCCCCCGTCGAATCAAATACGCTCAGATATCAATCCCCGCCCCAAGCTCCCCCCAGCCCACCGACCAATATGCACAATGCACACGCTCCACCGCCCCAGCCAGCACACCAGCTTTCAGCTCCCAAAAAACCCCATCCCATCCCATCCCCCGCGCCATGCAACTTTTGTGATTTCTTTTACCGTGTTCCAGACGCTCCTAACCCAACCCCCAACCCAGTCCATCCAGCTTTTTACTCCCCCCCCCCCCGGCCGACCACCCGCCCACCACCCAAAAAAATCCATGTTGCGAATACATCTATCCATCCCCTCCCTTTTCCATCCCATCCACCCAAACCCCACACCATCCGTCCCCGCACGCAGCACAAGCAAGACACGCAAGACACGCAAGACCACCGCAAGCCCCTGCCCGCATCAACCGATTGAACCGAAAACCCGAACCGAAAACCGAAGCAGAAGCAGAACCCGAACCCGCCCGCTTCCCAGATATTCAGATCTCCAAGATTTTATTTCGCTATGCATCGCGCCCCCAGACCAGAGCAACCAGACCCGACAGACACCCCCACCCGCCCAACCCGCTACCTAACCCGCAACCCAAAGCCCGCCGTCAGCAACGACCAACCCCCCGACACCCGCCACCAAAAGCCAAAGTTTGAAAAAGCAAAAAAGAAGAAGAAGATTTGATGAAAGAAAAAGAAAAATGTGAAAACTTGAGAGAAACTTTGATGAAGAGGAGAACTGGCGGAAATGCGTTCGCATGTGTGTAGGCAGACGCAGATGTAGATGGATGTAGATGTCCTTTCCTAGCGATGCTGTCCAATCCTCTGGATGAGGATGGAGATGGCGCGTTGCGAAGGCCGGGAGAATTGAGCAGTAGTAGTGTAGTAGATAAGAGCACCAGCGAGCCCTTTGTCGTATGTATTCCAAAAATCTCGGCCAGTAAAAAATGCTGTTTCGTTCGTCCAAAATATCCCACCACCCACATCCACACCCATCACCATCCACCAGCACCATCTAACCACACCTAAGCAGGACTCTTATTCGGCGCCGCCGCCGCCCCATTCTGTCTCGCATCCCCACTCATCGCCAGCCCACTAATCCCCGACGACAGGAACGCAAACGGATCGCTCTCCCCCTGCTGCTGCTGCTGCTGCTGGTAGAAGTTCCCCGCACCGCCCGCCGGTCCATTAGTAGCAGATTGGAACGCCGCCTCAGCCGCACGACTATCAAAAGGTCCAGCAGAGTGCGCGCCTCCCGCGCCACCACCAGCTCCGCCGCCCGCACCACCGCCGTAGTGCGAGTTTAAGCCCTGGTATGGGCCGGTCGCAGCACCCAGTCCAGAGGGTAGTGCGTACGTGCTCTGCGGGCCGGGGAAATGCTGTCCGTATCCCGCGCTGGAGGGGAATCCACCGGCGGACGAAGCGAATGGTCCCGGGCCAGGAGTTCCGGACATGGATTGCGGACCCATGTTATACCCCGACGGCGCCTCCATAGGGGACGGGTACCCGGAGTCTGCGACGACAACAGCGCCAGCGCGCGAGGCGCCGCAGCGGAGACAACTCACGTTCTTGGCGAAGTTGTGGTATCCGCAGCCTTCGGAGCCGCACTTCCAGTCACCAGCGCGGAAGGGGACGACGCCACCACCACCACCACCACCCATGCGGCCGCCGCCGTGGCCGCCGCCACCGCCCATGCCGCCATGGTGACCCATGTGCTGCTGCGGGGGCATCATGGCCGCGGGGCCGTAGCCGTAACCGCCGCCTCCGTAGCCACCCATCGCGTCGCCGCTTGGTCCGGCGCCCATAGCCGGGAAGGAGCAACGGAAGCAGGCGGTGCGGCGCTGGAAGTTGGAGAAGCCGCAGGATGGGCAGGTCCAGTCTCCTGGACGGGGACGGTTCTTGCTAGGTGGGAAGGGAGTGAGGATCTCGGCGGCGCGGTCGAGGACGCGGCTGGAGGAGGGGGAGACCTCGATGGCCTTCTCGTTGAGGGCGCGGCCGTTCATGCACAGCGATTCGGCGGCCTGGAAGTCCATTAGATTGTGTCCGCGAATGTGGAAGAACTTGACGAGACGGGGGATGGGGAGTTTGATCAGCTGGTCATAGAGGAGGAGCACGTATGCCGAGGGGCCCGCGCAGACGACTATCTGGTAGGTCTCGCACAGCTTGCAGTAGAGGTAGAGATTGGAGAGGGGGGGTGTGCTAACCTCTTCGTGGGACGAGAAGACGGCGAAGCCGGAGCCGGTGGGCTTGTGCTGGTCGGGGGTGCGCAGCGTCCAGAAGGCGATCGGGCGGCCGCCGAATTGCGTGAACCAGCTCTCGAGCTCGGACTGCGTGGTGTCGTGAGGCAGGCCAGCCATGTGCAGGACCTTGCTGCGCTCCGACAGGAAAGCGCGCACGTCAGCACGGGCGTCCATGGGGCGGGTGAGCACGTCGGGGTGCTCGTGGGCTGGCTGGGACTTGTTGATCAGTCCGCGCAGGACACGGGCGAGGGTGACGGCCTCCTCCATGGCGCGGCGGGGAGATGCGGGCGCCAGGGCCTGCAGGTGGAACGGCAGGTTGTGCTTGATTGGAGCGCTGGCGGCGACGGGCTCAACCTCGAGGGCGGCGCAGATGTTGGAGAGCATGGATGGCCCGAATGGCAGGGATTCGGGGTGGTGTTGCTGCCATCGCTGGTACTCGGTGCGGAGGTCGAATGTGCGAGAGTGTTGGAGATATGGCGGCAGCACGACGGCCTTGTCGCGGGCCTCACGGGGAAGCTGGACACGCAGGTCCCATGAGTCGAGGGTGACGAAAGAGAAATCCAAGTTCTTGGAGGTCAAGTGCTCGGAGGCGAAGGCATCGAAGCGGGTGATCGCATCACGGAAGGTGCCTGCATTGCGGACGTGCTCCCACGTCAATGTTGTCAGGCTGGCTAGGGGAAGGAAGAAGTGTTAGCTATACTCTGGCCATTGTAAAAGAGGTGCAATTTCGATCAAGGGGGTAGTTGTGTCCCAACTTACTGCAGAGGGGAGTGATCGGTGTGTTGATCGGCTTCACAAGCACGCTCTCACGGTATAACTGTTCACCCAAAAAAAATCCCAGTCAGTGTCTCAGTCCTCACGAATAAATATTATATATGGGAGTGTCGAGTGAATTTCGGCGTACCTCCTCGCAGTTCTTGGCGTCCAGAAGAATCCATCCTAGCTCGATGACCTCGGCCGAGTCCTTTGTAACGTATACGCCGTGCTCATCGCAGGTTGTTGCAACGTGGACAACGACATAGCGGTCGAGGTTCCCCTGCTGGGGTGTTGGCAGAGCTATAGACATCGTATATGGTTGTATTTCTGCTTGGGGGAAAAAGGATGTCGAGTTAGCAATCTGGGGTCTGGGTATATATATATAGAAAGAGGGAGAAGAGAGAGAGTAGTAGCTTGCGCACCAGCCAGAGGATGGACACGGGGTGAGGGAGGGAGGGAGGGAGGGGGGGGGTGGAATTGACGAGGTTCACTAACCAGTTAATTTCTTTGCTGGCGTGGAAGAACCAAACGTTTTTTAAGGGTTCGGTGTATAAGATGCCCAGGAGAGCCTTTTTTTCTCGAGTGAGGGTAAGGAAGGAAAAAGAACAGAACAATGCCAAACGCTGTTCACTATACAATTGATAGCAGCGAGAGAATGCGCACAGGAGAGGAAGGAGGGAAGAGGACTCGGAGGAGAAGTCGTCTGGGGTTGTAGTAGGGAGAAGGGGGGGGGAAGGGAGCCGGAGAGGGTGGAGAACAGCTCCGTCGAAGATGTTTAGAAAGAGATTTGAGGCCGTCGTTGATGGTTTATTGGGGTGACCGTAGTAGAGGTGGTAGGGTAGGATAGGGATAGGGTGGGATAGGTAGGGTAGGGTGCTGTTTAGGTGGATTAGTGCGTTTTTGGTGTAGTTTGGTGTGATTTGGTGTGGTTTTGGTGCGGGTATGTGGTGAATTTTGGGGGACGAGAAGCCCCAAGTGTCCGTGCACGCTTCCCACGTTTAGTGGAGGACTAATGGTAGTGCAGGTAGGGTAGGTAGGGGGAGGGATAAGTATTGGATAGTAGAAAAGCGTATGGGAGGGTACATAGGAGGGAGCGATAGGAGTGATAAAGGAGTGATAGTGCACAGTAGGCGTGAGTTGGGTGCTGTACGGCAGTTCGAGCCTGAGTCCGTGTGGGTATGGGAGAGTATATATATAGCAATATTGAGTGTGTTTGTAGAGTAGAGAGTAGAAGAGTAGAAGAGCAGAAGAGTAGAAATGAGTTATAGAGTGACTGTAGAGTAGAGTAAGAGTGTGAGTATAATGAATACAGAGTAAGATGCTAACATTAATATACGGCTATATACGAATATATATGTATAAACATCATTCCTCAGACCACACATACTCACTTCCCTCTGTACTGTGTCCATATAGCTCTCCAGGTGTCCCGTATCTCCCACCGTGTCCTATAGTACTACCATTGCCAGCTTGAGCACAGAACCTCGTACTCTGTGCTCCTGTCAACCCCAACGTCACATGACCAATCCCAAGTGTACGTACTGCATATCCCGCCAGTACCGCCATAAGGGACTTCGGGTAGGTGGGAGGAAGTCCAAAGGAAGGGATCGATCATCGAACCAACCACGGGGAGGCTAAGCGGGAATGACCAGGCATAACCAGAGGGATGGTCGCCAAAGCTAGAGTATAACTATAACTACCAATGGTAGACTAAGCGTTGATTGGGTTGGTGTGTTTATTTTGGTATGGGGGAAGGGATGATGCAGGGTCTTTTTCGTGGAGTAGTGATGGCATAGCTTCGACAGTAGACGAAGACTGGAGTAACAGAACGATGAGTGCGACACGTGAAATATAGTAAGCTGAAGAGCACAGGCCAGAGATAATGGCACGGTTGAGATATAATCTTATATACTTAATACTAGTAGTAGTCTCTATACTGCTCACTCTACTCACACTATTCACACAACTCACACTATTCACACACAACTCACACAACTCACCTCACACTACCAACACTCCTCACACAACTCACACTACCCACCACACCCTCTACCCTCCCTCCCTCCGTACTTATACCCCTCCCACCCAGCCATGACAACCCAACCACATCATGTGACTTACAACTCATCCACTCCATGGAGAAGCTCTCCCTCACCAGAGACACCAGAGACACCAGAGACACTCCCAACACTAGCCTCAATACTGCCCCCAGACAATGTCTCACAACAAACCTCCCCTTCCATCTTTTTCACCTGCAGAGAATAATGCAGAGAATGCAGAGAAGGGGGTATAAATAGGAACGAGTGTCAGCCATCGGCCAATACATGCATACTATATAGAGACAACGGGCAAGTCAGTCATCTCATCTCATCTTTCTCGCGTGTTTTTTCTTTTTCCCTTTCTCGTTCGCGTTATACATCACCCACCCATCACCGACATCCAAAACGCGTTCGTCCTGCATCATCGACGTCATAGGTTAGCAGTTCAGTCAGTTCAGTTGCCATGCCATCCATCCGCCGTGCCGTGTGGTGGGCTGGCTGCATCGTGGGTGGTGGCGTGTACTGTAAAATATAGTAGGGTAGGATAGGGCGTAGGGTGGGTGTATCGTTGCATGCATCGTCGCGCGGGTGGTAGTGAGTGTTGAATGGCGAATATGAGTTTGTTGAAGAAAGTTAGTTTTCACTTTTCACTCTGTCCAGTAGTGGTGTGGTTGCGTTTTTAGGTTGAGGGGGCTTCTCTGCGTCTTCTGTGCATGTTACTACTGCTACCATTGGGTAGAAATGCTGTTGTCTGACTGGGTTGAGTATACTGTATACATACTGTATGTAGTCTGACTGGAGGAGTGTTGAAGTGTCAGTTCTGTCAGTCAGCCGTGTTAGTATGACTACAGTTAGTATGATACACTTACTATGATTGATAGCAAGTCTGCCCGCGCCTATCTCCGCCAGTAATCATCGTGTCCAGTCACCACGGCCCGTCATCGGTCAACATCGTGGTCCACAGTCAAACACAGACAGACAGACACAAGTTACTCTACCTCCCTCCTTTCTATAATCCCCATCATATATCACTCACGCTTGTAATCACAGTAGATTATTCCCTTTTGACAACCCAACAAGTCTCTTTTTTTCATTTGTTTCCCAACCTCCCTCAACGCATAAAAAAACTTCTTAGTCTTAGTATACAAGTTAAGTACCAGATACACCTCCTTCGCCGTCATCAACCGCCCATTCTACAGCCATCTCCGGCCATTTCTCCAACGCCACCCAATGTATCCCCCCCGTACCAATATCCCTCTCTACTACCAACTCAACTCCCCCTCCCCCATCGGACGCACCGCATGTACCCACACCCACGTATATTTCGAGCTCTGGACCACGGCTAAAGAGAGGAAACTTGCTACTAAAATAGTATGTTTACACCATAAATACACACAAATACACGCAAAATACACACCAGAGACACTCTAGACGCTCTGGACACACACACACCACTATCGGACTAAAACACGGAGAATATTCTTTTGCGTGGTTTAATAGCAATCCTGCACCTACATGAAAAAAAAAAAAAGATAAAAAACTAGAATCCTCTCTCCTATCTGTTGATCTTCTCTCTCTTTAGCTTCATCCTCCTCTCTTCCCTTTTCCTTTCTTTCCTTCTTCTTGGTTGAGATTAAACAGTGTCAGGTTGTCCTTGTACTCTACTCTTACCCACTACCCACTAAACTCCCCAGCCGCCGACTTTCCTCCGCGCACCCACTACGCCCGCCCCGTGCTCCAGTTCAACCTCCAAGCGGGGACCCAACTATCAACACGCTACACCCAAACCCGCTACCACTACCAAAACTGACTGGGGTGAGCTCCAAGGCGCAAGACACAAGAGACATCCCAACGTCACAGCGCGGCCCTACTATCCTACCCATACTTGGTCTACACTGCACTACACCTATACTATACCTCGACTCCCGCTCCCGAACCACTTTCTCCCTCCTCTCCTCCTCCTCCTCCTCCTCCTCCTCTTCTTCTTCTTCCTCTTCACCTCTTACCCCCCCCCTTCTCTCTCTCTCTTGTTCCCCCTCAATTCCCATCACAGGGAAATCACTAGAGATCAATCGAGGTTGACGGCGACATTCCAATCGTCGTTCGTCCTAACAGCTCTCGCCAAAGCACACCTCTCAACCCACTCTCCCACCCCAACCCCACCCGCTCGCTCGCTATCAATCGATAACGAAGCCCACGATGGCCACCACCAACAGAGATGTCCGCAACCACTTTCTCTTCGAGATCGCGACTGAGGTTGCCAATCGAGGTATGGCTACTGCTTCTCTTTGACGGGCAGCTTCACATACTAATAATTCACAGTCGGCGGTATCTACTCGGTCCTCAAATCCAAAGCCCCCGTCACCACCGCGGAGTATGGCGACCGCTACACCTTGATCGGTCCGCTGAACAGGCAGTCGGTGAGGACTCCCCAAGCTCCCCAAGCTTCCCAAAAACAATTGTTATGAGAGAATGTAACTAACAGACGACACAGGCTGCCGTCGAGGTCGAGGCGCTGACGCCAACCAACCCCCAGCTCGCTGCCACCATCGCTGCCATGGAGGAGCGTGGCATCAGCATTGTCTATGGACGCTGGCTGATTGAGGGTGCCCCCCGCGTCCTGCTGATCGATACGAAGACCGCATACAAGTTCCTGGACGAGTGGAAGGCGGATCTGTGGAACACGGCGAGCATCCCGTCGCCGCCTGGTGACGATGAGACCAACGAGGCGGTGGTATTTGGATACCTCGTCGCGTGGTTCTTGGGAGAGGTAAGAATAGCTTACTACCCTCTCTTAAGACAAATACTAATATAGCTACAGTTCGTCGCCCACGAGAAGGAAAAGGCCGTCATCGCCCACTTCCACGAATGGCTCTCCGGCGTCGCCCTCCCCCTCTGCAAAAAGCGCCGCATCGACGTAACGACCATCTTCACCACCCACGCCACTCTCCTCGGCCGCTACCTCTGCGCCGGCTCTGTCGACTTCTACAACAACCTGCAGTACTTCGACGTCGACGCCGAGGCGGGAAAGCGCGGCATCTACCACCGCTACTGCATTGAGCGCGCCGCTACGCACTCCTGCGACGTCTTCACGACCGTCTCCCACATCACCGCCTACGAGAGCGAGCACCTCCTCAAGCGCAAGCCGGACGGCGTGCTGCCCAATGGTCTCAACGTCACGAAGTTCAGCGCTATGCACGAGTTCCAGAACCTGCATCAGCAGTCTAAGGAGAAGATCCATGATTTCGTGCGGGGCCATTTCTATGGGCACAATGACTTCGACCCGGATAACACGTTGTATTTCTTCACTGCGGGACGCTACGAGTACAGGAATAAGGGATGCGACATGTTCATCGAGTCTCTCGCGCGCCTGAACCACCGCCTCAAAGCCTCCGGTTCCAAAATGACAGTCGTGGCATTCATCATCATGCCCGCGCAAACCCAGTCCCTCACCGTCGAAGCCCTCAAGGGCCAAGCAGTCATCAAATCCCTCCGCGACACCGTCGACGTCATCGAGCGCGGCGTCGGCAAGCGCATCTTCGAGCGCGCCCTGAAGTGGCACGATGGCGACCCAATGCCCGACTCTAAAGATCTCATCACGGCACAAGATCGCATCCTCCTCCGTCGCAGGTTGTTCGCTATGAAGCGCCATGGTCTCCCGCCGATCGTCACGCACAACATGGCGAATGATGCGGAGGATCCGATTCTCAACCAGATCCGCCGCGTGCAGCTTTTCAACCACCCCTCTGACCGCGTCAAGATCGTGTTTCACCCCGAGTTCTTGAACTCCGCTAACCCGGTCCTGCCGCTCGACTACGACGAGTTCGTGCGCGGTACGCATCTCGGTGTCTTCCCATCCTACTACGAGCCGTGGGGCTACACACCCGCGGAATGCACGGTCATGGGCGTCCCATCCATCACGACCAACCTCTCGGGCTTCGGCTGCTACATGGAGGAGCTCATCGAGAACTCCACCGACTACGGAATCTACATCGTCGACCGCCGCACCAAGGGGGTCGACGACTCCGTCAACCAACTCACGCACTTCATGGCCGAATTCGCGGCTAAATCCCGTCGTCAGCGCATCAACCAGCGGAATCGCACCGAGCGCCTCAGCGATCTGCTGGATTGGAAGAGGATGGGCATGGAGTATGTGAAGGCGCGCCAGCTGGCGTTGAGGAGAGCGTATCCGGCGAGCTTTGAGGGCGAGGAGGGCGGGGAGGATGTCTTTGCGGGGAGTGATGTTAAGATCTCGAGACCGTTTAGTGTGCCCGGATCTCCGAGGGATAGGTCGGGGGTGATGACGCCGGGGGATTTTGGGAGTTTGCAGGAGGGGAGGGAGGGGTTGAGTACGGAGGATTATATTGCGTGGAAGCTGCCGTGAGTTTTTGTCCCTTTCTCCTTTCTACCCTTTACTGTTGTTAGAGAGGGGTGCGTGAGATGGGTGGGAGCAGTATACTGACATGATAATAGAGAAGAGGAAGACCCAGATGAGTACCCCTTCCCCCTCACTCTCCGCACCCGCCGCCCATCGGGAAGCGCACTCGATCCTATGAGCGGCGGCCCCACTAGCCCTGCGGAGCTGGGGAAGGCTACGAATGCGGGTGCGAATGGGGAGGGGAAGGCTAAGGCGGAGGCGACGACGGCGGCGAAGGCGTAGATGGCGGCGTTGTCGTTGTCTTGGCGTAGTTGTCGTCATCGTCGTCTTGGCTTGAATGAGAAAGGCTTGTTATTGCCTTACTATCTACCTGGGTGTGAGAAAGGGGGGGGGTTGTTTTGGTACGAGAATGGGAGTGTGGACATAATGCTGTGGATGGGGAGGAGGAAATTTCGAAAAAATATGTTTTGCATGAGAGGCCGCGGGGGAGTGCATGGTTGAGCGTGTTGGAGGAAGGGGAGGGAAGGAAGGGGGGGATGGGCATAGTCGTTGTGCGCGCGTTGAGCTTTTGAACTGGCCGGGGAGGAAATATTTTTTGTATAAACATGGAAGACGCATTTTATAGCATTGCTTGCATCGCATGCATCGGTACTGTCTTTTATCGCATCTATCGCCCTGTCTGTCATCCTGTCGTCCTGTGTGTCTTCTGTGGAGTGATAGTGAGCTGGGTGATAAATGTTGTAAATGTTGTAAAGGGTGAGAGTATGAGAACCGTGTGGCTGAAGGTGTGGCTGGTGACGGGTGCCACCCGCGATCGATGGTGGTGACCCCTGTCACCCAACCAGCGAGCTACCCCAGACAAAAGTCGCGGCGGCCGGCCAGCGGCGGCGGCGATTAGATCGCGCGATGTGGCTCTAAGAAATATCGCGGTATCACTCGCTGTGGTTGAACAGCACAACACGACAAGCCCACCCACGCCCTCTCCCTGGCACTCTTCTTTCCTCATCCTCTCAATTACCTCTCTCTTTCTCTTAGGGCTGGAAACTTCATCTTTTCTTTACCACCGCACAATCTCAACCACAACCACAACCACAACCACAAGCTCAATTTACACACGCCCCGATTTACCAGCACAGGTGCACTTGCGCCGCACCACACCACACCACACCACACCACACCTTGGATTTCTGACGCTGAAGGGAAAAGGAGGGAAAGATGCATACCTCCATAACGCGCGCGCAGAACGCGTTTGGGTTCTTCACGACGGTGGCGTTTGTCGTTGCGCTCTTCGTGGCGGGGAGTGATTACCTCGTTGCGCGGACGCCGGGGGCGGAGGTTAAGGTTGGGAGTGGAGGGGTTACGGTGTACGTTTCTCCCTTAGTTTTCTGTTGCTCTATTTCTGGCTCTGGGTTCCTCGCTGGGTTGCCCGGGGGAAGGGTGAAAGCGGTGTCTTTTAATTGACGAAGAAGAGCTGGCTAATGTGTATGTGACAATAGCACGAAAGGACGACCGCACTACTACAGCACCAAGAAAGAAGAACACGCCAGCATCCGCTTTGATCTCAACGCCGACCTGTCGAGCTTGTTTACCTGGAACACGAAACAAGTATTCGTCTACGTGACAGCGGCGTGGAACGAGACCGCAGGCAGCGCGGAGGCAGCACCGAACGAGGCGGTCATCTGGGATACGATCATCACCAGCCCTAGCGCGGACCACTTGGCGAATCTGCCGAAGGTGGCGAAGCGGAAGCTGGTGGAGAGTGGGAGGGGGAAGAGCGTTGATAGTGGGCGGTATGTTTGATTCCATTCCTCTCATTTCCCATTTCTTTGCCTGTTTACACGTCGGTGTCGCGGAGGGAGTCTGGTGTTAATCGATCAACGGCGCGTGCGTTGGGTGAACAAGTGCGGGGACAACAGAGAGAGAAAGGAGTACATGATTGGAAGCTAATCCATTCACAGCGGCATTATTAAGTTGCGCAACCAAAAACCAAAATACCAAATCACCGCCCCCACCGGCAAGGTCGCGCAAGCCCGCGGCGTCACGCTCCGTGTGAGATACAATGTGCAGCCGTGGGTTGGTGCGCTGGCGTGGGATACGGAGGGGGAGGTTGGGCTATGGAAGCCGATGAAAGGGGGGGAGAGTAAGAGGTTCGATTTACCGGCTGTGAGGGAGAAGGGGGGGAAGAAGGTTTAGGTTGTGGTGAGTGGGAAGCTGGGGGGAGTTGGGGAGTTGTAAAGGGGAGGGGGGGGGGTTTGGGTGGGGGGTGTAGGATTTAAACGGATAGGGAAAGTAATTTCATGCGATTTTTATGATGGGGGGTGTAGTTATTGTGCGTGACTACTGGCTGACTACTCTACACCACCTAATCCCAATCACTATCATCATCCTCTCCATCCTCCTCATCATCCCCCTCCTCCCCCTCACTCTCACTCTCACTCTCCCCCCCCCTCTTCCTCCTCCACCCACTCGGTCCCACCGCCCCCGCATCACGTAAATCATTAAACAGACTCGCCTCCGCCATATCCTCATCCTCCGTCTCCCAGGCCGTTTCGTCATCGATCTCGATTCCGCGCCACTCATCCACGGCGTCTTCGAGATCGGTTGAGTAGTCTGTGGTGTCGGATTCAACCTCGGGCAGCTCTCTGCCTTTTCCTTTTCCTTTGTCTAGTCTGGGTCGCTGGTTTTCTTTATCGTCTTCATCGCCTTCTTCTCCCATCTCCGTATCCCCGCCCCCAAATCCATGCTCCGCGCGTTCTTTCCTCAACCTCGCTCTCTCGGCCTTTCTCTCCGCGCTCTCCTTCTTCCGTTCTGCTCTAAGCCTCGCTCCAATCGCTCTCTCCTCGTCCTCGGAGTCGCTCATATACATTTCCTCATCACTCGGTTTGATATCCCTCCCCGTAACTGGGTCCACATGGCCCCATAACATCATGTAAAGGAGATGATCATCCAGCCTCAACCTTCTCCTCACCGACTCCCTCATCACCAATTCATCGATACGAAACAGATGGATCTTCCCCTCTCCCCAGCCCTCAAGATGCAATTTCCCGATCTCCGCGGGAGAGACTCCGAAGATAGACATCCCCGAGTTCTCAGGCTTGACTTCATAGCAGTATCGTACTGCGGCGCGCAATACCTCAACTGCATTCGTAAACCCCTTTCGCATCAATAATCTCCATAATGGAGAAAGTCCGCGCTGTCCCAACATAACCCTCACAAGCCCATCATCCCCAACCCCCGTCATAGGCTCATTAAGCCTCATCCCCAGCTTCAGCACCCACGCTTGCGCATTCCAACAATCCACATCAGTCCACCACGTCTCATTATGGACTAAACAAATCCGCCCCGCCGTCGTGGCAACATCCATCACCACCCACGTCTTCAACAGCGTCTCCCTCGTTGACTTCGGTAATCGATGTCCCTCCCTAGCTAAGCAGGCGAGGATATCCCTAACGCACCTCTCTCGGTGGACTACCATTGCCAGCCAGCGGAAACTGGGAACCTGACGAACTAACGCCCAGTTGGTGGGCTCGCGGCGACCGAGGGGGTCGGGGATGCAGAGCGTGGAGTACATACCGTGTCTGCAGATGCGGGAGGCGAGGGGGGCGAAGGCGCGCGCGCAGGTCTTGAGGGCGTGCGTGAGGTGCGTGTTGAGGGTTGTGTGGAAGAGGCGGGAGGTGGAGTAGAGGGTTAGGAGGGAGGAGGGGGGGAGGTGGGCGCAGAGCTCGAAGTAGAGTTCGGGGTGGGAGGCGAGGACTTCGAAGGGGGAGTGGGTGGAGGGGGTGAGGCGGGGTTTCTTGGTGAGGAGGGGGGAGGTTGGTGTTGCTGTTGCTGTTGCTGTTTGTTCGAAGGAGGGTGTGGGCGAGGGGGAGCGCGCGCGCTTGAGACTTTGGGTTAGTTGGGAGGTGGTGGGGAGGATGCCGAGGGGTGTGAGGGGGTTGGTTGTTATACTTGTGAAGGAGGGGACAGTGGCGGGGGCTGGGAAAGCAGTGCTTGTTGAGGGCCCGGCGAAGGCGGCGGCGCGGGGGTCGGCAGGGTCTTGGTAGCCCGTTGGATCGTCCTCCCAGTCTGAGTCCTCGTCGTCGTCGCCGTTGGCGTTTGGGATTTCTTCCATCTCGGGGAAGTCGTCGTCGTCGTCGGTATCGGGCATGGCGGCGTCGCGCGCGCGGTTGGAGTTCATGAGGGCTTTTATGGCGGCGTTTTTGGGGAGCTTGGGAGGAGGTACGGGATTGTCGTTCTCGTCGACGTAGTCGTATTCGAAGTCTGAGTCTTCGCTGTAGTCCTCGTCTGAGTTGCCGAAGTCGAGGCCCTCGGCGGAGGGATCCATGTCCATGTCCATGTCTTCATCTTCGCTCTCATCATCAGGCTGCGCGGAGACGCCTTGGATGTTGAGCCCGCCGAACCCTTCGACTGGGTTAGGGGGGTTTTGGGGACCCTGCGGCGGGGGGTTCGGGGTTCCAATGACCAAATGTGGTAGAGCCCAGTGGTTCACATGGGCAAATTCGCCTACGGAAGGGGGTTGAGGGTTCTGGGCCAGGTTGTTCGCTGGAAGGGCGTTGACGACGGGTATGGGTGGTGGAGGAGGTGGGCCGAAGAAGACTGGAGCTGGGAAGGTGGGTGGTGATTCAAATTCCGGAGATTCTTCATATTCGTATGAAGGCGAGATAGATATGTTCTCGCTCTCCAAGGTTGGACCAGCTTGCCCAAAGGGGGTTTGAGAAGGACCTGGAGTCGAAGCAAAGGTGGCTGATGCTGGTATGGAGGGTGTCTCTAGGTATGAGGGGGGAGCAGGTATGTTCCCGCCCTGGAAATCTTGGCTATATTGCCCGAAAATAGATGGAGCTGTGGCTGCATGGTTGTTATGAAAGACGTGGCTCGGTGGAGGAGATGGTCCAAAGAAGACGGGGCCAGGAGCTGTATTGTGGTTCAGATTTGTGTTTGAATTTGTATTCGTGAATCCTTGATTAGTTGAGGACGGACTGTCTGTATCTTCAATAGGATCAGTGAAGCCGAAGAAGTCTGTATTGTTGTTCTCGTTCGAAGACATCGTAGGTGTTCTGTAAATCTCTCTCCTCTTGAAATATAATAGTCCAAGTGTAGTATCCTTCAGATCGAGATCTGTAAACTAGTGTGCTTGTGAAAGCAAGGAAGCAAGTTGTGTTGTGTGGATATCAAGTAGTTTGACGAAGGTGAAATTATAGAAATACCTTATATTGCCAAACACAACAGTGAATTGGCCAACTTGGGAAAATCCTTTCATAGAACAGTAGTAACATAAGCTACCTTCCCTCTTCCTCTTTATCTACCTTTCGTATCCCCTATCTTATAATTTCAAGACTCGCACTGCCCTTTCACAACTCATCCATATGACACCATCCATCAATTATTCAACAACTCATCACAAGGCATACATTCGTCGGTTATTTAACAACACCATGGGCAAATATTTGATGCAGCTGTGGAGGTGACCACTGTAGGTCTCCACGTTTTCGTCGTAACTGGGATATTTATTGGCCGCTGGAACACAGACACCTAGTCATTCATAAAAGGGAAAACACCTCACTGGAGATCAATAGAAATCACAATCACAAGATCGCAAGAACAGAATAATGAAAGTGCCGTAGCAGCAGCATAGACTTCCGTCGAAAGTAAACCAGCACAAAACCTCATTGTGCATCGCACGTATCTGTATACGCTAGTCCAGTGGCATGCTATGCAAATAAACTCCTTAAACTCATTTTGTCCCGTGATATTCACTTGGATATCTCCCATTGGTGACTGTCATCTCCATACATTCATACATAATTCTTTCTCCTTTAGTGGCTCGCACTTAGCGCTCGACTTCATCGACTGGCACATCTTCCAGGTCCTTGCCAACAATAGCTTCTGAAACTTTCCAGATCTGGATCAAGTTGTCTTCCGCAGCGCTGCAGACAACCCACGGCTCGTTCTGGTTCCATGAGAAGTCGGCAAGATGGTTGGTGTGTCCACCGTGCATGAATAGACTATATTGTGTTAGTACGTTGATGCCACGTGATTTAAAGGGGGTAATATGTCAGGGTTCAACTTACAGCTCCGGCACGCCGTCCTCAATATCATCTGGCAGCTGCTCCTCCCCAACACGGCTCAGATCCCAGAAAATCACACGACGATCGTAACTGCCACTGCCGAGAATGGCTTCCTCGAATGGATGCCAAGCCAAAGATGTGACTTGGTCGTTGTGGCCCTCCAGGGAGTGGATCATGCTGTTCAAGTTGCGGAGATCCCAGATGCCGATCGTCTTATCAGACGAACCAGTAGCAACAATGTGGTCAGAACCAGGGGCAAAGGCGATCGCGTTGATGGCGTCAGTGTGGCCGGTGCCTTGGAGTGAGGATCTTGTGGTATCCGATTCACGGGTATCCAGGATCTGGAGAGTCAGATCGTCCGAGACCGTTCCGATTATGGCCTTGTGGATGGGGTGGTATTGAACATCATTAACGATAGCTGCGTGGTGAGTGTAGGTCCTTGAGGGCTTAACAATGTTGCTGGTCGCTGTGACGGATTTCAGATCCCTAGATAGTCAGATAGTGTACAGCTGAAGCAGAAAGTCTTCTTACCATAACCTGACAGTTTTATCTTCGCTACCAGTCGCCAACTGCCCCTTCTCATGGGGGTTCCAGCACAGGCCAAAGCCTTCTTTGGTGTGGCCCCTCAGCTCCGCCTGGGGTGTCACAGTGCCGGTTGGCAGGCTGCTGTGCTTAGTTCGGTCAAAAACCAATACCTTGCCGTCGATGCACATCGTTGCAATAATATTTGGGTTTTGAGGCTGGTATCTCGCTTTATTGACCTCTCCAGGGTGGTCGATCTTCTGCTCGATCGTCATCTTGATGGTAGGCGACTCGCCAGACGATGAGTTCCCATATCCTCCAATCTCTCCCTTCTCGTCGTCATAGTCACGCTCGTTCGGGGTGATATTCTTTGGGAGCTCGACATTGGCGATTTGTAGGTAGTTTGTCGCATCGTTTGATGTGTGAGTGCCGATGAGCAGGCGGTGGGTAGTGTAGTTCTTGTCAGGGAGTCTGAATGGTTAGAAGGTATTGAAAAATCGGTGGAGGAGAGAGACAAACGATTTGACGTCTGGGAACCATTGAGTTGTCAACGTCGGCCATTCCAGGGCGGTGCTAATCACTTTTAGTTACGGTCTTATAATGGGACTGCTTCAGTCGCATACCTTAGGATCATATCATATAAAAATGGGCTGTTTTTCTTCCATGTTTTATATTCTTTTGCGCATGTCAGCAAGGCAATGCTCCATCATCACCTTGGGTGCCGTTTACCTTCGTTGATAATCTTGGCCTCGGCATCTGCGTCCTGGACGTCTCTCTCGGCGACTATAACATGGGTAAGCTGGTGTTACTTTCATTGCCCACATTTCACTTGAATCCCACCAGGTAGGTCCTCGTTGTCATAGAAAGGCAGGGTTTGCGATTGACTTACTGTCCATCTCGTCCTTCACATCTGCTGCGGCTGCGGGCGCCATGATTATCGCACTCTGCGATTGAGGTTAAAAGGAATAAAATAACCGCAATGAAGAGTGAAGTGTGGTAAGGGTATGGCAGTCCCCAGTATCACAGAGGGGTAGTTGCAATGGATTCTTTGTTACAAAGAGCTTCGGTGGAGGTTGACGCGATTTTGGGGTGAAGCGCGTCTAAAGTGGCCCATGCTGTGCGGTCGCAGGCGCGGGTTTGGGTAGTGGCAACCTTAAAGTCCCTCCAAGGATTATCAGCCTATCGCGAGGCTAACCTGAAGGGGGGCTCAGCCTGACGAACTCAAACGTCAAGACCCAGAGTCACAACGATCAATGCCAGAGTCACAGGCTTCCTCCAGACAACCTCTTACTTGTCATATCTTCACATACGCAGTCATTATATTCGACTTTTCGGTTTCTCTAGGAGTTGCAGGCTTTTGATCGTTTTATATAACAGTCCTTACATCTGTTATCGCCTCTTTTAGCGCAGTCTACGCTCAAATTCGATTTCAGATCACAACCACTACACGCCTCGCCAGGTCGATATAACTGCAGCACTTATAGAAGGGCTATACAGCGACCGCTGCGATGGGTGTTCCAAAGTTCTTCCGCTGGATGAGCGAGAGGTACCCAGCTATCTCTCAGCTCATCGCGGAAAACCGCATTCCAGAATTCGATAATCTCTATGTATGAACCTTGCCTGCCGCGCGCAGGACTACAATGCCATGTTTGTGTCATATACTAATGCTCTATTAGCTGGATATGAACGGTATTATCCATAATTGCACCCACAAGGACTCCGACGATGCGACATTCCGTATGACAGAGGAGCAGATGTTCATTGCGATATTTAACTACATCGAGCATCTTTTTGGGAAGATCAAGCCGCACAAGCTCTTCTTCATGGCCATTGATGGGGTTGCTCCCAGAGCCAAGATGAACCAGCAGCGCGCACGACGATTCCGCACAGCTCTCGATGTTGAAAATGCTCGAGAAAAGGCGATTCGTGAGGGGAAGGAGATGCCAAAAGAGGAGGCATTCGACAGCAACTGCATTACGCCAGGGACAGCGTTCATGGCGAAGCTGTCGGAGCAGCTGAAATACTTCATCAACAAGAAGGTGTCGGAAGATACCGACTGGCAGGGTGTAGAGATTGTTCTCTCTGGCCATGAAGTTCCGGGAGAGGGAGAGCACAAGATTATGGAGTACATCCGCCTGTCGAAAGCACAACCGGATTACGACCATAATGTCCGTCATTGCCTGTACGGTTTAGACGCAGATCTTATTATGCTGGGTCTGTTAAGTCACGATCCTCATTTCTGTCTTCTTCGAGAAGAAGTTACTTTTGGGCGACAGAGCAAGGCGAAGTCGAAGGAGCTAGAGCACCAAAATTTCTACCTTATGCACTTATGCATTGTACGAGAATACTTGGAGATCGAGTTCCAGGAATTAAAAGAGCCTGGCATTATGGGTTTCGAGTTCGACTTGGAACGGGTCATTGACGACTTTATTTTGATGGCGTTCTTCGTTGGAAACGATTTCTTGCCCAATTTACCCAATCTTCATATTAACGAAGGAGCGTTGGCGCTGATGTTCAAGATCTACAAGTCTGTTTTACCAAAGGCAGGCGGATACCTTAATGAGGGCGGAGTTATCAACATGCCGCGGTTAGCGATTTTACTGGAAGAGCTCTCTCATGTGGAGTACCGTTTCTTCGAGTCTGAGAACTCGGATGCGAAATGGTTCAAGGGCAAGCAAATGGCAAAGGTGGATGTCATGGAGAAGGGCAGCAAGCGCAAGGGCAAGGTGGTGATGACGTCGGCGCAAAAGGATGTCTGGAAATTGGTTAAGATCTTTGTCAATAACCGATCGCCAGAGCCACTTGACCTGCCTTCTAGCCTTCCCGCCAAGGACAGGAAGTTTGTTGAGGATCTGGCAGATAGCCTTCACTTAGATTGGAAGACAGTCGAGGATGAGAATGGCGATCGCCACCTACAAATTTCCTTCCCTGCGAAGTTGGAGCAAGATGATGACGAGGAGGAAGAGCAGGATGAAGAGTCCCAGCTTGCAATCCTACGGGTTGTCAAGCAGTACGATAACGCAAATATCGTTGACGTGAGCGCCGAAAAGGCACAGGCTGAGATGGATAAGAAGTACGAGGAGAAGTTCCAGGAGTGGAAAGATAAGTACTACGACGGGAAATTCGAATGGAAACGCGATGACGAGACGGAACTGACAAAGCTCGCCGAGAACTACGTCCAGGGGCTGCAGTGGGTTCTGTATTACTACTACCAGGGCGTCGTATCATGGCCTTGGTATTACGCTTACCATTATTCGCCAATGATTTCAGGTATGTCGTTTTCCATGCCTCAAATATCTGCAATGCTAACCAGCTTTTAGATGTTGTCAAGGGTCTGAAGGCGGATATCAACTTCAAGCTTGGCCAACCGTTCCACCCATACGAACAGTTGATGGGAGTCCTGCCTGACCGCAGTAAGAAGATTGTACCAACAGTGTACCATGAGTTGATGACGGATCCGAAGTCGCCCATTATTGATTTCTACCCTCGAGATTTCGAGCTAGATATGAACGGCAAGAAGATGGAATGGGAGGCGGTTGTAAAGATTCCTTTCATCGATGAGAAGCGACTACTATCGGCTATGGCGCCGAAAAACGAGCTTCTAAGCGATGATGAGAAGGCTCGTAATGAGTTTGGCGTTTCATTGAAGTTTACGTACGCTCCAGATTTGGATTTCACTTATCCATCGTCCTTGGTGGGAATCTTCCCAGATATCCCGCATTGCCACTGCGTTGAAAACATTTTTGATCTACCCACAATTGAGGGGTTAGAATACTTTGTTGGTCTCATGGGAGACGTTAAACTTGGGGAGGATGCCTTGGCAGGCTTCCCTAGTTTGGCTACGTTGCCGTACAATGCTGCCCTGGGCTTCCACGGAGTGAACGTCTTCCAACAAGACAGCCGCAACGAGAGCTCAATTGTCACATTGACGGATACTGAGGCGAGGACAAAGGTCGAGAACGCCAAGGCAAGGCTTGGTCAAAAGGTGCATGTTGGATACCCATTCCTTCAAGAGGCCAAGGTCATCCGTGTTTCCGATGAGCTGTTTAATTACACTCTCCCAACAGATGGCTCGGCTCATGTTGTTGCTACGCCTCACGGCCCTCGCGAAATCGAGGACTTCCGCAGGAAGGCGGAGAGAATCGAGAATGTATATAGCAAACGTCTCGGTATCATCATCGGGCCAGTTGAGTCTCTGACTCACGTCGACATGTTGAAGGGCATGAAGAAGACCGATGCCGGCGCTACGGTCAAAGAATACGCCTATATCGCCGGAGTTGAGACTGACTATGCCTCACAAGTCGTGGTCGATGAAGTGGCCAGCGAGGATCAGCGCTTTATTGAGAAGGCAGCCTTACCCATCGAGGAAGAATTTCCTATTGGGTCTAGAGCCTTCTTCCTTGGAGAGTTCAACTACGGGCGCCCACTCGAGATCATTAAGCACAACGAAAACAAGGCCGAGATCTGGCTGTCGACTGTCCAAGGTCGTGAGCCAGAGGTTGGCCGTGAGGTCGTTGCCAGGTCTGAGAGGACGACGCCGTACATGCCGTCATATGCTGTGGCGAAGCGCTTACAACTTCACCCGCTGGTTCTTAGCAAATTGACCTCTTCTTTCACAGTCAATGTGAATGGATTGAGAGTCAACCTAGGCCTTAACCTGAAATTCGAGGGCAAGAAGCTCAAGGTTCTGGGCTATTCCCGTCGTGGAGAAACTGGTTGGGAGTTCAGCGACAAAGCTGTTGATCTAATTTCGCAGTATATGATCAGGTTCCCGGAGTTCATTGCTGGCATCCAACGCAAGCCTCAAGGCAATGAGTACGACGCCGCGGATTTCTACACCGCTGATTCTGCTAAGGCGAAGTTTGCTGAGATTACCGCTTGGCTGAAGACAATTGAGTCGAAGAACTTTGATAAGGTTCCTATCGATGCTCAACAACTCGACTCTGACACTGTCAAGGCAATCGAGGCTTCAGTCGATGCCATGATTCAGAGCAATCCAGGACCGGTTGGCAAGAAACTAAAGGGCGTTCCGCGGAACGCGCTCATGAGGCCAGCTGACGCAGAGCACCGCCTTGGCAACCAAAAGTTCGGCCTTGGTGACCGCATCGTCTATGTCCAAGACTCCGGACGTGTCCCAATCGCCACTCGCGGAACCGTGGTGGGCATCAGCCGCACCGCGCGCACAACTCTCGTCGACATTGTTTTCGACCACACTTTCATCAGTGGAACGACCCTCGATGGTCGCTGCGACCCATTCCGTGGTTCTACCGTCCCCATCACCTCAGTGCTGAACTTGTCGCACAAGCAAGTCATCGCTGGCTCTAAGGCAGCAGTCGAGAAGCGTCCCGCTCCTATCTCGCAGCCACTGACCGCCAATGGCGGATACGGAGCGCCAACCGGGCCCGGTGGCCGTGGACAGTATCGCGAGGCCGGCGCCCCGCCACCTCTTCGCGGCTCATACCGTGGTGCTGCGGCGGGCCAGGGCAACAACTTCGGTCGCGGACGAGGCCGTGGTGGACTAGGATTCGACAATGCCCCTGCTACACACTCTGGCATGGCTATTCGCGGACCTAACGGTGCTGGGGTCCAGACCAATGGGCAAAACTTTGCGCCGAGAGGCCGAGGTGGTTTGGATGGTGCGAGGGGAGGTAGAGGGGGAGCGCCGCAGTCGTATAACTCTATGCCACCCCCGGCTAGCCTGGACTCTGCTGCCCGTGGCAGGGGACGCGGAGGAAGAGGACGAGGAGGTAACAGAGGACGCGGAGGCCCTGCTCCGACGCCGACGCAGTAAAAAAGCATTGTAGGCATTTGAGATGCTGGGTTATAGGGGGGTTTGTTTGTATAGGCTTGACGATGGTATGAGCACTTCACGATGTCGGATGAGTACCACGAAAAGCATCTAGTGTAGCATAGCCGGAGGAGGCAGTCGTTGGTTTTTGATGTTTTTAAAAAGGAGTATAAACGCAATAAAAAAAAGAAAACTGTTTTATAACAAATATGTAACTATAATGCCCGCATAGCGCCGTCGATTTGAGTTCTATAAATTGCAGCCCCCTCTCCGAATGAGCTGAGCTGCCTTCTAATCTACTCTCCTTCGCCCTTCTTCGTCGCAATAGTCGAGAACTCCAACAAAATAATTCTAGAAACCGCCTTATAGCTCCTTTGTCATGATATCATCCGTCTGCACAATCTCCCCAATAGTAAAGTCATGGTGGCCCACCCTCCTATACCCCAACTTCTCATACATCCCCTGAGCGTTGTTGTTCTCCTCCCAAACTCCAAGCCAAATATGCTTAAACCCCTCACCCCTCGCAATTTCTTCTAGCTTATTGGCAAGCAACCTCCCGACTCCCTTCCCATGGTGATTGGGATCCACATATATCCTTTGGAGCTCTACCGTGCTCTCGAGGTGGGAAAGACATGGTTCTGTGCTGCCACGGGTTAAGAGGGCGAAACCGAGAATGGCGCCGTCTTGATTTGATGCAACGACCATGTCCTTCATGGGGTCTTTGAGGTCCTTTTCAGTTGCTGATATGCTGTAGGAATCTTCTAGGAAGGATTGAAGCTCTTTTGCTGGAACGGAGTGGCCGAAGGTAACAGTGAAGATATGTGCTCCGAGTTTGGAGACTGTAGCAACATCTTCAGGAGTTGCCTTGCGGATATGGATTGATCGCTGAGCACCGGCTGCCATGTTTGAAATTGGTGTGCAGGTGATATTTAACGCGTCGTTTGGGAGTAAATGAATGTGTTGGGAAAAAATGGAAAGTGATAACAATATAAGATGTTATATATACTTGGGACTCAAAACCTTACCTACCCACACCCGTCCCACAAGGAAAGGATTTATTTTGTTCTATGGGTTCGCCACTATTGTACGCCCTGTACTCTATCTAACCCCAGGAACTAGCTTCATTATATAAAGCTTTTATGGGTCATAGAAAGGATTGGACACATTTTACTTTGCTTCTTCTGACAGGGGTATAGATCCTTCTCGAACCTCTAATATCACTACAAATATGATAAAATTGCAAATACAAGGACCTATAACTGCATATGAAATCCTTGTAGAATCTGTCACAAACAGGATAATGACGTGTTTGGTCAGCGTTGGCATACGTAGCGACTAAGCGAACGCTACAGTCCGTCTGTCCGTCTCCGAACGACACCGTGATCAATTCATGAACAACAATCAACATAGTCTGACTATGATGACTGAGATGCTAACATCTGAATGAGCTGGCTTTACACATTATAATCCCTTTATCGGAAGAGGAAGAATCACCAATAATGAATAAGCTGTCGCTTCACTGCTGGGCTGTGACGATGGAGGTGTTAGGTTCGGATCTGCGTCGGTGTCGGTGAAGGAGGACACAACGACCTCTGAATGAGGAATGCGACAAACAAATGCAGATATGATTTGGTTTATATGCCATTGACCTCAGAACAATTGAGCCTTACCTACCCACCTTAAACACGAACTTCCCTGGACTGGGACGAACACAGCCAGCGATCTCACCCATCAATCCCGCCGTCAATCCGATCCGTCGCAACTTACCCTCGGCACTCCGGATATTCACAACAGCAATAATGCTCGCATACCATGGCGCCCAAAGAGGTTTATTGAGAGGGCACGTCAAGGTTGAGAGGTGGTTGAATGGCAAGGCGGCCAAGTTGTTGATTTGATGGCCTGTGGTTGGCATCTGTCGGATGGGTTCATAGTCACTAACCACACTGCGTCTGATGGCCGTCTCCAGCTTCACATGGAACATCGGCTGGAGGGTATGACGGTCTTATATGGAAGGCTACCGGGGGAATTGCATGCTGGGGGCGCTTCTTGGTTGGATTGGGGTCCCTTTATCTCGATCTAACTGTTCATATCCTGCGACTTGAGCGACCGCCCATTTGACCCCGAGTTCCCGCCGCTCCCACGATCCCAAGTTGTACATTATTTGCAGCTCAGTGGTAATAATTACCATCGCGGCAGTCGGACCAGCCGGTCGCTGAATGAGCACCCACTGTCTGACAGTTTTGGAGTCGTGCCATCGTCTCGGCGGAGTCTCTGCATCTATCACGCCATATTGTCGCTGCCACGAGAATTGATGTACCTCTTTGAGGCAGCGTCTGCTACGGAGAATCCAGGCATGGCAAGATACCGTGCAGTGTTGGACATTCAGGAATCGCCTTGGACAAACGCGACAGCTACACAGCTACAGCTTCTCACCAATGCCAAGTCGTCCACGGTGGTTTTAGAACTGCTCAACGACTCCAGTGGCGTTTTTGGGGGAATAGTTGAGCCCGTGGATTCACAGATCACGTCTGCATGACTTGGAGATTGACGGCCGTAAATTTGTAGATTAGTTAAATGCTTCGTGACTTGTACTACTCATCCCGACGGATTGGGGCTGAGGATTAAGGCTCTCTCTGGCCTGCAGCATCGCTAAAGCAGCAACTATCGACCGGAATTTTGGTGCTGGACACATCAACAATTCGCAAGCTTACACAACTTTTCGACAACTGGACTAACAGTAAGTCTGACTCGCTGGAGGATTCATTCTCGACAACATATCAACATTTCTCTATTTTGTTTCGCTGGGGGGAACTTCAACTTTCAAAGTTGTCATCTCGACACTTATCGCACGCCGAAGCAGCCGCCAGGGCGAATCCAACAGAACTCGGCTAACGCAGAGCCGCGCCGCCGCGCCCGATCTTAGGTAAAACTCATTGACATGACAGAGATGCCTAGTCCACATTTCACCACACGAGATGTTGCAATGAAAAACAGCTGGAGCCACGGTGACGACCGCAGAGATCGAGTAGATCGAGGAGTGACACGCCCACGCAGATCGCCATCACCCACCGGCCGGAGACGCGATATCGAAAGGGAGAGGGGGAGGGACCGCGAGAAGGCAAAGGAAGCTAGCTCTCGCTCCGAACGTAGAGCCAGGAGCAGAGACCAGAGCAGAGACAGGGACCGCAGACGACCAACCTCGAGAGCTAAGCAGGAGGATATTCGAGAACGCAATAAAGGTCGTGAATTACTGGATTCTCGAGGAGCAGGAAAATCAAGGAGAGAAGGTCAACAAGGCTCGTCAGTTGGGAAGCGCGGTTCGAGTCGCAGTCCGTCGAGGGAAAGAGGCCATCGAAAACGTCGGAGAGAGAGTCGAAGTCGCGAAAGGCGCCATTCCACATCCAAATCCGTGTCCCGCATCGAAAGCTCTCGCCACATCGAAAGCGCTCGCCACGAGACATCTCCCAGTCGAGTAAACTGGCCTCGCGATAGGCGTTCATCGATCCAAACGCCTGAGAACGATAAGGGCAAGTCCGCTGCACCAGACAGGGAGGAGCCATCCAGGTCTCCACGCCGAGAGACGGTACCATCTGGCAGACCACTCAGTCCCCCAAGAGAATCCGCCGACAGCCGTAATCGAAGTGTCAGTGATCGTGGTAGCACGCATCGCGAGCGACGCCACCGTCACCGGTCCCCACACCCAAAGTCATCCGATCAAAATCCACGGAGACACCGCTCGGGATCTCGCGATAACAGGTCACCAAGACCAGACAGACACAAGTCATCGGGCTCGACGTCACCCAGGCCTTCGAGAGGTCGCTGGGAATCAGGGACGACATCCTCCAGCCTTTCAAGGCGTGGCAGGCCGTCCCGCGACGAATACCGCCCAGATCAGCAAACTGCATCTGGGCCCAATAGCATCGACGTGGAAGATACAAAGATGAATGGACGTGGTGGATATGCGTATGGACCAGGCTACCATCATCCAAACCAGATGCAAGCGGCTTTCCCGTTGAAACCTCAGTACAACCAAGGTCCTACAAATCAGTATTCACAGTCGCCACAGCACATATCTCCTAATTCATCTTATCACGGATCTCCGCAACAATCACCCTATCCGCCGGCTGGTAGAGGAGGAGGATGGGGTCCTCCTCAAGGACATCAGTATTCTCCACAACAGTAAGCCCACTTTAATCCAACTATTATTATTGAACAGCACTAACAAATCATTGCAGGCAATATCCTCCAAACTACAATCAAGGCTACCCTCAACCGAATGGCCCTCAAGGGCCTCCGCAAGGCAAATACTATCCTCCACAAAACCACTCGCCACAGTATCCCGGACCGGGTATGCAACATCAGCCGCCACCACAACAGAACTACCGTGGCGGACCTCGAGGGGGATTCCGGGGCGGGTTTAGAGGTCGTGGCGGTGGACACTTCCAGAATCTACACTGGAATGCCAGTCAGCAAGGCGCTGGTCGGGGCCAAAACAATAGTTCAGGCGACGTAACTCCTCAGCACGCATCCCCAACGGGGCAGCCTTCCCAAGACTCGATTCCTCAAACGGGGCTCGAGGAGACGAAACAAGTGGAAGACGTGGAGGAGGAGGATCTCTTCCGCCCATCCAAAGACCTGCAGGTCGAAGATACGTCGAAGAAGACTGATGTCGAAGACGAAATGCCTCCACCAGATAGGCCCACACCTACAAGTGCCCAGTCGAACAAGTTTAGCTTTGCTTTCAAGGCATCCCAAAAAGCTGCTCCGGCAACACCGAAGCCCGAAATATCGCAGAAGCTGGACAAAGTACCTGTACGCGGGCCAACCAAGATAGATCCAGCTCACAATGCGTCTCGTCATATCCCCACTGCCCCTGCCTCATCAAGGCGCCATGACTACCGCGACTCTCGTGGCCCTCGCGAGCGAGAAGCTCGTGAGCGAGAAGCTCGTGAACCTCGCGACCACCGCGAACCACGCGATCGGGATCCACGAGATTTCCGAGAACAGCCTTCTAGGGGGTTCCGAGAGCCCCCTCCATCGAGAGAGTACCGTGAACCTCCAGCGACTCGGGAGTATCGCGAGCCACTTCCACCCCAAAAACCACCTGCACCTCGGATGGTAAAGAAGATCATGAAGCGGTTAAAAACAAAACCCATTCTCCCAGACGAGTTCAAAACCTCCGACTCCGTCTACTTCAGGAAACCGGGCAATGAATCTGTCGTAGGTTCTGGGACCTACGGCAAAGTGTTCAAAGCCATCCACGTCTACACAAAGAAGTTGGTTGCTCTGAAGAAGATCCGCATGGAAGGCGAGAGGGATGGCTTCCCGGTGACAGCTGTGCGAGAGATTAAGCTCTTGCAGTCACTGAAGCACGTCAATGTCGTCATGCTCCAAGAGGTTATGGTGGAGAAGAATGATTGCTTCATGGTCTTCGAATATCTCTCCCATGACTTGACTGGCCTGCTTAACCACCCAACGTTCAAACTCAACCCCGCGCAGAAGAAGGACCTTGCAAAGCAGATGTTCGAAGGGCTAGACTACCTCCATCGACGAGGTGTTCTTCATCGAGATATCAAGGCTGCGAATATCCTCGTCAGCAACGAAGGACAACTAAAGCTTGCTGATTTTGGTCTCGCGCGCTTCTATGCTAAACGCCGACAGCTGGACTACACTAACCGTGTTATCACCATCTGGTACCGCTCCCCTGAACTTCTGCTCGGCGAGACACAATACGGACCCGCGGTAGACATCTGGAGCGCCGCCTGCGTGCTGGTCGAAATCTTCACACGCCACGCCATCTTCCCCGGCGACGGTGGCGAGATCAGCCAGCTCGACAAGATCTACGCCATCCTCGGCACGCCGAATTCACGCGACTGGCCGGGCTTGAAGGACATGCAGTGGTTCGAGCTCCTGCGCCCGACTGCCCGCCGGCCAAACGTGTTCGCCGACAAGTACAAGGAAAGAGTTACGCCCGCTGCATACGAACTCCTCGAGGCGATGTTCCAGTACGACCCCGCTAAGCGTCCGACTGCGGGCGATGTGCTGGAGCACCCGTACTTCGCTGTCGAGGAACCGGCACCGCAGCAAGCGATAGAGTAAGTTCTCACCCCACACTTGCCCATACCATGAAACTAACACATCCGAGACTCCAAACTCTTGAAGGTGACTGGCACGAATTCGAATCTAAGGCGCTGAGGAAAGAGAATGAGAAGCGAGACAAAGAAGCGAGGCGGGCAGTCCAGAAGGAAGCCGCGCGGGAGAAGGAGCGCAAGAGGCCTCCTTCTGACAGTGAGGCGATGGAGCGCGACGCGAAGAGGGTGCAGACCATGCCTCCGCCGCCGCTGCCGGAGAAGGAGGCTTTGTGAGGTTGGTGAGAGCATTATATTTGGCGTTGATGCAGACGATAATTTTTGGGCGTGGCTTCGCGTGGGTGTTACATGTTAGGCGAGCTTTACTGTTGGAGCATTATACGAATGAAAGCAAGCATATTGAGTTCTGGTGTTGGAGCATGGGGAGAATGGTGGAGTTGTATTTTTAGCGGAGAAAGGGAAGCGGGTTGGTCGGGGTTGGGGTGCTGTATCATATCACAACTCTTTGCTTGAGATTGCACATAGGCTGGCTATAATTTAAATGTTATTTACGCACGCCCTACTTGTTCCGCGCAGAATAGACAGTTCATGAGGCTAAAATTCAGTCGACACACCAAAGGAGATAAAGTTTATAGATTTACTCGATCGTGTGTGATGAGGAGAACTTGATGGGCTAGAATATATACACCAACGCTTGAGACTAGATACGACGAATAAAGGTAGCATTGGTTCCTTGCTCTCTCGTTACATATATTCATAGCTTTGCTTTAGTCTCACTTTTCCATTCCATTTTCCTAAGCAAGTTTCTTTGAATCTTCCCACTCACCGTCCTGGGTAAAAACTCCAAAGGTACAAATTGGATCTTCCGCGGATACTTATACGGCGCAGCATTCTTTTTGCAGAAATCTTGTAGCTCTTTCCTTAGTGAGTCCTGGTTTACGTCTTTCCATTGATCGATCAGAACTACAAAGGCCTTCACGACCTCCCCTCGGATTGGATCTGGCGAGGATATCACGGCGGATTCAACTACTGATGGGTGCAGTTTCAAGGTCGATTCTACTTCAAAGGGACCTACATAGCCGACCCGTTAGTAATTCTGTTTTTGGGGGGATGGGAGAGTGTATTTCGATAGGGGTAACATACCGATGCGATACCCAGAAGAGTTGATGACATCGTCTGAGCGGCCAACAAACCAGAGGTAGCCATCAGCGTCCCGCCTCGCCTTGTCTCCCGTCAGGTACCAAACCTTCCTCTCTCCATTCTTGGTGAATATTTTTTCTCGCCGGCTAACCGTATTATCATCATTTAAGTATCCATCGAAGATGCCGAAGAATTCGTTTTTGGATGATATATCGTCTATCAGCACTGCCATTTCACCTTCTTCCCCGACCGCAGTTTCCGACCCGTCGATATTTATGATAGAAAGAGGCACTGTAGGCGCTGGCTTCCCCATAGAACCTGGACGAATCGGAAACCCGCTGAAGTTCCCACAGAGGAGAACTGACTCTGTCTGACCGTACCCGTCTCGAATCTCCATGCCGCTGATCGCATTCCATTGTCTGATAACCTCGTCATTTAGGGCTTCTCCGGCGGCTGTGCAATGCGAGAGCGCCATAGGAGGGTGTTCCTTATAGTAGGATTTAGCCTCTTGCAAGACAAGCTGTCGATATGCAAGTGGAGCTGCGCAAAGGGTTGTGATAGGATACCGGTGAAGTATCCTTAGAAGGCGCCGAGGGCTGAATGCCTCACGATCATCATAAACAAAAAGAGTAGCTCCGCAATTCCACGCACTAAAGAATGACCAAGAAGCTTTGCCCCAACCTGTTATAATGTAATAATTAGCTTATGGTTGCACAACCCTGCTATGGTCGAGGAGTCTTGACCTTGCTCTGCGGTATTCCAAAGCACCTTGCCTGGAGCTAGCTGATACCAAGACTTGGCCGTCGTGGTGAGAGCTGGTCTTGTTAGATATTAACACTGCATCTGCTTGTGTAAGGAAACCGACCTAATGGATATGAAACCTGGTTATGGCGCACCATCTTCGGTGGACCAGAGGTTCCCGATGTAAAGTAGAGCAGGGCTGGGGAGTTCCAGTCTCGTCTAACATCTTCCACCGAAGCATCGGCCTCGACAAGTTCTAAAGATGCGTAGAAAGAGTCGGTGCCTGGGTGCGGAACGTCACCTACTTGCAGTACGGTGCGAACAGATGGACACGCATCCCGGACTGCTAGGAACTTGGCAACACTTGCACCGTCACCCACAAATACGCTGGCCTTGCTTTTGACGCAGCGATACTGAATATCTTTTTCGGTCAACAAGGTAGTCGCCGGTGAGATAATTACCCCGCTGCGAATAGCTCCAACGGCGATTTCCCACCTTTTGTAGTCTAGTTAGCCTCGTCAAGTTTCGGAGCTTTAAGAGTGGGATTTCTCACCATGCCGGGACACGTGGGACGATCATAACCATCGTCTCGCCCTCTTTGATGCCTAAGCGCTGTAATAAAACAGAGACCCGATGAGACTGGCGTGAGAAGTATTTAAACGTCAAGGAACGCTTTTGAGACTCGCCTTTTGATACCCAATACATTGCCTCTAAGTCGTCGGGACGGGCCGCCCAATAATCGATAACATCTACCGCAAAATTGAACCGATCCGGTCGCTGGAGTACAGCATCGTAAAAATGTGCCATGGTTAAGAGCTTGGTGGATTTGTAGATATATGGATAGTGTAAAGTAAATAAAGAAGTAAAAGATTGGGGGGGTGGGAGGAGGGGTGATATAAAACTGATACTTGAGAGGTTTATGATTGTGACAAGGAACCTGCAGCTGCGTCCGTGCCTGCTACTGTTACCCCAGATAGTTATTCCCGGGCCGAACGATGCCTACAATGGTGTAGGGTGAAGATAGAGTTGGAGAGAGCTTATTCGCGGGACAATAGTTCGGCAACTTCTCGGACCGGGGTTACAGTTGGTCACTTGGCACAATCGGTATATGGCTCCTTGCTACCTTTGTAGTTTCTTATAATCTGCATAATGGTATATGGTTCCTGACTACCTCCGTCCTTTTATAATCTTATAATCTTATTATCTCGCCTGCGTCCTTTGTACAAAACTAAACACCGTCCACAGAGCCACATTGTAGGCTGAAGTTGCTATGGAGGTGCCTTCATATGATAACGTCAAGGTGGAGATTTTAAGCCATGGCATTGTTGCATTGGTGACATACAATCGCCCGCAATCTGGCAATTCGCTGCATCCCAAAATGCTGGCAGAGCTTGTGGCTGCTCTTAGATGGGTTCACAGCAATCCTACCATTCGCATCATGATCCAGTCTGGCACTGGTGAGTTTTTCAACACCGGGATGGAGCTGGTGGACGGCGATGGTATGTCCTTCGCCCGAGGATCTGATTTCCACGAGCTTAACCGCATCCTGATTCTGTCGGACAAAATACTCATCGCAGCCGTCAATGGGCCTGCTGCGGGCTACGGCGTAAGCAGCCTGGCACTCTATGATCTGGTCTACTCCGTCCCCGATGCCTACTTCTTCACGCCCTTTGTTAAATGGGGCATGGCGGCCGAGGCAGCCTCGAGTTTCTCGTTTCCTAGACTCATGGGACACCAAAAAGCCGCATCGCTCTTCCTGGCAGGAGACCGCATCACAGCGCAGGAAGCTTCACTAAATGGGCTCATTAGCAAGATCCTACCGAGGGAGCAGTTCCTGGCCCAGGTCGTTCAGATCGCCGCGAGAATTGCACAGTCTGCGCCTGCTTCTCTGCGGGCAACGAAGGAGCAGATGCGGCAACTGGTGAGGCAGGAATTGCTTGATGCCAATGACCGCGAATGCGATCTGATTCGCCATGAGAGATACGGCTACGAGGAATACCAGAACGCAGTAAAGCAGTTCCGCGTTGAGCGGCTTGAAAAGCAGGATTTGAAACGCAAAATAACTAAAGGCAGAATTTAATAGATTAAATATAACAATGCATATTATGTCACTAATGATGCCATATATTTAATGGAGCATGCACATTGCCCCCTCCCACAAGACATTTCCCTGGCAGTTCTATACGCGTACAGTAACATCTGCCCCATAAGATCCGCTTTTCCCCGTTCCCCCGCCTTTATCTACCCCACGTCTCCCCGCCCGCCTTTGCCTTAGGAACGTTGTGACCCCATCTTTTAGGTTAAGCCAATGCGCCCTTTCCGCATCCTCTCTTCGCATTGAACTCAAGAATGATATAATCGATCCTCTGCCAAAGGATTATTATATACTTCAATTGGGAAACTGGTCTACCTAGCCTGTTCTGCCAACAGTGCCTAAATTACACTACCTGTGCCCGACATGCAATCCACCTCTGACAGCAACTGGCCCCTGCGAAAACGGGCTCGCATTGCATGTCATTTGTGTCATGACCGAAAAGTACGATGCGACACTGCTCTGGTCGGCATTCCTTGTACCAACTGCCGGCTGGATCACCACATCTGCACTGTACGGACCTCGTCCGGAAGGTCTGTCATTCCATCACTGATCTTTCGTTTTAATAGGTATTCCTTTAGCTGATCTCATATTTTTGTAGACGGCCAAAGAAAAGAATTCAAGCTCTAGGGTTTACTTTTCCGCCTCCTCCTTCAGCAGCCTTGACAACTTCAGCTCCAATAGGTGTCGAAACTTTAACAGAGTTACATCCATGGGAAGCCTATATAGAAGGCGACGACAACATGTTCTTGCCTACATCGCCAAAAAACAACCTTTTTTCCAATAGTCTCTACGGGGAGTATGGCTGCTCTCCCCAGACCGAAGAGCAGAGGTCTCCATTTCGACCATCAACTATTCCACTAAACATAGGGGACTTTTCACCCTTCTCTCAAGAACTAACCTTTAATGCTAGTGTTACGTTTTCTTACTACCCCTTTCTTGAGGTGAAGGAACTGGTAAAGTTAGCCCCAAATGATGTAAGATACTTGGAGTCAAAGGGCTGTTTACACGTTCCTAGTGGCCGTCATCTCGACCAGTTTATACGACATTATTTCCTTCATGTCCATCCTTGCACACCACTCTTAGATGAAGGACAGTTCTGGGACATGTATTCGAACACGCAGGATGATAATAAAGGGACTCATAGGATATCATTGCTACTATTCCAAGCAATGCTCTTTGCTACAGCTACAGTAGGCAACCCTCTCCCCATCCGAACCTAGCCCGGAATTTGCTAACTAAATATAAGTTTGTTCCTTTGAATACAATACGAGCTTGTGGTTTTCACAATTACTATACAGCAAGAGAGATACTTCATGAACGAGCAAGGGTAGGTGCTTTCCATTGATTTGGCTTAAGCACCACACAAACTAAACCATCGTAGCTACTTTACAACTTTCGTACCGAAATTCGATCTGCTCCAATCGCTCAAGCGTCACTTTTGCTATCGCTTCGAAGCACCCCTCATGATCAGAAAATCAATACATCATGGTTGTCTACTGCCATCGAGAATGCTCGAGCCGATAACGCACATCTCTACAATCGCCTCCCTGGTCTGAGCAGCCATCAAATAAGCACCAAGAAACGTCTCTGGTGGTGTTGTGTGCTCCGAGACAGGGTAATTGCTCTGGGGGTTCGACGACCCCTCCAGATCACCCCAGCCCATTTTGATAATAGTCAAGATATGGTCGCAGAGCAAGACTTTTCGGGGGAGATGGAGCAATCCCTTGTCTATGACGCGGAGACGAAACTTCTTCTGGCAAACATATTTATCGTTCAGTGCCACTTTGCTATAGCGGTAACCTCAACTATCATGACATTATATCCTCCGAACGGAGTTATAATCCCAGCATCACCAACTTCAGCTCAAATTTCCGAGCTTCGCATTAAGATGGAGGAGAGCAGGAAGGACCTAGAGAAATGGATGGAAACATTTAAGGGCCGATTAACCCTAGGCTCAGGTAAGAGCGCAGCATTGCACAATTCAGTGACGCTCTTCGCAGACTTGACAAGTATTTATTATTAGTGAGCATTCCATCTATCAAGTCCGGGAACTTTCTAACGTCGCTCTCCAATTAGCACGGCCCAGATTGCACGCTGTCAGCATTCTATGTATCTTCTAACTGAGTGTCAACCCTTGGCAACGGAAGTTACTCAAGAGCTGAAAACGACACAAGCCGAACTCGAACGTGCCATTATCAATGTTACGGGTAAGGTAACTAACCTAGTGACCTTGTGTCTTGTTGGTTACCTTCCTATCAGCCTGTTAGTCACTCTTCATTCTTTGATCTAGCCCTCAAACATGAGAAGATAAATGTACACAAGGCTAACAACAAGGCATCACTAGAGTTGCATACACGGCACTCCCTCTAGCGCTACTATCCCTTGACGTGAGGTTGTCGTCAACGGAGTCAGAAAAGGCGAACCGACAGCAGCGACTCAGTGTATATCAAGAGACCATGAAACAATGTGGCCATCGCTTTGATTTTGTGGGTATTGTTTCTGGTATCATAACCAAGCTTCTACAACAGGTGGACTTCGAAGAGAGTTCCGCCTTTCATTCAATCAATACTGCTTCTTCCAATGCAAGCCTGCCAGTATTAAGAACTCCGTCTGCTTTTCCAAAGAGCTGGACTGAATTTGTCAATACACAACCAAATCTTTACTTTAGGCTCTCTGCTTCCCTAGACTACGCGCTATCCACGGGCAAATACCCGTCTGAAGGCGAACTTCCAGGATGGATCGTTAATCCATCTCGGCCACGAAAGCCAACTCAGTCTATGGAATTCCCGAGCTTGTCTAATTGTGTCTCTACTGTGGTTCCTGGAGATTCTTTCATGCGAGAAAGACCGTGCAACTTATCACAGCAATTCCGTCAAGATAATTCCATGTTCATCTCATCTGACACCTCACGTCGAGGATATAACGATGAAACTGATACTTTTGACAGAGCAACGATTGAACTCTGGGATTCCACGGAGACGGGCTTCCCATCTAACGAATTAAGTGGGATATCCCAGCACATCAGAGAAGATGACAGTGAGAGTCCATTCAGTTCTAATATTGTTTCGGAACTTTTTGATTTACCGGCAATAGGAGGATGAATGAGTCTTCAACTCTACAGTTCTGCTTCTTGCCAAACGAAACACAACAGAGGGATCGGGATATGGTATAGCTCTACACAAAGCCACACAGGGGATGTAGAATATGCATGCGAGGGTGGCGTATTGGCTTTAGGCAGATAAGATAGTTGCATTAAAGGAAGTGCAAGTATATATTCTGTATAATTCTACAATTGATAAACATCATTAAAGACGATGCTATGAAACTACTTTTTATTACTGCCTGTACCTATATATGCTTAATTAGTAACGGCATCATGCTGCTTCTCATGGTTGTGCCAGACACCTCAGAAGACCTTACCTTCCCAAGTGCATTCCCCTAGAATCTAAGCTACTTAGGTCGCCGACGTATTTTCAATTTTAATTTGTAAAATACAGCTTAAAGCACCCCGGATTATGAGGTAGAGCGGTATCCACATAGATCTCGATGTAGTTTTCTATTTCGGTCTAGGACGTGGGGACACATGGAGCTAATCCCGGGAAAAGGGAGGCTTGCCTTGTACCGAACCCGGTCCGAATTCGGTCCCGGCTTGGTATCAGAGCTATACCGCTTACAGCCGCCCTATTGTACCAAGCAAGCTTTAGGGATTATTGAGAGTAGATGTGAGTAGACCATAACATCTTAGTTGACATCATGGCAAATCTCAAGTGCCGTGCAACCCCATGGGGAAGCGCCTTAGTGAACTGTTATTGCGGGGTAGGGATAATAAACCTGCTAGAGGAGAGAAATCGTGGGGAAGAGGTTTGAAGTCTAATAAATAGGGGTTGCCATTTTATAAGATCTGCCTGTCCCATTCTCATTGTGAAGTCTTTTCTTTTCTTATGCTAGAAGAGTGATCATATCATCATCTTATCCCTTATACTTATACGTCCCAAAGCTATATTATAAGTGTTTTCTTCGTTGGCTTGCCAGGCAATCACAAATCCTTACTATTTTACTACGAGCCAACTACAACAATGTCTACTAAAGATCGTCTGGAGAAGGACTTCTCAAACAGCAGAGATGCCGGGCATACTCATGCTGAAATCCAAGATGATACTCTTCGTCGCATCCAGACTGCCGGTAGTTTTGTTATCACTCCTGAGATATTCGAAAAGATGTACCTTACGCCTCCCAACAAGGTCAAAGGAGACCTTCGCTTGAAATTTGCCAATCCTACACCATTGTAAGTCTTCCCTGAACAAACCCAACTAATCCTGCTATATATGCATATCTAACTCTAACACTAGGGGTCTTACTGGCTTTGTAATAGCCCTGACGCCGTTGTGCTGTGCCTTAATGGGCTGGAGAGGCGCAGGAGGAGGCGGCGCTGCCGAAATGTAATTCTCGCCCAAGAACGATTCAATTCCCCGTATATACAAAGTCTACACGCCACTAACAACTATTCTATAACAGAGGGCCATACTATTGGTTTGGGGGTGCCCTTCAGCTCATTGCAGGTGTCCTCGAATTTTTCCTTGGGAACACATTTCCCTTCGTTGTTCTGACCTCCTTCGGTAAGAAATATTCTTATAGTCTACAATCATTCGCCTTGTTTCTCATTCAGCACACCTTTTTAATGTACAATGCTAACATTCTGTTATTATCAAGGCGGGTTCTTCCTCAGTTTTGCGACTACCCTTACACCGTCCTTTAATGCCAGTGCAGCCTATGGAACCAATGTGGAACAATTCCATGCCACCTTCGGATTCTTTCCTTTATTCATGGGTCTCCTATGCGTCTTCTACTTTATCTGCTCCCTCCGCACAAATATTGTCTTCGCCACTATATTTTTCTTCTTGGTCGCCTCTTTGGGTCTTTTGACTGCGGGTCACTGGCAGATAGCTCAAGGAAACGTAGACCTTGCGGCCAACATCAATATTGTGGGTCCCCCTGTCAATTATCACTGTTCAATATATCCTTCGTCTTTAGTGATGGCTAGCTAATTGGTATTTTTTACGATATACAGGCTGCTGGCGCAATTGCCTTTGTTTCCGCACTTGGTGGTTGGTACCTCCTGCTCTCGCAGCTACTCGAAGCTTTAGATTTTCCAATTCAGCTTCCTGTCGGAGATCTCAGTGGATTTATCCAGAGTCGAAGCCAGAGGGTGGCAAAGAAGGATCCTTCTCAATTGGTTTAGAATAGCCTGGAGTATCCGGTGCGGAAACAGCGTCATTTATGCCGACTATATAGCGTTTAAACGAGCTTCACATAGATCGTTGTCTGTGTCTGTGTTTAATGCAATGCAATGGGTGAGGCGTGAAATTATATCAATATAATTTCAACCCTCTTAATTCCACCTTCATATAGAATCTAGTATGGTATAGTACACTCCGTTGCTTGTTCCCCCTTTGACCACCTTCTACGCCATCAACTGGGAAAAAACGCCTCTAAAACGGTTCACTTCCATCACGCTGCAAATGCCTACACTCTTTGCACAATTCCTGCAGTCTCAGTACCATATCTTGACTAAAAAGCGGCGTTAATCCATGGTGACGATCAGCGGGATTAGGTACTCAGGCAATCTTCAGTAAAACTAAACATTAAAAATAGCTCTATACCCTAGATACCCAAAAGGGATCACCACAATGAGCAAAACAGCCGCGATACCGAAATATTCGATAACGGAGGTTGGTCTCCTTCCCCGTCCAGGGCCCACGTGTTCGTCCAATGAAGGACGTGGCCCAGGAGCGCGCCGTTCCGTGGGCATCTGGGGCGGGTGAATGCCAACGGTGGATTCTTCGAGGGATGTGACGTCTATTCTTGAGGAGGCCGCGGTCAAGCTGTCGGCGAGAGTAGTGAGGCTGTAGAAGCTACGACTGTAGTCTTTCCGTTCCGTCCATGGGAGGGTCATCGTCAGGGGGAGGTCTTGAGGGGGCTGCATGGTGGACGCGGTGACGGCAACGGTGGAGTAATGGTGATGCCGATGGTGTGGAGATTATGCTTTCGAGTTTAAGGAGGGAGGAGGATTAGTTTTAAGGAGGAAGTAGCGTTCGTGGATTTGAAAATCTAACTTCCCAGGTGGCATGACGGACGACACGATGGACCCCTTATTAACCCAGTGATTCTGCCAGTGGTATGATGGATAGACGTAGATACCGAGGCCAGATTCGAACAGCACCCCTGAAGTTGAGTTTAGATCTTATTTTCCAACTCGGTGTAAATATAGTTCGACCACCTTTGCTATGGCAAGTGCGACTCTGGGCATCAGCATCGCTCTTTCCTATTGAAGATACTTCACCGAAAATACCGGTGCTACCCAAAGGTTTCAAGTGAGGTCATGGTTATCGATCAAAGATAATATTTGGTCACTTCTGCAGCTGCCAGTGTAAATTAATCAAATAATTTTTCGACATTTGAACGCCACTTGTATACATATACATATTTATACACCATCTCAGCTCCTTACTTCCTTCCCTTTCCCTTCTTCTTCCCGCCCTTGTTATCGCCGGATCGTGCTCCCAACCTCGATCTCTGATATGCCAGGACGATATTCTGGACGCTTCCCATATCGTGCTTGGGCTTCCGCATGTATGTCAGACGTGCTCGTCTCGCTCTCTTCTCCCGTCTTTGCACCACTTCGATTCCCTCTACATTTGGCGAGTAGATCTTATACCACATCTCCACGCCAACTCTCGTAAGCTCGTTGCGGAGGAGAATGCCAGTGTCGACGCCTCGGCGGCGGATGTTGATGCAGACGCCTGCGAATGGATCGCCGTTCTTCTGGCGAACGAGAAGAATATCGCCGACCTTGGCTGCCTCGGGGCTGGTTTTGCTGAAGAGCTGTGTGCGTGCCCCAGTAGGGTCTAGGACGGAAATTTGTTCTGCGTGAAGGTCGCCAATTGGGTTCTTAAAGTTGGCTGCCGGAGAAGGAGGAGGCGGGTATGCCTTTAGCTTTCTGTTGACTACAGAGTATTAGTCGGCTGCAGTGACCATTGTGGCCTCCAATTGATGGAGATATATGACTGTGAGTGAGATTTCACAGAAGGAAAGCTTACCATGGGGCATTCCTGCATCCACAGCTGCTGCCAGCGGAAGACCTCGGTTTAGGTCCGGTTTACGGTATGTTGTCAACGACCTGGCAATCATCTTCTGCCGCCGGGTTTGCCGCAGGAGCGTCTTCAGGCAGCTCAGCGGACGCATTGTCGGTGTAAATAGTGAGGCCATTGTGTTGGCTGGACAAGACGACTTGCCTTTGTCTGAGCTCACTGCGGTTAAGTTCGTCCACCCTTCAAAATGTTCGCGATGCGCTCGACTAATTTAGGCGATACTGCCGATATTTACTCACCGCCCGCCATATAAGTTTATGGCTCCAGACCTTCAATTTCGGTTTAGTTCTGAAAGGTCAGGGATTGCACAATATTTACTTTGTCAACCAACGAATATGTCTGGAAACACGATTAGGAGAGCGCTCCCTCGGTTGGAGCGCACTTCGCAATACGCGGTTGGCCCAGCTTCGGGCCAGCGCCGAACTTTCACCAGCTCACTTCCGCATCAAAAGCATGGTAAGGCCTCACAGCAGGCACACAAGAGTAGAGTAGCTTCTAATAAGACTCACAGGTTTCCCAACTTTCCAACCGACATCATCTCCCGAACTCGATAATATCATCTCTAAATTCCGCAACACTATTTTCCTACCGGCGCATTTGTCGAAACAGCATCGTGATCTCGTCTATGCCTTCAAACATAAAAAAAGCCTAGAGACGATCCCAGTGACGGTAGAAATAGGGGGAGAAGAAATACGTCTAAATCACATAAACAGGACAAAGGATGTACCAAACCAGCGCAAAGCGTTACGAGAGGCGCTAGGATTAATGAAGGAGAAGAAAGATTGGGACAGCTTCCCCCTTCTGCTTGAGGGCCTTCATTCCGCGGGTCGTGTGACAGACTATGTTGTCTTGGAGCTATTTGCAAGAATGGCTTGCGTGGCTGGCCGCCAGGATGTCGTCCTAGAAAGCGCGCGGAGAGTATCCAAGACTGGGTTCCGGATCAACGGACGAGAAATTGCCAAGATAGTGGTGTGGTGGATTCAGTATTCTGCACTGGCAAATGGCTTCAGCCAGGCAGATACCAAGAAGGCACTTTCGATGGCCGAGCAGATCGCTATCCTCATGGAGGACAAGGCACACGCAGGTGGAAGAGTTGCTGACTCTGATGACCCAAGAACAAGCCCGGAGGTTATAGGCTTGCTCCTGGAGCTAAGTGCTCTCAACGCAAAGCATCAAGGGGGTAAAGACGAGAATGGCAGTGTCGAGAAGTACGCCAAGGGTCTTCTGGCTAGCCTACGAGACAAAGAGCTAGAAGGGATGCTTCGAACCGGGAACATCGACCCGGCACGGATACAGGAGGTAGAGAGTAACTCTATGCTGCAAACTGTCGCGCCTATCCTCCTCGGTGTGAGGACAGCGATTTCGGTCCTTGGGGAAAGCTCCGACACTACCAGACAACTCCGCGATCTGGAAACCAAGCTATCTGCCCAAGTTGCGCAGGATGTTGAGACCTTGAAGTCAACTCCAGGCTCAGGGGAGCGATTGGGGCTTTGGGTGTACGAAAAGACTGCCGCGGCAGAGTAAGGTTGACGATTGCATGTCATAACATGGTAGTGTACTGTATATTACAAACTTGTATATTTAGCCTTATGGAAGAACTATGTACTTTTCAAGATGCTTGGGTATAGCGCCCAAGAGCTTCTTCTCCTCAAGCCATTTCTTGGAAAACAGGCGATCGGCGTATCGATATGCGCCGTCAGCCAATATTGTTACAACGGTGTGCCCCTTGCCGAGTTTCTCGGCTACCTCCTTTGCAGCGACGACATTCAAGCTTGAGCTTGCACCGAGATAGAGGCCCTCCTCATCGAGGCACCTGTAAACCATTTCAATGCTCTTCTCGTCGCTAATGTTCAGCGAGCCATCCAACGACTCGATATCAGGGCTCAGGTTGTCTGTGACACGGCCCTGACCGATACCCTCAGTTATACTGGAGCCACTGCGTTCTTTGAGTTGCCCTCCGGACTCAATATACGAGTGTAGAACACTTCCCGGCGGGTCAGCCAAGAAAGACTTGACTTTGCCATTCGAGACAGCCTTTAGGTATGCGGTAGTTCCTGCTAAGGTACCCCCAGTTCCCGTAGAGCAAGTAAATGCGTCAATCTTCCCGCCAGTTTGAGCCCAGATCTCAGGTCCAGTGGTCTCGACGTGGGCGCGCCTGTTTGCGACATTGTCGAATTGGTTCGTCCAAACGGCGTTTTCTAGGCGATCGGCGTGTCTCTTAGCTTGATGGTTGTAGTTCTCCGGGTTGTCGAATGCCACGGCGGGGACTGGGTAGACCTCTGCTCCCAGAAGTCGGAGAAGATCTATCTTCCCTTGAGACTGGGTATTAGGCATGTAGATGACCAACTTATAGCCCTTCGACCGGCACACGTGTGCGAGACCAATGCCCGTGTTTCCGGCGGTTCCCTCGACCACTGTCCCGCCCGGCGCGAGCAATCCCCTCTCTTCGGCATCCTGGACTACGAAGAGTGCAGCTCGGTCCTTGACTGAGCCACCAGGGTTCATAAACTCGGCCTTTCCTAAAATTTCGCAACCGGTCTGCTCAGACAGCTTGTTGAGCCTGATCAGTGGCGTGTTTCCAATTGCTATAGATTGTCAGCTTAAACTGTGGCGTTTCCCCTTCAATTGTAAAATCTTACCTCCAACGAGACCTTTGACAACGCCTTGGGCCTTGGAAACTTGGATCCCATACTGGTTCTTGGCTTCCATCTGTGCAGCTGTCTGCGCCGCATGGCGAACAGACGTAGTGAACCGTCTTACTCCTAGCCTATACATGATTTCTCACGATCTTGACTGTTTTGCCAGTATTGCCGAAGTCGGAAAACTGTCAACAAGACGAGGATCGCACGGCAATCCCCGAGGTTGTTCCTGGTCTGGTGGGTGGAAGGCCGATTAGATTTCAAAGCACGCAATTGACAGGGGTTAGATCTTATCTAATCTACAACACTAACCGCTTCCGGTCAAATGTAAACAGCACCAACCCACCATCAACATATTCTCGTAGCAGCCGTGTAGAAGCTGTAATTACGAGGACTGACGCGTCGAACCCCCAACAATTTGAACTTGATCCTCGCGAGACAAGTACAGCAACTGGCAACTTCGCCGAAACGACGCGAAATATATATATTGAAAACAACCCTCACTGGACCAAAACTTGGTGCAACGCCAAACAGAGAACACCACATACCTGCCACAATGCCCGCCAGAGTAGCGCCAACCAGGTCCGCGAGGACGTCAACAGCAGTGTCTCACAAATCGTCGGCGCAAACCCTCAATTCGACACGGGCATCAACAGCATCGCGTGTATCTGCGCCATATGTGGAGATACCAGAGGATGCCCCAGAGACAGCGTTGCGAACGCAGATATGCGCAATATTCCGCGATGCACAGAAATCAACCACAGGCCACCGCAAGCTGGTGATCAATTTACGAAAGATACAGGAGGCATGTTGCTATGAACCATCAAGCAAGCAGAAACAGACCGGCGCAGAAGATTTCGACGAGGATGAGTTCAACTATGAAGTCACCAGGTGTGTCGTAAGGGTGATGCCTGTGAAAAAGAGCGAGGCTGCAGGCGAAAGAGTTATTCGCTTTATTGGCCTATTTCTGCGCCATGCCAATGATAAGGACAATGAGCTTGTCCCTATGGAGGATGATGATATGGGGGCGTTAGTCGAGACGCCGAGCACTAGGCTGACAGCCCAAGTCATGAAGACAGTGCTCTCGCTTCTTACGGCAAAGGAAAAGTTTGTGAGATTTAGGGCTACCCAACTTATTTCCCACCTGGTCAACTCTCTTGATTCCATGGATGACGACCTTTTCCAACTGTTGCGCCATGGGCTCCTCAAAAGAATCCGTGATAAGGAGGCCATGGTCCGCGTCCAGGCTGTACTCGCTCTTGGCCGGTTAGCTGGAAATGAGGCTGAGGGAGAAATCAACTCAGATGATAGTGATGAGGAGTCCAGGGTAGGGTTGCTCGAGAAGCTGCTCGGTGTGTTACAAAACGACCCAAGCGCCGATGTCCGGCGGTCGCTGCTGGTTAATCTGCCAATTCTTCCTGCCACGCTTCCATACTTGCTAGAGCGGGCGCGAGATCAAGACCCGGCGACAAGGCGAGCTCTGTACTCGCGGCTCCTTCCAGCTCTTGGTGACTTCCGCCATCTTTCTCTTGCTATGCGTGAGAAGCTTCTGCGCTGGGGACTCCGAGACCGTGATGAAAACGTCCGGAAAGCTGCAGGCAAACTCTTCCGCGATAGATGGATTGAGGATTGTGCGGGAATTCCAGAAGAAGCTGCAGCCGATGCCGAGGCACCACCTCCCAACTTTGAGGCTCTCCAAGAGCTGCTAGAGCGCATCGATGTCGTCAACTCAGGAGTCGAGAATGGTGTCGCTCTTGAGGCCATGAAGGGTTTTTGGGAAGGCAGAGTGGATTATCGCGAGGCTGTTGTGTTTGATAACCTATTCTGGGACACTCTGAGCGCTGAGTCCGTATTTATGGCACGAAGCTTTAATGACTATTGCCGGAACGAAGGCAGCAACAAGTTAGAGGCGTTAGTCGAAGAGAAGATGCCCGAAGTGACCAAACTCGCATACTACCTCCAGCGCTATATCAATGTCCTTGTTGAGGCACTGAAGAGGGTTGCTCAGCAATCCCCAGAGGAGGATGAGGAGGAAGAAGACACCGTGGAACAGGAATTCATTGTTGAACAACTCCTCCACATTGCCCATACGCTTGACTACTCCGACGAAGTTGGACGGAGGAAAATGTTTGCTTTACTACGCCAGTCACTTTCTGTGCCAGATCTTCCAGAAGAAGCCACCAAGTTAATCGTTGAGACGCTTCGTGGCATTTGTGCTGGCGACGTGGCTGGAGAGCGAGAGTTTGTCAGTATCGTTCTTGAAGCTGTCGCTGACATTCACGATACTATTATGGACGAACCAGCTGAAGAAGATGTCGATGAGAGCTTTCATTCCGCAAGGTCAGAGGTCAGTGACACGGAAATCAATTCAAAGAAGTCAAAGCCAGAGATGAGTGAGGAAGAACTTCAGGATAAGTCCATTAAGGAGATCATGGTAAACATGAAGTGCTTGCACATCGTTCAGTGCATGTTGCAAAATGTTGAAGGAAATCTTCAGCAGAATGTTGACCTCGTGGCAATGCTGAACAATTTGGTTGTTCCGGCAGTGCGAAGCCATGAAGCTCCGGTTCGCGAACGTGGACTGTTGTGCCTTGGACTCTGTTCTTTGCTAGACAAGGTAATTCTACTCCTGTCCCTATAAGTCTGCAACTTTATCTAACGTAGGAAATTATAGTCATTGGCAGAGGAGAACCTGAACCTCTTCATGCACTTCTTCAGCAAGGGCCATGCAGCCCTGCAGATTACAGCCCTCCAGATTCTCACGGATATTCTTACACAACACGGGTCTCATCTTCTCGAATCCAACCCACCGCTCCTCAAGGTCTACCTCAAGGCACTAAAGAACGGCTCCAAGGGCCCAGAAGTCCAGGCTGCTACTACTGTGGCCGTCTGCAAATTACTTCTCGGTCGCGTCATCCAAGACTCAGATGCTGCCAACGATCTTCTCAAGACCCTCATCGTCGCATATTTCGATCCCTCTACTCAAAGCAACCAAGGAGTTCGTCAGACACTCTCTTACTTCCTACCAGTGTACAGTTACAGCCGTAAAGAGAATCAAGACCGCATAAGGTCCGTTGCCGTGGATGCTCTCCATGTGTTATACAATATTCATGAATCTCTCGACGATGAAGATGAGGATATTGAGATGGTGAGCTTGAGCGTCATTGGCGCGCACCTTGTCGATTGGACCGACCCAAGGAAGTGTTACGTTCCCGGAAACTCAATGAGTCTCGCGGATGAGGGTGCGAAGAAGGCTGTTAACGGCGACGTGCACCTTGATCTCGCGAGTGATATTTTAGAACGCATGAATAATGCTACCAGTAAGTCTACCCATAGTCATACTATCTTGGGTGTCTCTAACAATTACACAGAGGAAGAGAAGAAAATACTGGCACCTCTCCTCGGGAAAGTACACGTTTCCGCGGCATCATCAGAAGACAAGATTCGCGCACTATATGATGAAGTTTGCATCGCCGTCGAGGATAAGCTCGTTCCTGATGCCACAGGACGAAACGCCTTGTTCAAAATCCATGTCAGCTTGGGTAAAATCGTGAATAACCTGGCCCAGAAGGAGGGTCCCAAGAGCAGCCCCCTAGGAGACAGGGGCAGCGCAACCCCTGAAACAGAAGTTGGGGAGGCGAATGAGGATGAGGATGCAGATGAGAGGACAGTAACGACGGTACAGCAGGATGATGCGGATGAGAGGACAGTTATGACGGTGGAGCAGGATGATGTTGATAACGATGAACAAGACGAAGACACGATCGGGGCATTGGTCCAGGAGCAGTTGAACGAAGGGCGTGAGGAAAGTGAACTATCAATGCTGGGCGAGACGAGCGTATTGGCCACAAGGCCGAAGAGAAATCAGCGGCCCAGAGATTCATTGGTGGAAGAGCTCTTGAGTGATGAGGATGATATGTAATAACGCATGTGGGATACGGCGTTTTGACACGGTTTATGTAGTTTGAATGACTGGTATTCAGCATTCATAGGTGAATGATTAATGAGATTTACACGCGTATATCATGTTCAGCATTTTTCATTAGTCCATGAAACTCTGTTAATTGTAACTCCATAAATAAATTGACCTAAACATGCTCATTATCGTTCACTATGATTCCTTATTCTAGTGATAAATATTTTCAAGTGGGTTTAATAAAAATATGAGAATAAGAATATTATCATCGTATATACATTATACATACATTATATGGAGAATATTTGTCCGGCAGAAGAGAGAGGCAGTTAGTAACCCCGAAGATATGAAGATCCACATTTGCGCAAATTATCCAAAACCTGTTGTTTGCTCTCAGGAGCTGTGCGCAAGGATTTGTTTTAAAAGTTCTGAAATATCAGATCTCACAATTCGTCATGGTGGAGCATTATTCCCCATCGTCATTACTCGCCAATGCACGCCCCGCGCACGAGAGTCAGTTTGCGGCAGCAGGGGTCTACCTTAATCCAGGTCAGATCACCAGTAAAAGTCCACCCGAAGATCTGCCCAGCGCGCACGTCCTCGCAACATCAAAATTCTTACAAGCTATTCTCACAGCCCACCATCTTTCAATCATAAAACACATCTGCGAAAATGGCCCAAGAAGCTGCTTTTACCTCTTCCGCCATGGCGACTGCGCTCGAGAACTCGTCCGTTTCGTACGAGGAGTTGGCGGATATCGAGAAGGAGTTTGATGATGCGGAGACCGAGATAAGTAAGTTTGAATCGCATTCCTTGTCTGATATTTTAAGAGAATATTTTCAAGGATTACCTTCCCATTGCCCTGGCGCAAAGCGCATTCGATGCCTCTACAACTCCCAAACTCGAGAACTGAGCTTATCTAACAAATCATCATAGTTAGACAACAAGTTGCGCTCACCGCACCCCTCTATGTCAAGCGCGCCGAGCTCCTTTCCAAGATTGAGAACTTCTGGCCGTTAGTCCTCGAGCAGGCGCCCCCGGATATCGACCAGTTCATCCAGCCCTCGGACTCCGCGCTCCTCCTCTCCTCCCTCACCTCCCTCTCCGTCGACAACTTCGAGATCACTAGCGCGGACAAGAACGGCGACCCCCGCTCCGTCGCCATCAAGTTCGAGTTCGCCGAGAACGAGTACTTTGAGAACAAGGTCCTGGAGAAGAAGTTCTGGTACCGCACCGCCGCGGATGGCTGGTCGGGACTCGTCAGCGAGCCCGTCAAGATCAACTGGAAGAAGGACAAGGATCTCACTGGAGGCCTGCTGGATCTGGTGATCAAGGCATGGGAGGTGGAGCAGTCTGGCAAGGGCGCCTCGTCGAAGAAGGGCGAGCCGAACGATGCGCAGAAGGCCCTGATGAAGAAGATTGAGGGCACCGGTATGGGCGGACTTTCGTTCTTCTCTTGGTTCGGATTCATTGGTCGCAGAGTGACCGAGGAGGTGTCGAAGGAGGCTATCAAGCGTGAGGCGGCTAGGCGCAAGGGCGAGAAGGTGGCTGAGGATGAGCCAATGACTGAGGAGCAGGAGGATCAGGAGGATCTGGAGATGAGCTTGGAGATCTTCCCCGATGGAGATGACTTGGCCATTGCCATTGCTGAGGATCTCTGGCCGGGAGCGATCAAGTACTTCAGTAAGTCTCCCATTCCAAGGAATCTTCTATTTAAGAGATTATAGAGCTAACATTATCTAGCACAAGCACAGGAACAAGATGCCTTGTCTGACCTGGACTTCGAGTCTGGTGATGAGGACGACGAGGCTGGATCGTTCCAGGGACTGTCTGATGATGATGAGGCACCTCCTCTCAAGAAGATGAGGAGCTAGATGCAGTGACAGGCAGCAAAAGTGTTTATATTTGGCGTTATATGTCTAGTAAGCTGGAATACCCGGCCCAGCTCAATGGATGAGGCTATTGGTTACTGTGACGACACTACTGTGGTATGACGGAGTTCATATATAAAATAGAGCTATAGAAACTATACTTTATCTCTCTATTGTTATCGTCTCATTATTATTGATGCATTCTGCATTTCTATTTAGGAGAGTTTATGTCATCCTCTTCATCGCCCCCACTATCCCCTGCACCTTCGGATTCGGACTCTGCCTCATCGTAATCAACTTCATCCTCATCTTCATCGTGTCCTCCTTCGTCATCATATTCTTCCTCTATCATCTCATCCTCATCGTAATCTTGCTCCGTTCCGTAGACGCTCGCATTCTGATCTTCCGTCATAGTCTCAACCGACTCTTCAGCAGCCGTACTACCATCGCCAGTCACCGCTATATCCTCAGGCACAGCACTCAACCCTGGGATTTTCGCGCCGCCGGCCTTCCATCTCCTAGCCGCCATTCTGATTCTCTTCTTCCTCGCCCCGTTCACGCTCTCCCCCACCTTAATACCGACTTTCTTCAGATCAGGCATCGGGATGGAAACCTTGCCAGCCTTGGCTTTCTCCTCCACGAAGTCTGGGACTTTGAGGACGGTCTCGAAGGCTTCGTCTGGGACGTGCTTGCCCGCACGGATTGCAGATATCTTTGTCCGCATCACGGCCTTGATCTTCGCCCATGTCCCGTTGCAGTACCAGCCGTTGACTTCGAGATCGCAGGTTGAGCGTAATGTTGACGTCGATGCGAGGCGCTGAATCATCGGATCGGTAATATCGCAGACCTGCCAGATTTTGCCATCGAGCGACAGCTTCGTACCGTCGAAGATGTGGCTGTCGAGGGAGATATCTGTAACCTGCGCGCGCCGTGTATACTCCGACCTGATATCCGTCCAAGGCTGCCCAGGCACCTTCTCAACCTCGTCGTAGATCTTAAAGAATAGCGTCTGGTAGAAGCGGTATTTGGGATCTGTGCGAGGATCTACGCCGTACCGGATGATGGCGTCACGCCAGGGACCACCGCGGAATTGGTAGCCCACGTACTGCATCGCTGGCTTGAGGAGGTAGACACCTGGGGAGGCGCCGATGCGGTTCATGATCGCCCGGCGGGTCCATATTGGGCGCTCAGCGAGAGCAGCCTGAAGCTCTTCGATGACAGAGATGAGGAGGGGGTCGTCGGGCGGAGGGTTCGTTGGACCCGAAGGTGTGACTGGGATGTCGTGGGCAACGTAGAGGGTGGCAAGTCTCGCCGGGGTGGAATGGTTAATAAGTGTCTTCTTACCAGTCTGATGGTCTGTAGTTACTCTGATTGTTGGATTTTGATGGTAGCCCCAGTTGAAAGGAAGGGGATGATCGGTCATTGTTGGAGGCGGGATAAGCTCTGTCATTTGCTTTGGGCCGCGACTAGGATCGAGCTTGTATTGTTTGATCTTATCCAGATCACCGGTCATAATAGTGTTACGGAATTTTGTCATATAGTTGCCATGCGTGGTGGAATAGTGGAAATCTGAGAGCCCCCTATACCGATGAGTCTGTTCGATAGAGCCTACAGGCTGGATGTGATAATATCCACGGCAATCTCTCAGTCTCTTCTGTAGATAGCTAGGATCATCAAGTCGTGAGTGTGACAGTAGCCCTGGTGGCTGATCGTCATGGGCTATTGGCTCAGGTTCTGGTTCCTGCATGTCTAGGTGGTACTCAAAAGGATCCTGGGAGCCCCGTTTGCGCTTGCGGCCTGTCCTCTTGGGGATGGTGACTTTCAGCAACACATTATTGGTAGGTGCATTTTGTGACAGATTGGGAGGACACGATGGGTCCTCTGGGCGCAAAAACAGTGGCAGGCAACCATCATAATCTTCGGCATCAAGTATCTGGCGATATATGTCAGTAATCTGTTTATGGGTTTGTTGACAGAATATGAAATCAAGCTTCAGAACGCTATGGACTCTGAGAAGAGCAAAGCCCTGAAGTATGGACAGACGGGATAACTGTTCATTGATCCAGTAAATGTGGTGATAGTAAGGCCTGGCTTACCTGGGCTAACGGCGCGCCTCTGCCAAAAGTCTTCATGGTACTGTCGACATCGTTGATTGCCATCGGGTGCTCCACAGCAACAACCTTTCGGCGCGGCACGGTATAGACCGGTGAAGACCCAAAGGAAGCCATAGCTCGCCCCTATTGGATCTGATTCTCTTTTGAAGGTGATTTACCAAAGGCTGGTAAAGGTCATGCTTTCGTCACGTGAACCTCCACAATTCGGTACCTGGAGCAAATAAAGCAGAGCAGCTATAAGTCGTACGATCGGTGAATGCAAATAGGGGAATAGCATTCATATCTGCACCATGCTAATATACAATCCAGATTGCATTATAAATTATTGTCGTGTCGTCCTGTGATAAATTGTAAGAAGCTATAAAGCGTGTCGTAATATAAAGCGTCGCCATATAAAGTTGATGCCAAGCGTTTGTGGTAAGCTCTGGCGCTTCTATTGTATGCGACCGTGCCATTGGCCAACCCCACCTGGGGTTAACATCACATCTGAAGTCCATCGGTGTAAACAGCCACCTGCCCTGCAACTCCAACAACTCTTCACTTTCCCCGCAGTCACAACTACGTTATCTGCAGGCTCTTGTCTTCAGAATAAAGACTCCTTGCCCAGAACTCCCTACACAAGCTCCCGATGTCGGCATAGGAGCTTCATACAACGCTTGCTAGCACAAGATCTCGCAGCTGAACCGCGGCGGATTCAAGAGCTGAAAGGGGCCCAGTGAAAGGTGAGTCTTGCATAGCAATCAATTGATCTCGATTGCACTGCTTGACAACGACTCACCCCGAGCGGGCTGACAATAAACCAACAGGTTGGCCGTCGAGACTCTTACTTAAGCTGTCGCATAACTATACGAAATTAGGTTACCGGCCACAACCGATAACCCAGTCTCCTCGATCTATTCTGCCCTCAAATTGCTACTCAAAGAGCGTACAAGCCCTCTAAACTCACTGAGAACCATTGGACCTGTGCCGAACATTTCAAGACATTAGAACCGAAAGAATTATTGACCCCACCAGGTCAGCGAAACCGATCCAGAACTTGGACAGCGTATCATTTCCGGTATAACAGCCAGGATGAAAGGATTCAGGCAGAGAGTTGTAAGAACCCCTTTCATCATCCTTAATTTCTGTCTAGTGTCGCAGCGATCCCGGTGTGGAATGTCTAACTCATTCAGCATGACCAGCTCTCGCGTTCGAAAGACCCGAACAAGTCCTCCAAGAAAAATAAAGATCCGAAGGATGGCACATCATCTCCATCGGCCTCTGGGTCGTCAAGAGAGGCTGGTCAATCGCCAAGCGTTACCCCTTCTGCCTCGACGACGTCACTGAACGACCCACGAAACAAGCCACTACCAGCGGGTGATTCAGGGACTCCTGTTAGCGGACATACAGCTTCGCCGTCACTAGCGCCCGCCAACACGCTGAATGGCGGACAACATGGGGTTCTTCCAGCTGCGGACCGATTTAACACGCTTGGTTCAAATTCTCCGAGTGGTGCAGCTCCCGGTACACCAAACAGGCATCCAATACTACCACCTAGCGTGATTATCAGCCCTAGTGCGCCGGTATGAACCCAGTTCTTCCGTTTGCGTTGATCCTCTTTACTAACACAAGACAGCATGTCCCGCCCCCAGGATCAGCAGAGACAATGCCTCACGATTTGGCACCCCCGAAGGCGGGCTCAAAAAACCTCGTGTTCGACAGGTTGCAAGCGACGCCTAAGGATGTACCAGAAGGTATCAGAACGCCCAAGCGACAGCATTCATCGCGCTTTGACATATCTCCTCTTAGAGAGTTAGAGAAGCTTCCTGGTTTCCATGAAGTGCCTCCAAACAGGCGACAAGAGCTGTTCATGCAGAAAATTGACCAATGTAATGTCATTTTCGACTTCAACGATGCGACAGGCGACATCAAATCGAAGGAGATCAAACGCGTGGCCCTCCATGAGCTTCTGGATTACGTTGCAAACAACCGTCAGGTCATTACGGATGCTATGTATCCGCGTGTCGTGGATATGTTCAACAAGAACCTCTTCCGGCCACTACCTCCGCCTATGAACCCCCAAGGCGAGGCCTTTGACCCCGAGGAAGACGAGCCTGTGTTGGAAGTTGCTTGGCCACATATCCAAGTTGTCTATGAGTTCTTTTTACGATTCATCGAGAGCCAAGACTTTAACACCAACATTGCGAAGGTATACATCGACCATAGCTTTGTACTCCAACTGCTTGAGCTATTTGACTCTGAAGACCCAAGGGAACGCGATTTCCTCAAGACGACTCTCCATAGGATATATGGAAAATTCCTCAATCTCCGCTCCTATATCAGAAGATCTATCAACAACGTGTTTTTCCAGTTCGTTTATGAAACCGAACGATTCAATGGAATCGCCGAGCTGCTGGAAATCCTCGGGTCAATCATCAACGGATTTGCCCTACCCCTGAAAGAGGAGCACAAGCTCTTCTTGACCAGGGTCCTTCTACCGATGCACAAAGTCAAGAGTCTCAGCATGTATCATCCCCAACTTGCGTACTGCATAGTACAGTTCCTTGAAAAGGATGCTGCACTAACAGAAGAGGTTAGTGGCTCTGGATTAGCTCCCACCATCGTATACTGACTAGATCTAGGTTGTTTTGGGCCTATTGAGATACTGGCCGAAGGTTAACAGCACAAAAGAAGTCATGTTCTTGAATGAGGTAGAGGACATATTCGAGGTTATGGATCCTGCCGAATTTGCAAAGGTCCAAGAACCTTTGTTCCATCAGCTTGCGAAGTCAGTGGCCAGCCCCCACTTTCAAGTTGCGGAGAGAGCACTATATTTCTGGAACAACGAATACTTCTGCAACCTTGTCAGCGACAACGTCGAGGTAATTTTGCCAATTATGTTCGCCCCTCTTTATGAGAACTCCAAGGGCCATTGGAATAGGTACGCCATCTAGATCATCTAACTTAGAGATAACGCTAATACACTATAGGACAATCCATGGCATGGTTTATAACGCCATGAAGCTATTTATGGAGATCAACCCTCAGTTATTCGACGACTGCTCCCACGAGTATACAGAGCACCAAAACACTGCGGACGCACGTATGCAAGCTAGAGAGGACAAATGGAAAGCTCTCGCGGAACAAGCTAAGCATGGGAAGGCGAACGGGGTGGCCACGCTCGGCGCCGTTCCCTCACATGAGATGGACCCGATGACGGAAGACAACCAAAAGCGCCTGGACTCACTGCAGTTACAAGATGGTGACCGGAGGGAGAGGAGACCTAGCCTCCACGATCGTCAAAACTCGGTAGGCAGCTCCAGGAGCCAGCGATGATCTATCCACTCTGGTGTATGCCGCTCACTTGTGGCTGATGCATATGCCAGATTCTTGTGACTTGAAAAATTCCTGTTTCGATAGATTTTGTTGGGATTATATCCTTTTTGGTTGTCCGCTACCTAGCAAGACGCTTTTTCATGATGGGAGTTCGGACAGCGATGGTTCCTTCAGCACGAAACTCGGCGCCTCTCGAGTCTAAAGTTTGGGAAACGATAATTCTGAGAACGCTGGGACTATTGGAGCTGCCGCAAAAACGCTCCTCAGCGTTGCTATGATGAGAGATGCAAAGGCGTCGACGACGTTAACGATCTGTTCTTTTTTTGATTGATTGATGATGAGGGAGGGATTGGTGGTTCTATTCGGCCTTGCTCCGAGCGGTGAGCACAGTAGGGATTTATGGTAGATAGGGACTTATGATGCGGGCTTCTGATCCGTACCTACCTTTTACATGATTCATGATCAGGCATAGTGTTCGAAGCGTTTTCGCCGCGAGGCTGTTGAGTAGCAAATTTCATCATAGAGCTTTCCATTGTGTTGAATACTTGGTGAAGTACTATAGGATTCTTCAACCCTACCTACTGTTGGCAACATAATAGAGCTACGAATTGCCCAACAATGCACCATAGCCCATTGCAGGAAACTTCCCCAATAGGGGTGCTACTCAATTACTGTTGTGGACGCCTGGTGATATTAGAGTCTGCCCAAAGTAAAAGAGCCATTGTAGCTATAATCAGGCTCAGTGCCAGGACAGTCTACGTAGACGGTTAATCCCAACCAAGTAATCTAAATGAAATGAACGAATAAACAATGTTCTGATTCCGCAGTATGTATATAAAATCTTCAATCCAACGCCGACTCCCCCAGTGTACAGCGTCCGATTACAGCACCAAGAGAAGGATCAACAAAATTATAAGCACCACTATCAGCACCCCAATACAGCAACTGCTCATCGTCTCCTCATTGTTCCTCATAACCCATCCCACCTTCTGAATCCCAGTTTGAAGCTTGCCCCCAACACGATCCGCCGCTGAATCGACCTGTTCCAGTATCTCGGCTTGCTCCTCAAGCTCACGACCCATATCATCAGCCTGCTGCCTCAGATTGCCCACAGTGCGGAACACGCCATCAAGCTGTTCATCCTGATCATTCATAATGCGCTGCTGCTCCTGTTGTTCGAACTCCTCGTACATATCGTCTCCAACCGCCTGCTCCTCATCCACGCCGGGTGGCAGAAGTTTATTACGCGACTTCGATTGAGACAGGTGTTTTAACAGCTCTTCGCGCATATCTTCAACTTCATTGCCGACTTCATCGACGAGATGTTTGCGCCGCACCACTTCCTCGATTTGGAGTCCATATCGGTGAGGGTCGGTCTCGACTGCCTTGACGGAGGAGACGAGGTCGGCGAGGTCTTCGGCTAGAGTTGAGAGGGATGACTCGAGCTCCGCGCGCGCAGAGGTAACCTCCGGGCTACTGGGATTTGGAGAAAGAGAGCGGATGCGGAGATAGGATGCGAAGAGGGGTCGGGTGGTGTTTAGTTGGGAAAGGACATCTCTGGAGGTTGGTTAGTACGGTAGAGTTTCGTTCAAGCGAGGAGGGACGTACGCTTGAACTTGGAGGAATGGGTCCTCCTCATTAATAGACGACATCATCCTCCAGTTTTGAGCGGGCTATGAGCCCCCAAGATTCTATTGTGGTGGTCGTTGATTGAGTCTCGTAGATGGGAACCTGGTATGTCCACGAAGCAAGGCTGAGGCGGCCAGGAAGGCTGACGTTGCGGTAAATGCGGGAACTGCCGCGGTACACATTGGCAGGTCTAAATTTATTTTTGAATGCGCCCCTCAGAGAACTTACTGATTAACTACAAAAGGAAGACTTCATTCGTGAAGCAGTCCAGGTTATCATGGCGCCGGATAAGCCGCTCCCGTTCTCCTCGGAGTTTAATACTGCAGAAGAATATGTGGATTCCTTGCTGGATTTCGCGACCACATCTACACTATTCCAGACCCTGTGCGGCGGGGTACATATCCTCGACTTCTTTACCAGAGAACCCGGGCTCTACGAATCTGTGATTCCAGAAGAATGGCACTCATGGCTGTCAAATTGCAGTTCCATGGAATTACTCGACGTGCTCATACGAGACGACCTGGATAATGTGTCGGGCCCGAGTCCCAGTCTCATAAAATACATCAAAGACATTCGGAAGCACTCCCTGCAACGGCAGTATACCCCGAGGAAGCTCAAACAGAGCAAATTACCTAGGAATGTTGCTGTGGGAATGGTTCCCAAGAAAATCCACGAGGTCACCAACTTCGCAGACTACGTGGACCGTCTCGCCGAAGACGTTGCTATACAAACGAACAAGAATATTACTCATTATGTAGATTTTGGCAGTGGGCAGAACTACCTTGGCCGGGCTCTGGCGAATCCGCCGTATAATAAGCACATCATTGCAGTGGAGGGCCGAGAGATCAATATCAACGGGGCGAAGAATATGGATATATTTACGAGCCTCGCCGAGAGAGAGGTTGTAATGCGGAACAAGAAGATATATCGGCAGCAGATGGACGATGATATATCACAGGATACACAAAAGGAGAAGGAGGAAAGGATAGCTGCAAAGTCCCAGACTATACCAACGGAGAATGGGGCTGATTTCAGACCATATAGGGACCTTGCGACTATATATACGACTGGAGAAGGCCAAGGGTCTATTCAATATGTCGAACAGCGCTTGAATGATGGAGATCTTTCAGAAGTTATTCCTCAAATCGATCATGTGGAGGTAGAGTCGAATCTCGCTGCCTCTGTGGCTGCTATCGGGCTCGAAGATGGTGGCAATCACCAAAAGCAATGTTGCCACGGAGGAGACATTGCCAAAACGAGCCTCATGACAATATCCATCCACTCCTGCGGAAACCTTTCACATCACGGCATCCGCTCCCTCCTTTTAAACCCGTCGGTAAACGCAGTCGCCATTGTTGGCTGCTGCTACAACCTCCTTACGGAGCGCCTCGGCCCACCCACTTTCAAGAACCCCATCCTACGCCCAAATCTCCAGCCGGTGAACGCCCGCAAGGACCGTGAGTCGGCAGCATTCGATCCGCATGGCTATCCGATGAGTGAGCGAGTTGCCACCCATAATGGAGACGGAATCCGCCTGAACATTACTGCTCGCATGATGGCCGTTCAGGCACCGCAGAATTGGACTGAGAAGGAAAGTGATGCTTTCTTCACGCGCCATTATTACAGAGCGTTGCTGCAGAAGGTGTTCCTCGATACTGGTGTTGTTAGTGCAGCTCCGCCGCCTCATGATGGCGGAGATGCTGGGTCGGAGTCACCTAAGAATGACCGTACAGATCCAGTGATTATTGGCTCGTTGAGGAAAGGATGCTATGTGTCCTTTGTGGATTACGTTAAGGGTGCTGTTGAGAAGCTTACACGCGATCCGGCACGGGGGAAGGAGATTGCAGAGAAAATGGGGACTTTGACAGATGAAGACATCGAGGTATATGCAAAGAAATACGGCCCTAGGAAGAAGGAACTCAGCATAATGTGGAGTCTCATGGCTTTCAGTGCTGGAGTTGTCGAGAGTTTGATAGTCACAGATAGGTGGCTGTACCTGAAGGAGCATCCGAGGTTGGTGAAGGACTGCTGGGTTGAAGCCGTTTTCGACTACAAACAGAGTCCTAGAAATTTAGTAGTGGTAGGTATTAAGAGATAAAATCTAAATCTATCACCATCAATACTTGTCGACACGTTTATAAAATTATGCTTTTGATAAATTGTGTTGATAGGACCCCACTATTCCGACGCGCATGGAAAATTTGTCTCCTTGAATCCTCCTGGAGAAGATGCGGTCTCCAAAGCACCATTGGCATATACAATCACACTGACCAGAAGACAGAACGAATAGAGTGTGGCGATTGCATGATATTAAAGCTATGTAGATATATAACAGCAAAAGGAAATTTAGATGTAGTTCATAAAATGAAACTGACTCAAGAATAGAGTTCCTTGGTCGGAGATTAACGACAGAACAATCTGCTCTCAGAACAAAGATAGACACCTCAATGACATAACGCCAAAGTGGTATCAATACATCGCTGCTGCCCTATCCTCAGAATGACGGCAAAGCGATGTTTTGATGTTCGTTGAAGAGAGAAGAAGCCCAAGCCTGCGCCGAGAATTTCAAGCATAAGACCACTGGTCCGAAGCGACGATCACGTGATATCGAAAACGGCCCTAACATTACGGCCAATCACAACGTAGATATTTCAATCGTCAACTAGTCGGGTCCTCGGTAACAGTTGATATCGGGAATTCTCGAGCCTCCTACTACAGCGTGTTGATTGGAGTCCTATACTACACGGCGCAACTCTCCTTTACCATTGTCCGATCGAAGCTGCAACGCAAACCCGAGCCATCAATTGAGTCACAATGCTTGCGCAGAGAGCTACCCAGCAGGCGCTGAGGCGCTGTACGTGATTCCCCGGCCCAACGCAATGACGATGCTCCATCCCGGGATCAGACGCACGCATGGAAACAGCTGCTAACAGAACTCCCATCTAGTCGCCCAGCGCTCGGTGATCTCCCAGGCGGCAGCGAAGAACCTCGCCGCGCCTCTCTCCCTCACATCCCAGATCCAGACCCGGTACGCCCATTCCCACCTATCCTCCTCCGCGGGCCCCCGAGCTCCTCCCGTACTAACACACCCTTAGCCCCGTCGCAACGCAAAAGCACCTCACCCCCGCCGACTCCTACAAGATCCTCGTCGAGCAGCGCCGCCTCCGCCCCATCTCTCCTCACTTGAGCATCTACCGCCCTCAAATCACCTGGTACGCGTCGATGTTTAACCGCATCACCGGCGTCGTGCTGTCTGGTACCTTCTACCTCTTCGGGATCGGGTACCTTGCCGCGCCGGTTCTGGGACTGAACCTGGGCTCAGCGTCGCTGGCGGCTGGGTTCGCGGCGTGGCCGATCGTGGCGCAGGTTGCGACGAAGCTGTTCTTCTCGGTGCCGTTTACGTTCCATGCCTTTAATGGGGTTAGGCATTTGGTGTGGGATACTGGACGCCAGTTTACGAATAAGGCGGTTATTAAGACGGGGTGGACGGTGGTGGGGTTGACGGCTGCGTCGAGCTTGTACCTTTCTCTCTTTGTTTAGGGGGTGTGTAGAGGGGTTGCATGGATCGTTGCATTGATCGTGGGATTGATCGTGGGGGGATGGAGTTGATTGTATCAAGATAAAGAACAGATTGTGGAATAAAATACTTATTTTAAAACTACTTGGGAGCCCTGAATTCAGAAGGGGGAGGCAATGTGGCTGACGGTGCATCATCTGGGACGTAAACGTGAATATTTTGGGTGTATTACGGAAGAGACTAGCATATAATTTCAGGCCGACTTTCATCCCCCTATCCCTATTCCTGTGTGTATCAAAGTGCTTTTTGCACCAACCCCCCCAAACTCCGCACGCCATAACATGCTCCTTCGCCTTCCCCTAACGTTTCCATTGCCCACTCATGACCGACACTCCAGAATCGCCTTCTCAAGCTTATGATCACCGAGCTTACTGATCTGCCCACCAATAATAGGCCCCACAAGCTCCTCCACCTGCGCCGACAACTCCTCAATACCGTTTCCATTCCCATTCGCCAGAACCGCTGCGTCCTCCTCCAGAGTCCTAATTGCCTTCATAAGAGCAGCGACGACCATCTCCGCATCGAGGGGACTCTCGGTCTGTCCCTTGGCCAACACCGAGTTGTACGCTTTCAGATTGGGAATGATAAGCATGCGCACCGACTCCGGACCACCCACTGCGACCAAGCCGCTGATGGCGCCGTAGTGCTGGTCGAGCGGCTTCTTGGGGTTGAGGAAGTACTTGAGGACAGTGCGTGCCAGGCGCGGCTTGAGCTGCTGGCTAGACTTGGCGTATTTCTTCGCGATGTGTCCGAGGAGAGATGCAGAGAACTCGCGAAGCTTGTAGTGGTCCTTGACTTCTACAGGAGTGGCGTTTGTGAGACCACGACCGACGAGGCATGTAAGTACAGAGGAGCAGAGGGTCGTGGTGTAAGGGTCGATGAAGAGGCGTTCATTCCTTGTGAGCGCAGAGGCAAGCTCCATCATTGTCTGCAGGACGAAGATGTTCTTCGTGTTATGTGTCACCTTCTCAGCGATGAACTGCACGAAGTACGGCACGAGTTGCTGGAGGGACTCGTCGTTTTCGACGCTGGCGAGAGCGGCGACACGGAGGCGGACGACGTCGTCATCGGGGTCGGTGTCGAGGATTGCAGTGCGGATCTTCTCGAAGTAGAGCATTAGCTCTTTGGAGAGGATGTGCTTGACTTGGGGCTTGAAGCCGACATTGTCGTTGCCGGTGAGAGCGGTCAGGGTAGGGTTGGCGTTTGCGCCCTTGGGGACCAGCTCTTGTGTCCTTGCTTCAGCGGTCGTCGGATTTTGGGGTATTGAGGGTTGGACTCCTTCCACGGCGAGCCAGTGTGCTGTCTATTGTTAGATCGATGTATAAATAACAGAATGAAAGACATACCAGTGAATGAAATGTCCCTTGGCACCTTGGGCAAAGGCGCATTAATGAGTTTCTCAAAATCCACCTCCTCATCCTCAATATAGAAAAGAGGTTGTCCCGGTCCCAGCGAAGCTTCACCAAACCTGAGGGGTCGAGTAGATTCATAGCCATACAGAGGCTCAACATCCAACACCTTCAAGGCCTGTGATATATCCTGCGTCCCCAGCACAGTCCGTTTCCCCTGCTGCATGAATCGCGTCGCCTCCACAATAACCTGGCCCACGCGGTATTCAACTTCCTGCGATAGCGCCCTCACGGCCTCTTCACCCAGTTGTGATATCCCGACGGACTCTGCGACATCGCGAACGTTGTCGGCGTTCCACACGAGCTTTTGGTCCGCCATGGTCGCGAGATGTAGGGGCGGCTGGCTTCGTAGCCAAGCCTCTCGAGAGGATCTTTCAGCGTCTATTCAGGGATAAAGACCTCTCGATCCTTGTTCTTGTTGAATGTGATCGTTGATGTAATGGCATGCGACAAGTCGTTGGCGCAAGTTAGAAATACTCCAGTGGTGGTGAAGTGATGGTGACCCTGCGATGCTTCCACAAAGTAGAAACCTGGCTGCGATCCTATCGCAATATCAAAGAACCTCCCTAGGTGCGCATTTCCTCGTAAAAACCGTTGTAAGATCGTATTATGACCACAATCAATCGCTTGGAGGATGAGTTGAAGCTCGGCCGACAAGGCTGAGATCGCAACGGGCAGCGCAGCGCACTAGTGGCAATCGCGTCGCCCTCCCGAACGGCGAGCGGCACTTTACGCGAACGGTCCAGCCGCGAGCAATGAATATGCGGATACATAATTGCCAAACTCACGTATAAACCCAAACCATGGAAACTATAGACGCCAAGGGGCGCGGAGCGTTTATTGTGGTGGAGGGGTTGGATCGGTCGGGGAAGACGACGCAGACGAAGAAGATTGAGGAGGCGCTCGTGGGAGGAGGTTATAAAGTCAAGCTGAGGCGGTTTCCTGGTAAATTCATTCCCCCTTTAGCCTGCCGTTCGGCCATTTCTGAACTCCCACTGACAATTGCTTATAGATAGAACTACTGTTATTGGGGAAATGATAAATAATTATCTACAAAGTAAATCTGATCTGGAAGATCACGTTATCCACCTCCTTTTCTCAGCAAACAGATGGGAGCTTGCGTATGTCCGCTTCCCATGGGTCAAAGCTTATGGTTCTGGTAGATTCTAACACAATCACAGGAAGCAGATTGAGAAGGACATAGCAGATGGATATACCGTCATCTGCGACCGTTATTACTACTCTGGAGTCGTATACAGTGCAGCAAAATCCAATCCAGAGCTGTCACTACCATGGGCTCGGGAGCCAGAAGTGGGCCTCCCGAGACCCGACCTAGTCATATTCCTGGACTTGGAGCCAGAAGTCGCTGAAGAGAGAGGGGGTTACGGGGACGAGAAATATGAGAAGAGAGAGATGCAGGAGAAGGTTCGGAAACTCTTCCATGCGCTGAATGACTCAGAAGAGGAGGAGGCGGAGGATATGGTCATATATGACGCGGGAAAGTCGGTGGAAGAGGTGACCAAGGACGTCCTTCAGTCTGTTAGTTCTGTTAGCCTGGCTGTCAAGCAACGTCTTCACCCGGAGCTTAGAAAGGTTGGGAAGTGGAAACGTGAACATTGATGAGATGAGTAAACACATAGCCGCACCATTCGATGATGTGTGCAACAAACAATTGCATTGTGAAAATTTGTGACAAAAAGCCGCCGTCTATACTGCCGACTTATATCCACATATATGCCTTCCATGTAAATACACATTTTTGTGTCGAAGACAAACGCAATGTATGGCGTTAAGACCAAGAAAAACGCCGCTCCTGTGCTAGGTGTTGAAGACCGCAAAACACTCGTAATCCTAAAACGCCCGCAAAAGTAATAATAGCCCAAATTTTTTCAGACATCCACCAATTCCAACCTTGCTGATACCAAAAAATAAAATGTCCCCGCCCCGCCCCGCCCTCCGAATCTAAATGGGCCTCTCAAATACATGTGAAGAACATATTACCGCCTGTTCAGGCCGAGGAGGCTGAAGAACTCGTTCCTCGTCTTCTCGCGCTTCTCGACGCAGCCGAGGACGCAGCTGGTGATTGTGGTTGCGGAGGTCTTCTCGACGCCTCTCATAACCATGCATAAATGGCTGCTCTCCATCACTACTGCTACTCCTTGTGGCTTCAGGATGTCCATAATTGCGTGCGCGACGTCCTTGGTCAGGCGCTCTTGGACTTGTAGCCTGCGGGAGAACATGTCGGCGATACGGGGGAGCTTCGAAATGCCAATAACGTCCCTGTCGGGAATATAACCAATGTGCATCTGATTAATTGGTTAGCTTTCTGTTGTGACTCATGGAACTTGGTTGGACAACAAACCTTGCCTGTGAAAGGCACCAGGTGGTGCTCGCAGAGAGAGAAGACTTCAATGTCCTTCACAATGACAAACTCGTTGTGCCCCTCGTTGAAAACCGCATCATTGACAATCGTCTTGATGTTCTCCTGGTACCCCTTCGTGAAGAACAGCATGGCCTTCGCATATCGATCCGGCGTCCCGAGCAGGCCCTCGCGATTCGGGTCCTCACCGATGCACTCGAGAATAGTACGGACGGCACCCGCAATCTTTGCCTGGCGCTCCAATGCCTTCTCTGGTGATTCCTCCAAGCGTGCCACCGTTCCAATACCTGGGTGACAGCGTCAGTGACAATCCACTGGGCTGAAATATACACGGTGGCGTAACTTACTGGGCTTGCTCAATCCCACGAAATCAATGCCCGGACTTGGAGATCTGGTCTCGGATTCGAGCTCCTCAGGTGGCGATACTGCATCTCTGGGGTCTCTTGGGGCTTTGCCAATGCTGTTGCGGCGCTTCCTGGCCTTGCGACGGCGGCGTCTCTTGCTGGACTCATCGTTCTTCAATTTGCCTTCGGGCACCCCATTGGGAGTTGGTACGGGCGAGATTTCTGCGGGAGTGACGGGCGCAGAATTTGGCACGAACCGTCTTTCAGAGTTGGCAGTCTGTTTAACCATGCTTGCTTGAGAAGGCATGGTAAGAGATGGGTGAGGGAGGGAGGAGGGAGAATAAAAGAGAGAATGAAGAGGGAGGAATGGAGGGCGAGGCCGGAGTGGAAATTTATGTATATGACGACCCCGCGGGACATTTTGGCAAGGCTAACGTCGGACTCATATTCCGGGGGTCCACATCCACTTTTTACTATGCTGCACCCATAGAAGCCATAGAAGCCATACAAGCCAGTTCTAAAACTACTAAATATGCTAAATATACTACTAAAAAGTCAGTTACAGTGCAATTGGTGCAGTAACCGCAGTAGTCGCAGTAGTCGGATTTGCCTCTCCGATAATCTTCGGGGCAATAATCTTCGAAGCGTGGGGTTTACGAGTGATTTACTGGTTTAACGCTGGTTAAACCAGTAAATCACTGCTTTAACTGCTTTAACGAGTAAGGTACCACGACTTCTATGCGCTTGCTTGGGTAGCCTTGTCTTACATGTACTGCACTGTACCACTGTCAAACTTTCCGAGCTATCACTTGCTACTACTACTACTACTTAACTGTACCTTCTCAGCCTCGTCCTTTGACTCCTTTGATTGGACCCATTTCAACAAACATCTTTCCTCCCAGTTCATCCATCTCATCCACGCATCCACGGCGCGCATCTCAGTGACGACTATTCGACTCATCGGCCACTTCTCAACACGTACAGATCGCGTCACAACTTGCGCCTGCCTCTCTATCATCAGCGGCGTCGAAGTCAACCCTGGATACAATTCACCGAACGCGCGAGGCGTCGTGCCCGTCGAGGTAACAGCCATTCACCCATCCACCCTCACCATCATCACCACCACAACAACCTCACCTCACAATGGCGACCTCACCTCCATACGCCCCCCAATATGGCGGCACCTCCGTCTCCCCCCCCTATCCCTCTCACACCCCCCTCCCCTCCAAACGCCGCACAACCGACCCCCACTCCTCCGCCAAACGCCGCAAACCCTCCACAACAAGCACGCACTCCGCGCACCCCCTCCGCCAAACCTCCTTCCCCCCCGACGGCCTCAACCCCGATGGGCGCGCCTACTCCGCCGACGCGCGCTCTCCCTCCTTAGACGCAACAAGCATGGTCTCCGGGAGCGTCGTGTCGAAGCCCCCCAAGAAACGGGGTAGGAAAGGGAAGGGTGCGGGCGGGGATGAGGGGAGTCTTGTGGGAGGGGGGAGTACGGCGATGTCGATGGTTTCGGGAGGGGGGAGGCAGAGGGAGGGGACGAGGGGGGTGAGTCCCGAGGAGGATGATGAGGAGGTTGCGACGCTGGATGTGGCGCTTGTGGCGCGCACGAATGAGGAGAAGGAGAAGGAGAAGTATTATCGCGCGTTGCTTGTTGGGGCGCTGGATCCGGATCAGTATGCTAGGTATGAGAGGTGGAGGTCTAGTAAGCTTGCTGATGCTGTGGTGCGACGGGTGAGTTTTGGCTGTTTTATCCCCATCTTAGTGGTTTGGTTGACTGACTTGTTCCTATTTGCAGCTCGTCAACCAAACGCTCTCCCAATCCGTCCCGAGTAACGTCGTCATGGCCGTAAAATCCGTCACCAAAGTCTTCGCCGGCGAACTCATCGAGCGCGCCCGCAAGATCCAAACACAATGGCTCTTCGCCTCATCCGAATCCCAGATCGACGACCCTGACGCGCGCGGCGCCGCACCCGTAGATACCAGCAAGGACGTCCAGCTATGGGAAGCGAATAAGGCGGAGGAAAGGCGCGGGCCGTTGACGCCGGAGCACTTGCGTGAGGCGCTGAGGAGGTATAAGGCTGAGAGGGCGGGGGGGCTGGTGGGGTTGATGGGCTTGGATCGCGGGCAGCATTCGACGGGGGCGGATAGGTTTGGGTTGAAGGTGAGGGGGAGGAGGTTGCTTGGGTAGGGAGGGGGAGGTGGGGATGGGGATGGGATGAGGGGCGTTTAGTGCTTGCATTTGCGGAGTTTGGGGGAGAGCAAAGGGGAGGCCCGGCGTGGTCGGTGTATGATATCAATCGCGTATTTGACAGCGGAGAGTTCGGGGGTTGGGGCTGTATGTTTATAATACGAATTCGCAAAGGATGGCGCCCTGGAAAGGCAGCGAGGAATGGGAACCACCACAAGGGTGTTATGCCGAAATGCAAGACTTTCCTTCTTCAGAAATGCATATTCCAGAGACTCTGATTGTTCCCATTGACAGACTGACTCTATGTGCTTTCAGCGCTTCCACTGCATCATAGCAATAATATGCATTGATAAACTACAGACAGCTACAATCCATCTCGTTGAGCCGCACATTGCCATTCAAACTAGCCATAGCCTCCCTATGCCCACCAACCTCTACTTCTGTGACTATCCAAAACACCGCTCGGAACTACAGCCTCTCCTCCCCTGTTCCTCATAACTGCCCCTTTTTCTCGTTACTGTTATCTTCTCGTCACCGTCTATTTTCTCGTCACCGCCATCTTCTCGTCGCTGACCCGTCTTCTTACCACTGCCCCTTTTCTCGTCACCCGCGTTCTCGCCATCCATCTACTCCAAACACCGTTGATCATGGATAGGCCCAATGCAGCGAGTGGTTCCAGACGCCTTTTCCATGAATCTACACCTTGCAGCCCACGGACATTCGCACCTCTGGATGATCCCTGCGTCAAGTAGTTTGGGAACTCTTGCCTCTGCCAGCGCATTTTGTATATATATATTTGGGGGTTTGCCTTTCGCATTTGACAATAGACTGCTTATCTTTGAATTGGGCGGCCTTCACAAAGGGGTACCCAAGTAGGCTAGCTTCCGGTGGGCATTAAGATATCGATATCTTCACAACTGCGTATCTCACTTCACAAACAGCTTCGTCTTGGTACACACATCGATTCTCTCATCTAGCGTCTCTCTCCCCAACTCAGCGCTATCTAACGAGAAACCAGCACCCCACCACCAGCCTCAAGCCCAGCAGCAGTATCTAACCCCCCTCGCATCCCATGCTGTTACCGCAAATGCAGATGCAAACCCCCCAATCTCCCCATAATCCCCCACCATCCCAAAAATCCAGGCCCATCGCGGGCTAACAAGAAAGTAATAGTGCCAAATCCACAATCCCCAACCCTCTCCACATGAAGAAAATCCCCTTCTCTATCCCCCCCACCAACCCCCCATCCCGCCACTTCCTCTAGTATCATAGTTATCATAATCGCATCGTATTTCGCCCCGCCGTACTCGCCGTCGAGGGTATCGTTCAGTCGTAGAAACATCTTAACAAAAAATGCAAAAAGGTGTAAAAGGTTGACCACAAACTCGGGTCATAATCAAATCCAGCCCATAAGGCAAGGCAGGGGGTGCTTAGAAGACCGTCCCGTCACTAATAATCATGATCGGCGGCTCCTTGGTATTCGGTCTTGTGACCTCTGCGATTTCGCGACCACCCTGTTATGACTGTTAGTTTCATGTGCATTGGGGAATCAGTTGGGGTAAACAGGGAAAGACATACCTTCCAGCTACCCGCCTCTAGCATCTGCGGCAGAGACAGGGCCTCCTCCCCACTCAAGCCCAGCTCGGTATTCACCTTCGCGAGCAGCAAATCCAAGAATCCCACCGTGACCGCGCGCCACTCCACAACCACATCATCACTCGCCTCAAACATCGGCACAACCTCCATACACTTCTGCCCATTCCGATCCGCCTCCGCGGAGAACCTCTCCAGTCCCCTCTTCATCTGCTCCGGCTTAAGAGTCAACACACCGGTGTCAACGAAAAGCCCCCCATTGCGGTACTCGGGGAGCCCGGTCATGAGTTCCGCGCCGGCGAAGTGGATGTGCATCAGCACGGACATGGGCTGCATGAGGGAGTAGCAGAGCCACTGCGTCAGCTTGTGGAACGGTACGATGGTCTCCCACTCGGCGCTATTCGAGTCGCGCGGCATGGAGGAGAGGGGCCAGGCGTCGCCGAGGCTGACTCCGTCGACTACGGTGCGGGAGGCGGGCCAGATGGGTCCGAGCCCGTCCATGAGCACGTGCCACAGGGTTGGGAGGGGGACGATGGGGACGGAGGAGATTTGGGTGGTTGGGTGGGAAATCAGGTAATCTGGGAGGAGTTAGTAATAGTTCTGCTTTAGTGTACTGTGGCTACGGGAAGTTGCGCCATATAGTGGGTGGCATTTACCAATGATGTTTCCTGGTCGTAAATCGTCACCGAAGTACTGGCGGTTTTCCAGTGCTTTGGAAAGGCGGATTAGGAGGTTTGCGCGGCCATCAAGGCCAGTAATCGGGTTCTGTGCGGTGACCTGGAGGCCCTTGCCCATGGTCTCAACAGTGAGACGTCTCAGTCCGTCGGAGTCGACTCGGAATGGCTGGTCTGGGTCACTGGAGAACATGCCCGTCTTGAACATTTCCAAGCTCGCGACAGCGAGGCCCTCGCTCCTTCTGTATACCTTGCCATTCTCCTTCGACTTGTAAGACCATGCGGTGCCGGCTCCGGCGTCGAGAAGCACGGAAACTAAGAAGAGGTCGAGAAGGCGGCGGGTCCGCTCAGAGGTGTCGACAGAGCTGGGCCATGACTGTAAAAGATGTGTAACCCGATCTTTCCCGCCCACATTGAAATGTTGCCAGCGTCCATGAGGGGGAATCGTAGAATAATCCGGTGCAAAGTCGCGCTGTATGGTGGTTAGTTGCGATCCTGTAGAGCGTGAAGTGCGGGGTCAGAGGAAGGGTACCTTGATGATCGAAACAACAAAGGCCACCGAATCGTCGAACTTGGACATGTCGACATCGAAATGGTTTAAATCGTTATCCAGTGCCTTCTCTAGTAATACTGAGCATCGTGCCCTGACCGATCCGATGCTGCGCAGGTACGCCGCCGGGTCGACGAGTGGATCTGGAGCTTTAGGCATTTTGATCTGAGGACGATGCGACGGGGCGGTTGTTGTTGGAGAGAATGGTCCAGAGCTAGTTGGTGGTGACGAGCGTTTTCCAAATCCCAAAGTCGGAGATTGAAGTGAGGAATTTGAGGAGGCGAGTGAAGCTGAGCGTTCACTTATAGATGGCTTTGATGATGCCCTGTTGGACGAGCTCTTGCTGAAGAGACCCATCTTATCGGGTGTTGGCTGGTTGCGGTGATAAGGGGTTTTGGTGGGGTCTGATCCGAACCTCCCAGTGGACGAGTACTCCTGGTCTCTGGATTGGAACAACGAACACGTAAAATGTGCTGAAAATACACAAGTTGAGTGCTGAAATATACAATGCGAAAATGAACAGATCGATCTGATCTATAGAAAGATTAATGCGCTTCGATTGCTGTCAGTTGTTGTTTTGTTGGCGTGCTCGAGAAACAAATGTCGTATTGGTTGGTGGAGTGTATTTATTGTTAGAGTGGCGATTGATGCAAGTGAAATCACAATCGCAATTGGATTGGTGACTGGGAAGAGAAGGTGCTGGAAAGGCCGCAAGTAAAGAAGGCAAACAATATACAGCTTCCGAATAAATAAATGTCGAAAGGTAAGCCTCGTCCAAGCAGAAATATACACCAGATAACTCTCGAAATATGTCCGAGGTATTGTTGTTTTTTGTGTCGGGGGGGGAAAATAAAAATGGGTAGGAGATGGAGGAGGAGGACGGCGGGGGGCGGGGTGTTTTGGTTGTTGTAAGCGTTTCTCAGAGCGAGGAGGTACGAGAACCAGGAGTGGCCAGAACAAAGAGCTCCGTCCAAACAGCAGTAGCTTCGGTGGATCGAGCCATGTAACCAAACAATCAACGACGGTAAGGCGCGCAGTGGATATAATCGTCACGGTAAGAGAAAGAGCGATGTGGGGGGATAGGAGCGAAGAGACCAGAGACAGGAGAGAGAGCGGAGAAAAGAGTGACGATCAACGAGAAATATATTTTCACAGCACATTGAGGAAGCTGCGATGTGATGGTCAACACCAACCAAACAGAAAAAATATGCCGTTTAATCGTTCCACCAGACAAGTAACAAGCTGACCCTGGGGCGAAATTTCCTCTTCTAGCAGGTATGCTCACCCTCGATTAATCTATCAGCCTGTAACCCATGAATAGATCGCAGTCTACTGTCTACTACGCTCCGCAATTGCAAGTCTTCCCGCAGGTCGGCCCACACAGTTCATTATCCACAGTTATGGCTGGTTTACGAATTACGGAGTCAAGAAATACGCCCAGGATTTGCAGCTAGAGACACCCTAGAGGAGGGAGGAGGAACAAGGGCGGCATTTCTCTGAAGTCGGACTCCGAAGCAGTCCAAAAGAATATCCGTGGGCCTACCATGGTAGATACCCAACGGGGAAACAACGGAAAGATCCTTCCACTACCAGGGCCAGGCTCAGAGATGAGAGGTTTTCTTCTCCGGGCGCTCTCTCATACCCAGGGAATATATTTCCCTTCAGGGATCTGCAGAATAGCCAGGTTCTATACTGTGTGGAGCACAACCACAGCAAGCACAGTGATAGCGTGCACTGTGCATACAGTAGTGCTCTAGGACAGAGTACCCTTTACGACGACATGGGAGGATCATTACTCCCAGTCCCAATCCTGAGGGAATCAACACACTATCGAGAATGGAAACCCGTCACCCAGACTTCCAAGTACGCGGCGCACAACCACTCCAACGCTCGCATTGCATGTGAGCCATCCCAGCGTCCGTGTTTATTGCCCAACCGTCATGCCACTAACCACTTAGTTTTTCCTTGGCTACCATCCACTACAGCAGTTACGATACTCTAGACCCAAGCTTGCTCGGCCCCGGCGATTTACACAGCCCGCAGCTGTCTGGGTCCAGCTGTCCCCTGTCGAGCTACGCTACGGCCTGTCCCTGCCGTCCCTTCCTTGGGCTCTAGAACGAGGATCGAGGGAGATGAAAGGGAGACGCCAGCTGTCGGATAATTTCATACCCCACAATATTCAGCAGCCACAGCACCGAGTCCGATTCTTCTATGCGATTCTTCTCTCGAATGGTTGTGGGGAGAGTCGGTCGGATCCTAGACATCACAAAGTACGAACTCGAGTAGCGTTGTTATGGGCCTATTAGATTGTGCGCAGGCCGCGATGCAGGTACCGCAGCCACAGGACTGGCAACGACATGGATGCTGCAGTGAGGGGACTGCTGCTGCAGGGCACTGCAAAATTCTGACACAGCTACAGGCCTGTCGTAAGAACGGGGACATACGTACTGCATGCGAGCAGAGAGCGGTATGCATGCACACCGCGCAAACATGCTTGTACGCAAGGTCGTCTTTGGATAATTGAATCCCTGGTTTTGGTGCTGCTAACGTGCATCTAGCAGGTTGATCACAGTACCACCATCCGGTCAGAAGAAACAGCATGTGCTGACAGACCAGGCCATGATCTTGGTGTGCGACTTTGGGAGCTCATCACAATCACGAATACACCCACCAGCGCATAAATCCCACGTTGTCAGTGACGGAAATGCAACATTCCATGTGGTAGAACCTGGCACAATGATACCCTAAGAAACGTGGCCAGTTCAAACTCTATAGCAGAGTTGCACGAAGGCTGGAATGCTTAAGCAGTATTACAGTGGTGACGACTTCAACGCCCAACAACAACAACAACAATGGTCTCGCCAACTGAAGGATTGAACTAGAGACGCATGAAGTACAGTAAGTATCTGCGTACACCGGCTTATCAATCAACTCTCATTTTTCCGAATCCCCAACGCCCGACCCGTCCCATCATCGGCACGGGTAGTACCATCTCCCATAGTCGGCCCATCCGAAATACCTCTTAAAGATTCCTCATCGGGCTGTCCTTTAGACAGGATGCAAAGAGAGCACGGACACACCACAGCGTGAACCATGCCTTATCTCAAACCGAACGAACTCACTCTACAGGTGGAGCAGAGACCGAGCACCTGTCCCGTCCTCCCACCACACCCCGCCACAAACCCACCGCCCAGCACAAACTCCGCAATGACCCCTACAGAAAGCAGCCAAGCCCTTTCCACCAACAACTGCCACCCTTGACTAACACCGACAAATCCCCAGATTGCCGCCATCCGCCACAGCCAATAGTGCGCTACCTTCATCCTTCGGAACCCGCCCTCCCCATTGCCGCGCCCTCCCACCCAACCGTGCCCCAATCCCCTTAACGAACCAGTTCGTTCTCAAAACCCAATTAAAACTACTGTATCTACTCCCGCCTCAGTCAGCACCAGCGCTCGCGCCCTCGCTCCTCCTTGCATCCCACCTCCACCACCACCGCACGCACGCACTTCGCCCAGCCCACGCACAGCACCACGAGACACCAGAGACTGCCAATCGGACCGCTCCCGTGGCGGCTAGCTTGCGTGCAGAGGTCTCGGCCGGTTAGGGCACGTCCGCGCCGGCGTGCGCCAAGGGGTGCTCTGGAGCGGTGGTGGCGAGTTGTTGGTGTGTGTGGCGTTGGAGGAGGCGGCGGGGGGCGGCGGCGGTGTGATCTGCAAGGTAGGTCGTGTCTCGGTACTGTAGGCGTGAGGGGTCCGGGCGCGCGATGGGGATTTGCTTTTTCGGTTTGGGTGTGGTGAGTGGTGAGTGGTGGTGGCGTGGTGAGGAGGGGGAGGAGGCGTTCAGGCTGGCTTGGGGATGGTAGGTTATGGTGAGGTGTGTGTGTGGGTGGGGACAGATAGCTTCAATAGCTTCGTATGTATTGACGATAGTGTATGAATCTACGTAATGTAGTATGTAGTCCTATATACCCCAATCCTATATTCCATCCAAGGTATCCCTTCCAAGACATGCCATCCAAGATCTGCATTCCAAGATATGCAGTCCCGCCACGAGATCCAGATATCGGCTCTGTCTGTCTGGAGCAATTGTGTGTACTCCTCCCATATGTGCTTTTGCCAAATATCTGACATGAAAATCCCGAATCCCAAATCCCAAAACTCCAATCTACCCAGTCAAACTCTCAGGGTATCCCACATGTCGGCATCAGAGGAGCCAATGTCGTAACGTCGTATCAATCCAAACTCCAACCACCTTCCACTTTCCGACAAGCTTTCCAACCATCCCATCACGCTGCAGCACCATCGCCTTACCCCCACGTCCCCCACGCTCTCTCCCCGAACAAACCCCAACGGGACCCGGCATCCTCACCACGGCTCCCCCAGTAATCCCCCGCCCTTCTCCTCCCTCTTCACCCGCCGACTCGGACCCGGGGCCATCTCGACCCACTTTCCGTCCTTTGTCCACGTGCCCGCCTTCGTATAATCCAACGTCGCAGTCCCCTGCATGAACGCGAAGCGGAAATACTCATTCACGTCCAGACCCGGCTGGCGCTCCCACATGAAGCCCCGACCGTTGCGGGGCTCGTCGTCGACGAAGCCGCGGAAGCGCTCGACGTCGTTGACGAGGATGCTGACGCCGTCGAAGGAGGTCTCGAGGTCGGGCCAGGTGAACGTGATGTTGGAGTTGCTGGTTGTGGCGGCGGTGGAGAGTTGGATGGCGGGGGGGAGAAGGTTGGGGAGTTTGGAGTTGTGTTGCGCGTCGTCGAGGAGGGCGGCGTCGGTTTGGAGGAGCGAGTCGAAGCCCCAGCGTGCGATGCCGTTGATGAAGAGCCCGAGGAGGATGCCTTGGTAGAGGAGACTGGGCCGAGTTTGCATGCTTGTTCCGGGGATGAGGAGGATGGCGAGGATGTAGTGGTGGATGCGCAGGTTTAGGCCGGGGATGCAGATGCAGACGATGATGCCGACGAGGATGACGGCGTAGAAACTGAGGTAGCGAAGCAAGCGGCCTTCGAGGCGGAAGTACCAGATTTGTTGTACGACTATGGCGATGAGGATGATCGCGATGAAGGCGAGGGCTGCTTTCGCGCCGGGCTGCTGCTCGAGGTCGTGGGGGGTCAGGCGCTGGATGGGGATGAAGTCGAAGGTGTAGTTTGTGAGGGAGCCGACCCAGCAGCCGCCGAGCCAGAGGATGGTTTTTTCGACTTGCGCGGTGAGGCCGCGGAGGGTGCGGCAGATGGCGAAGGTGTAGAACACGAATGCGACAAACATAGCTGGGAGAAACCTAGAGACGAGGATTTGGAGCAGGTCGAGCATGCCTCTATGCGTAGGGGGGTCGGAGACGAGGCCCACGTGGATGAAGATAGTAGTGAAGGCGGTAAAGAAGAAAACCGAGGGAGAGGTGACGAAGAGGCTCAGTATCGAGGTGAAAATGACGGATACGGCAAGGATGGGCCATCTCATGTCTTTCGCCGAGCAGGTAACATCGGGCTGGAAGACGAAGGAGAGCGGGAAGTGCGAGTCAAAGCCTATGCTCTTGATACCGTTGCTTTGGGAGCTGGTAAAGGAGCTCGCTGCGCCATTCTTACTGACAACTCCGCAGCCGCCTTCGCTGTCGGTGATTACACCGGCGTGGATGGCAGCTTGGCAGAGGAACGAGTCGCCACGGTAAGTTGCCCTCGGGTCCTTTGAGGTATCTTCTGGGGGTCCGCCGATGACCAGAGAGGCGTAATTTATTTCTTGCGTGCCAACAGCGCGAGGATTGAGCACTTTGTAACCCGCGCAGGAGGCGGGGCAACGGAAGGCGAGACTCGTCCCCTCAAAGGGACGGCAGTTAGATCCTTGGAGGCCACATGAGTTACCAGAGCTCCAGAACGTAGCGCCGCAGTCGATAGACACAGGCTGGCCATAGGACCCTATGTCGGCCGCCAGGGTCGAGTATCGTAGCATCAATCCAAATGTGAGACCCCAGCAGAGATAGAAGAAGAGCAGAAGAGTCAGCCTCGCTTTCTTCTTAGGCACATAGGTGTCTAGGAACCGGATGGGGGCCTCCTGGATTTTCGGGAACAATGGCTTGATATGCTGTCGCCGCGGAGGCTGGGGTCCTTTTGCCCATCTTGCCACAGCCTTGGAGTACCGTTGAACTCTGGTCGGAATCCACGGATACTTGCGGTATGTCCCATCTTCCTGTATGAATCGCGGAGCAGACAAGTCTGAGCTGGACGCCGTTGTATCTGTATGTGGACGAGGCCGTTCTAGAGATTCAGTCGATGTTCTTATCCCCGCACCCGACGCCGGATGCGCGGCTTCTTCGTCGCTGAGTCTATCAGCCATCGCCATGTCGTTCGGTACTGGAAACTGCGTAAGTTACAATCACCTTGGCTTGTTAAATAGCTACTCACCACGACTATACGATGCTTCGGTAGCTGAACCTCGACTCCATGGAAGGTTAGGCATCCTCTACCTTTGTACGTCGGTGGTCGATTAGCTGATGTACAGTAATACTGGGTGCAGTCGTTGAGTTGCTTGCGTCCAGGTGGAGTACTTAGAGTGTTCTAGTCAGGGATGCCATGCGGGAGGATCGGAAACACGAGGCCGTTTCCCCAATGGGGAACGTGGATAGTATGGGATAGGATGGGATAGGATAGGATAGGTTTCATAGCCCACACAAATCTTCATAGTAGTCACAGTAGCGTATTACATTGTAAGGCTACTGACGGCTACAGAAGAGTGGAAGGAGGGGATTCCGTCTTGAGCGCATTGGCGGGATTGGCGCCTGTGACGTAGGCCTATCAGGAACGACACGGGTAAACTCAGGGCCACCAAAGGAACACCAACGACTATCAACCACCGCATTTTTAGCGTCATCGCAACCCACAGAATATTTTGGAGCTCTCGCCCAATACTGAAAATAACCAGGAACGTCGCAATAATACGATTTTATATCGGGGTTATATGGGGTACTGTACTTTGCGGAGTATTGTAAACAACATCTGACGTCGCTATCAGAGTATAACCAAGTATATTCAAGTATCAAACGTCCCGTTCATGAAGATCTGTACTGCGTATGCAAGGCTGTGCAACAACAACTCGGGCCTTCGTGACACAGTCTCAGTACTAACCTGCGGGCCGAAGATCATTACTGGCTTCCGAAGCAAGGGACTAAAAGCTTACACGAATTCTTCAACGTCGTCACAGAGGGTCAAAATGGCGGTCGGAGCATTGGATCAGCCGTTTTTCACGCTTCATGATGAAACCAGCATTGATGCTGCGCCCTCGGATCCCCGTCGTGCGAGACTTGGCCGTATCTCGGTGAAGGGCCGGAGGACTCTCGATACGCCGAACTTCCTCGCCATCACTTCACGTGGTGTCGTCCCCCATATCAGCCCCGATGTAGTAGGGGAGCAGACAGAGTTCGCCGGCGTCTATACCGCGATTGAAGACTGTAAGTACAAATCGTCCTGTCCAAAATAAGGCAGGTGTCACGTGTCCATACAGGGGCTGATCAAGATGTAGATGTCGAAAAGGCAACGAGAGGGGGCGTGCCTCCAATCATGAAGATGCCAGCTCGGAATAGCACGCCGCTCCATAGCTTCACTGCTTTGCCGCCTTCCCTCATCACCGTTATGTCGCCACGCCGCTCACCCGCCGTCAGCTCACCCCAGGGCAACCCAGACAGCGGCCTGTCAATCTTTACCTCCACTGGTTTCCAGTCTCTCAGCACGCAGCGGTACGCAGAGTATGCAAATTACATCAAGCCGGACATCACCATCGCTCTAGGTGATTTGCCATACGGGCCAATGCCTGGCAAGAAGCGAGCCTCTAAAATGTCCGAAAGGACGACGATGTGGGTTGATAAATTCCTCTCCGAATTATCAAAGTCCCCCGAGGCACCGGGCGCACCAGCAACAGCAGTCTTTGCACCAATCTTGACAAGAGACTATCAGTCTCAATTTGAGTATATCGAGCATATTTCCGAAGACCTCGCCCCCTCCCTTTCCGGCCTAGCATTCTACTCCTCCTCCCTCCTCCCCGACATCCCGCAAACCCCCTCTCTCAACCGCCTCGTCCGCCTCTCCCTCGACGAGCCCTCCTCTCCACATGAGATCCTCCGCCAGGTCTCACTCGGAATGGACGTCTTCACCATCCCCTACCTCACGTTTGCAACAGACTCCGGTCTCGCTCTGACCTACGAGTTTCCCCGCCCAGCAGTCCCGGACTCCTCAAACCCCTCTGTGGAGGGAACATCGCTCCTACCACTCGCCATTGACCTTTTCTCCCCAACCTACTCAACCGCCGTCACCCCACTCATCCCCACCTGCACGTGCTACGCCTGCACATCCCACCACCGCGCTTACATCCAGCACCTCCTCTGCGCAAAAGAGATGCTAGCCTGGACGCTCCTCGCGCTGCACAACCACCACTCCACCTCTACCTTCTTTGCGGCTGTCAGGAAGTCCATCGCCGCTGGTACATTCGAGGCGGATAAGGAGGTGTTTGAGCGGACTTATGAGACTGAGCTCCCCGAAGCCACGGGCCATAAGCCGAGGGCGAGGGGATACCATTTTAAGAGCGGTGCTGCGGAGCCGAAGAGGAATAAGCCGGCTTGGGGGGCGTTGAGTGAGGGGGTGGGTGCGACGACGCAGACGCCGCCGGTGATGCCGGATGAGGATGCGAGGACGTTGGATGAGAAGGGGTTTGCGGAGGATTTGGCTGATAGGCCGGAGTGAGTGGGTTGTGGGAAATAGATGATAGATATTAATATGCGATTCAAGCATGCAAACTTGGCTGAATATGTGTTGCAGTATAGCTGACAATATATTTTGGTAATTGATATTTTATTTTGAACATAATAAATAAAATATAAAATGATTTTAATAGGAGGTTTGAAACTTAATACGGTGGTCTCTCTCTAGTCCACAGTACTCTTGACAAGCGTCGGCAGTAATTATTCCTAGATTTTTTCCCTTGGAGCTTTGAATCCTCCCTATATGTGGAAGGAACGATTACCAAGCAAAGGCTCAGTCGCAGCTTCCTCATATCTTGCAAATGCTGCATATGGAAGGAACGATTACCAAGCAGAACATCGATCGTAACTTCCTAATGAATTTCACCTTCTATATAAGGAAGGAACGATTACTAGCAAGCTTCATCGCAGCTTCCTCAAGACTTCTAGAAGTTATATACGGAAGGAACGATTATCAAGCAAGCTTCATCGCAGCTTCCCCAAGACTTCCTAGTCCTATATATGGAAATAATAGGCTATGTTATTGCTGGTGGCTAGTAATATGCTATTGCTAGCAGCTACCAGTTGTAATCACCTAGTCTTTGTCACAATATACCAGGTGGAAACATGGTAGAGACGTTATTCTGCCGGCTTTACAATTCTACACCGCCCATAGCTGTTTCCACCGCCTTTAACGACACCAAATCAAATCGCGACTCTCGATAATGCCGATAAGCCCTGCCAGCCACAAGACAGGCGGCTGTTGGCGTACATGTCTGCCTGAGACCATTTAGTATAGTTGTAAACTAAAGATATCTGGAATCAAGAATACTACTTCAATAACCAATGATTCGGCTACAAGATAACACAAATAGAAATATATTGTTGTGAAGAACAGCTGTTATTATCCTACATCAAGGTGGTGGTGACTTTCAGATCGCAGATCGCGCCAAACCTGGCCCCGCTCGGTGTCAACCTCAATCGACCGAAGCTACACCATCCAACAGCATCACAACCACATCCAACATCCAAACTGCCATTGAAACCATCACCAACGCTTCCTCCACCCACAACGCACCCGTCCGCATACCCCGTCGCACCACGTCCCCGGCAAGCACCCTTTCCAGTCCCGCTGTGCTACACAGGTCGCGCAGATCGGTTCCCGACTTTCAACCGCAGTCTCCCCGCCACCAACCAGACGTCGAGACGACGACCTGACTTATTACCCAGACCCTAACGCCCGAGAAGACGGAACCGAGAGGCGTTATTGCGCGGATAGATAGCTGGCAACGGACCGGACGTTTATTTCCAGCGAAGTGCAGTATTACAAGTGGCTGGCTTCGCGCAGATTCCCGACTTTCGCATCTGCTACCGCTGAGACACCTTGGACAAACTTTCGGGATCTCACTGGTGTCAATAGGTAACCTTGGCGCGAGGCCGAGTTTCCGAGAGACTGCTATCAATTCGTTGTCCTCGACTCAAACACATAAGGGAATATGGAGGCCTCGGCGCAACCAGTAGCGGATGCGGGCGCGGCGCCGGAGATTCGGAAGCAGAAGAAGAAGAAAGTGCTGTTGATGGGGAAGAGTGGGTCGGGGAAGAGTTCTATGAGGAGTATCATCTTCAGTAACTACGTTGCAAGGGATACGAGGCGGTTGGGGGCGACGATTGATGTCGATTTGAGCCATGTCAAGTTTCTGGGGAACTTGACTTTGAATCTGTGGGATTGCGGAGGGTAATTCAAGTCCTTTGCGTTTGATGAGTGGAAATATTAACATGAAATAGACAAGATGCGTTCATGGAGAACTACCTATCTCAACAGCGTTCGCATGTCTTTTCAAACGTCGGCGTTCTTATATATGTCTTTGACATCGAATCTCGCGACTTCGATCGAGACCTCCTAACCTACCGTTCCATCATCTCCGCCCTGTCACAATTCTCACCTACCTCCTCCGTCTACATTCTCATTCACAAAATGGACCTTGTCGCGCCCGCCCAGCGCGAGGCATCATATAACGACCGGATCGCGGCCATCAGGACGAAGTCCGATGTCTTTGATCCTGTCCCATTCGCGACCTCAATCTGGGATCAATCGCTGTATAAAGCATGGGCTGAGATTATACACGATTTGGTGCCCAACCTCTCCTCAATCGAGCGGCATCTCGCAACCCTCGGCACACTGATCGAGGCCGAAGAAGTGCTTCTCTTCGAGCGCTCGTCCTTCCTCGTAGTTTCCCACTGGTGCTCCTCAATCGGATCATCGAACCCAACTACCGACCGCTTCGAGCGGCTCTCTAACATCATTAAGAACTTCAAGCAATCGACGTCCCGATATACGGGGACACCGAAGTCGGCGGAGCAGTTTGTGCTGTTGGAATTGAAGCTGAGTCGCTTCTGTATGTTTGTGGTCAAGTTCTCTACAAATACATATCTGGCTGTTGTGCTGCCTCCAGGAGAGGAGCGATTTAATGCAGCGCTGGAGAATGCTATGCAGGCTAGGAAGGAGTTTGAGAGTCTAGATAGTCCCGCGAGGAGAGGTCCGGATCGTGGAGTTAGTGGACCGAGCGAATGAATACCTTTTCCATTTTGAATGATCTGGATGGATTTGAGTGGTGGAAAGCAGATAATATATGATTGATACCCGAGAGATTGAAAGCCTAACAAAAGTAAAGACCATTGAACAATTTAAGTGAACTTTCTACCATCTAAATGTGTCTATGTAAATGTTATACAAGTAGAGGGGTTCATAAACGCGAACTGCCAAGGGGTCTCGTGACATTTTATGCACGGACAGAGTTATGCACTAGCTCCCAGGAACCTGGGACCTCAAAATATTTCTGGGCGACGGTACAGCGCACTTGTCCGCGCACCTACGACGACAACCAGCCATGATACCGAGCAGAGGGATACAATGGTCCAGCCGGACCATTGGCATAGGTCGCCGGCGACTGGAAGAAATCTCCATTAGATCCGTAAGCCCCTCCCCCACCCCCAGCCAACTCACCGAGCTCACCCGAACGACACAGTTTTCCTCATCGACCACCCGCAATGCGCGGCTCTCCGCCGCGCCATTCGGCACATTGTCGTCCAAGACAGCAGCTGCGAGACCGCGATTCGTGCAATCGAGCTCGATCCTGACGCAGCTCCCATCGCGGCGCTTCAACTCCTCCAAGGCGGCCGCGACTACCGCAGCAACCACACCCGGAGCTCCCACCACCGAGGCTGTGGCCGGAACGACTAGTGCGTATACCAGCACCTCCCTCGACGACGCAATCGATATCATCACCAGCGCCAAAGACGCCCCGGAACACATTGGTTACCTCAAGTCGCTCGGGCTGGACTACGGTTACGGACCCACCACCTGTGTTGAGTGGTTGCTCGAGCACACACATGTCTACTGCGGCACGCCGTGGTGGGCGTCCGTCGCCTTAACCGCCGTCTTCATCCGTATCGCCTTCTTGAAGTTATACATCGATGCCGCCGACAACGGAGCGCGCATGGCGCGCACCGCACCGCAGACGAAGCCGCTGCATGAGAAGATGCTCAACCACCAGCGCAACAACGACCAAGCGGCGATGATGGCTGTGCGACAGGAGATCTCGGTTATCCATAAGCGTGCGGGAGTTAAGATGTGGAAGTCGATGCTGCCGATGGTGCAGATGTTCACCGGTTACGGGACGTTTGTGCTGCTGCGCGCGATGGCCAAGTTGCCGGTTCCTGGCATGGAGACGGGAGGCATCCTGTGGTTCCAGAATTTGGCGATACCGGATCCATTATTCATTCTTCCTCTTGCCGCGGCGGGTGTGTTGCATGTGGTGCTTAGGGTGCGTTCTTCCTTCTCCATGATACCTGATGCCGATGAATATGTACTGACAGCCCCATAGCAAGGAGGTGAGGCAGGAACATCAACCATGTCCGCCAACACCATGAAGCTCCTCGCCTACGGCTTCCCCGTCCTCTCGTTCGCCTTCACCTTCTGGCTCCCAGCCGCCGTGCAACTCTCCTTCTTCGTCACGGGTCTCTGGTCCGCGGCGCAAGTCACCCTATTCAGGCGGCCCGCAGTCCGTTCTTTCCTCGGAATGCAGCAGATGCCCCCTCCAATCAAGGAAGTGGATCTCAAGAACGCGAGCCCCTACCGCGCCGACATCATAACGGCGCAGCTGATGAAGCAGCGCCAGGAGGCGCCGACGACGAGAGGCATCTTCGCCGCGCTCAACGATACCGTTGAGGGCGCGAAGAAGTCGGCTAGGGAGGGCGTGAAGACCGCCAGGGAGATGGCGGGGCAGCAGGAGGCGCCGGGGAAGAGGACGAAGGCCCAGTTGGCGAAGGCGAAGGAGTATGAGAAGAAGAGGAGGGCGGAGGAGGCTGCCAAGGAGAGGCAGTATAGGGAGTGGAGGAAGGCCCAGAAGGAGGCGGAGAGAGGGGAGTAAAGGGTGCCATCACCGCGATAGGTTGGTGAGTGTGGTGGGGTAGATTGTATTATAGGAGTGATGTGTATGTTGCATTGCATGGGGGGTGCTGTACTTGTATTTAACTTCCATTTCTGTTCGATATGGTGGTGTGTACTTCTGGGATAGTGGTGGTCAAAATGTGTATGGCATAGTCCTTGCTACAATAGAAATTTCATATCAAAATCCTATTTATAGATGCTACCGTCGACCGATGCTCCTTTCTGCAAGGAGAAGACTGGATAAATCCGAGTTCTAGAGGAATTAATCGAGTACTCATTTTGGAGGGCCGCATCGTCATCAACACTGACGCCAATCGAACGTTGCTGGTATGTCTCTCGCGACCCCCGAGCCTCACTGAGGTGACAGAAAAGAGCCAGTGGTGAGAAGTAACGACAGGGAGATATTAACAGTGAGAATATAGTGACAGCAACAACCATCTTCGGCGGTGGCGGCGAATGAACAGAGAAACAAGGTTATAGGCTGAGAGTCTATGTTTGATGTGTGTGAGGAGGGGCTTCGAAGTGACAGAAGAATGCATGGGTGGAATAGACGACGAGTTAGAAGGTCGTGAGGGTTCAAGATGACTGTTGTAACAGCTCAGATTTTATACGTGTTTAGATTCCGGGAAGAAACTTACATATTCGTCGGAAGCCATGTATATCTCACTAGTTTATGTTATGATATTTACGAGCTCCTCTATAGTGGCAGTCTTTGAGATGTCATGTAATATCACCTTTTCCTACCAAATCCACACGCCCATCCCTTGGCCCTCTCACTCCAGGAGGCATAAATACACCCTATTTCCCATATTCCGTATCCTTCAACCTAATTCACACAACAGCTGGTCGAAGTGGAAATGTGCAGGCTATTTTGTTCTATTGATGCAACATCGTACGTCGTGGTGTGTCTCGATATCGGGATCTAGGGAGGGAGTTTGATACCGGTGGGGAGATAGCGACGACGAGAAGACTGCGGTGAGAAGGCTGGGCGAAGCTGAGAAAAGGGGCCGACAGTTAGAGAACCTTGGCAGCAGCAACACCACATATCCAAGCTTTGCCTGTTTCCCGAGGAGCGTCGTGATACCTTTAGCCTCTAGCAGCGCGGGTCAGCTGGAGTGAGTGATGGGAAATGGCGATATTGTCAATTGGCTCAAATCAGTAAAGCGCTGCTAATGGTAGGAATAGTAGTGTTACTATACAGATGTAGCTTTATGGGATGGTATGGCGGTGGTTTGGGGTATTCTGAGCTGATGAGTATATCTTCATCTATTTGCATATTAACGACTTACAAGACCCATCGAAGCAGTCGATACCACAATGGGCACCCGCCATTGAACCCCCTTTGTGTTTACTAAGATCTGACGTATATTGTAAAAATCGCCAGCATCACCGAATTTGAGAAGGAGGATCGTGAGCAGGATGGAAACAAGGATGCAGCGCTCGACGACCAGGAGGATACTAAGGAGGATATACAACCTGCTAGGCCCGAATCCCCAAGCCCGCCACCAAAAGAGGAAGAGAAAGGGGGGGGGATCAATGTTTATAGAATGTACACCATACAAGATGTTCAGGGAATACTGAAAGATTCCAGATATGGCAGAATGCGTGGACTGGGACGGAATCACGAGGGGAAGGACGGAACACGATGTACTGCGACTTAGGTGGCTATGGATAATTAGGGACCTAGGTGCGAGAGAAAAAGAGGGGGGGGGGGTGAGCGAGGGTGAGCGAGGGTGAGTGTGAATATGGTATAAAAGGCACCCTGATGCCATGTCCAGATTTCGCAGTCTACTGTCTACAACATAGCATCGTTCTGTATAAAAACCTAGCTAAACATTGTGCTTTACAGCAATATGGCTGAAAGAATTACTAACCGTAACGCCCGTAGGCGTTACACGCGCTCTCGTCTGTAGCGATATAGAGGTCGTCAGCCATTGTCGTCGCCGTTGCCGTCTGGGTGTGCCACAATAACTCTGGAGGTGCCTGCGAAGCACTTATCGGAGCCACTTATTTGCAGCGGCCAGCCGAATGTCAAGGTCTAGTGACGGGCCGTTTTCGCGGTGATACATAAGGCTAACGCATTACGGCAACATCTCAAAGGTCACTAACAAGCGCATCTTCACTCTGACAGGTCCTCACTCACCAGCGACTTCAAAGTCCTCGAGGTTACATTGCAAGCAGACTACAACTCATTTAGTTACTCGCAGGCATTATTAGCAATTCAATGGCTCTCTGCGCCCTCTGCCAGAAGCTCTCGCCATGGACCATCCCTCACATCAAAGAACCTTTCTCCCGCGACGAGCTTAAAGAATTCGTGACACATCACTTAACATTCACAGCCCTACGACAATCTAGTCTCACTTGTCCATTATGCTCTCTAATCCACACAACAATAGTAGACAGGGGGAAGTACCGTATTAATCCGGGAACCTTGCAAGAAGATTTGCCTATCCAACTTGGTAGTTACAGACATATATTGATCAGCCCAGGAGGACCATCACAACTGTACTCAATCGCGGTCCGATGCGGCGAGTGTTATGGATCTCTTGTTGCACTGGCAAAAGACGGAAGTGAAGCTGCCGTATCTAGAGAGGTTGCAGGACGTTTCCCCTTGAACCCGGACAGCGATGAAGGCTTTGCGATGGTATCCACTTGGTTCAAGGAATGTATAGAAAAGCACCCGCATACTTGCAGATTACCTGGTAATCTTACGGGAACTGAAGTCGCTGAATTCCCAACTCGGGTCTTGGATGTAGGCACAACTGGTGATTTGCAAATTCGACTCATTGACTCGAGAGGCATGAGAGGTCAATATGCAGCACTAAGTCATCGATGGTCTACAAACCCGATAGAACATTTCAAAACAACGAAACCGCTTCTAGACCAGCGAAAGGCGGGTATCAACATTAATGCCATGCCACTCAATTTCCAAGACGCTGTGAAGGTCACACGGAAACTCGGTATCCAGTATCTGTGGATAGATTCACTGTGTATAATACAGGACGATACGGGCGACTGGGAGTGCGAGTCTGCAGTAATGGGCCAAGTTTACAATAACAGCAGTGTCACTATTAGGGCGGCTCCCGAAAGGTCGAGGTCTCCCTCTAAGCAATATAGTGGAGGCTTCCTTTCTAGACCCGCTAGCACTACAGATTCGCCGACAGTCGAGATACCGTATCGAAAACGAAACGGAGAGCTTGCTGGATCGTGGTTTATGCAGCCAGATAAGTATTTCCATATCGGGAACTGGGAGTTGCATACGAGAGGATGGGTGCTGCAAGAGGAGCAGCTAGCTCGAAGATCCATCAGTTATTACGGGGATAAAGTGTCCTGGGTAAGTGTCCCATATGTAACACAATGCTCGTCCAGGGTAGTGTCTCAAACACGGGCTGAGTCCCCCCAAGAACCTATGCACCTAAATTATACTGGTATGAGACTAATAGATCTAAAGATGTGTAAATTATCTACAAGTATGACGAGCGAACCACAGCGTGGTGAAGTCTACAGTCCCGAATATGTCAAAAACGCTGAGAGTATGGAAAACGAAGACTTCAACGGATACTGGCTCGACATAGCATTCATGTATTCCATGCGCCGTCTTACTTTCGAATCCGACAGGTTCCCAGCATTGTCGGGTCTAGCAACCTTCTTCTCTAAGCGGCAGGGTAAACAGTACTACGCCGGCATCTTCAGCGGCGGAATTGCCCATGGTCTCCTATGGTGCGCCGTCACGCCCGGCATTTTATCGCGCCGAAAGATCACCGGTTACGTGGGCCCGTCGTGGAGTTGGATGTCGGTGAATGGACGGATCACGTTTAAAGGGAGAGGCGGCGATGATGAATCCGTAAGCGCTTTGGGAGATGTCACGTTTAAGCTCACACCTCTCGGAATGGACCCTAACGGTACTCTTAAAGATGGGCAGATGCAGCTGACTGGTAATATCAAAAGCGTAACAATGCGCCGGATAACGGCCAAGGGGGATATGACGATGCGCCTTGAAGCTGATTCGAAGGTGGTGGCAAATTTCCAACTTGACTTTGCAGATCAACCCCCTTTGGAGAATGAGATCCAGGAGGTGGAGTGTTTGCTTGTAATGAATGGTAGCGACTGCCCATATAATGTTTTGGTTTTACGCCGAGTTAAGCAAACACTGCACTTTGAGCGGATAGGTATAGCCAGTGTCGACCCAGCATGGTTTGTTGCGGGGAATAGCAGGCACGAATATATAACTGTTGTATAATCACCTCAAAAGGTTATAAGGGACTGGTTTCACAGGGAGAGGTGTATTGTTCGAACTTATTTATAGCCTTTACATAACGTTTGTTGATAACCTTATGGTAAATTTATGGTAACTTTAGTCAGGACTCGGTGGGTGTTTAGAATTTCACAATTCCTTCAACTAGTAGTTGGAAGGCTAAGGGAAGAAACGCGTGTACGCCGCTATAGCAAGTGTGGTAGGGCTAATCACAGTACGTGCACTTGTCAGATTGTGATAGACATGTCTAAGGAAGAGGACTCTGAATAGTTTCAATTGGTTTCTAGTTTTGTGGTAGATACTAAAAAGTTGCGAAGATTCCAATTGTCTTCCCCTCATCACATAGTCTGCTTTCTCCTATGCCTCTTCCAACTATCTGCCAAGGTTGCTATTTGTAGGAGGGATGCATTAGGCAAATCCAATAGCAATGCTAAGGCGTCGGATATATGGGGGGTCACTATAGGATCCAGGGAAAAGTTTTGGGGTTATAATTCTAGTCCATTACTATCTAATGCGGGCCATGAGCACCCTGTAGAACACATGGAAGCTCTTGAATAGTCTTGCGGACAGCGGCGTCTGTTACGCTTATGAGAACAATGGAGTAAATGTAAAAACCTCAAAAGGAGGGTAGAATGGAGGAATAGAAGGCCCAGCTATAAGCGGTTTGAGTGCAAGCTATTAAATACGTCAGATATTTGAAAGAAAATAAAGGCTGATTTATCTTACCTGCCTGTCCGGGTTAAGAGCGTCAGGGGCTACCCACCCCCTGGCCTTGTGAGCAGTCTCTACGCTAATATTTGTTAATACAGTAATGCACAAAGTTCGGGGAGCTGGGCTGTACATGTAGTTATTAGCGCCGTACCCCACCACCGGTGTAATGAACCACTCTAGGTTAATCCTAGGATCGTTGGTAGGAAAGGCGAAAAGGCGGTCGTCGAATCCTCCAATGGGGTTGTTTCGAATAGTCAAGCGATACCTGCCCTCAGTCGCAGGTTGAACATCCCACTAAACGATATTAGAAACAAAAAGCTGGGACATAGATAGCTACTTGCCAAATCAATGTTCCCATTATCAAGGAGAAGGATAGGCTTTGGGTTTATGGAGGTGTCCTCGTTTGGGCTGCGGCCGACGTACCCTCGTTCATCAGAAGCTAGGGATCGAATGGTATAGGGTCCAGGGGCAATCTGAGCCTTGACTGCGGCGAGAGCTGCAAATAGTGGGATGATGCTGCTGATCTTCATTTTGAAGAATGGTTGGGTTGATTGGCTAGTTGTGTTTGCTGTTTGTGTTTGTCTGTATTTGCAATTGTTGATGATGAGAATTTGAAGGGAATCTTCACGATACTTATAGGCGTCCTGTTCTGATACTTGATACCAAAAGATCGATCACGAAAACAAATTGAAGACACTTAAAAGCATGAAGATAATTCTTCGTTGCCAACGCTGACTGCATTTCGTGATTCTTTCCCGTTTGGTTTGTTATGGCCTGAGACATGGGCAAATCTGGCAGTGCCTGAAGCCCGCTCTCAGCTGTTGAGATCGAGGGATATGTGCGACTGTATGACTATTGTTTCAATATATCGGGGTAACTAACAGTTGCACGACCAATCATCTCATAATATATGATTATGATACTATATAACGTTATTTCGGGTTGCACCCGACAAGGCGAGTACGTGTGGAGAAGAGTTCCTATTACTAATGAATATTCCATCCCTTGGGGGACTGAAGAAGGATCCCGAGGGGAAATGTCGAGCAGAGATGCAAGGGGACAGAATAGGTGAAGTAAGGTGATCGGCGAGGGGTTCTCGTGCGACCCAAAAGTCTATGGAGGTCTATCCATAGTGAGAAGAATAACAGATAGTGTGCTTTTATATCTGTTATTAAGGAACATATGGGGTAACCGTGTATTTTACCCCACTGCTACAGCTTCCAACCCTTATATCCACCAACTATGGGCTACAAACGTGCAACTAGCAAAACACATTCTGAAGAAGACATATAAAAGGCAATAGCCAGCTGGAAAAATATACAGTTTTTATCTATCTAGGCTATTGCGAAATTGACACGAGAATGTTGTGTTGCCTCACCCTACTCACCCTCAAGACAGCAAGGGGCATAACTTCCGAGCTATGCCTATTAGCACGATTAAGAGCATCAAGCCTGAATTACAAGCTTATGTATGGCAGAGCGGACGGGATGCCCAATTATCTTAAGTCTATGGTCGTATGTGATTGTTCTTAGGGCATTGCATAGCATAAGGGGTGACGAGAAGACAGAATAAGACAAAACGCCTTTTACAACTAGGAAAGATTAGAAGAAGTGGTGTAATAGAGTGGTAACACGATGCGGGGACGTTGCAATCTTGCCCTACTATAAATAATCCTTCCGGCACCCATTACCGTCTCCCCCCCCTCTCTCTCACTTCCCAACCTATAAAACCGCCAGCCATCACACAATACCTCCCGAAGATAACACAACCAAACATGGGATTAAAAGTGGCGGGGTTGCCCCATCCGCTATCCCCGTCATACGTGCCAGCGTTTCTGACTGTTAGCGATTCAAGGGACGGAGGGTGATGCAGGCAGCCTCGGTCCGTTGTGTGACCCCCGCCACCGACGAGAACCAGACGACGACAACACCCGTGATGGCAACACAAACTAGATCTCACAGCATCCTTAAAGGTTATCGTGTTTTCATTCTTGAAGACGAGTAAGTTTATTCAGTCCCTCCGTTATATCTTTGAGGCCGGCATATGTTCCCGGATTCCCCTGTTTTAGTCTTTTTGATATAGCGGAGTTGGAAAGGATGAGATGGGGGTGAGTGGTGTTGATGGTTGGTTAGTTTTATTCCCATCAAGAGGCGAGGAAAGGGGTTATGCGAGATGGCTTGTAAAAAACCCCGAGATAACCCACGAAACCCCTGAATCCCACCCCCCTTTTCCCACGCAACCCACCAAGCTAGACAACGCCCCCTTTCCCGGCCAAACGACCCAGCAAACGAGACAACCACCCTCCCTCATCCTATATAAACAACAATAACCCCCCTTCCTCCCAGCGGCACAGTAGCGCAGTGGTAGTACCACTGTCTGGACAATCTGGCCAGCAGAGGACAAAAAGGTTATGGATTCGAATTCCGGCGTGGAGACGATGAAACCAAAAGGAGAGAAAGAGCTTGGAAATGAATAATAAGCGATAAAAAGTAAAATCACATAAAAATATAAGTGATTTTCTCCCTCATCAGATCTTGAGAGAGCTGATGAGTCTTTTTGATTTTTTGACATTTGAATCTTTTGAGGGGATTCTTTTTTTTAGTCTAGGGGGGTGAATAATAGGATACCCCTTCCCACCCCCCCTTCATATCCTATATAACTCCCCCCCCTAACAGGCCCCAACAGGAGTATGGACGCTAAAACAGCCTAATAGAGGTATACTGCAGCCGAGGCAGAGTTGATCCCAACCGAAGACCGAGTGGTGGCATCCGCAACAGCCCAGGCCCTCCCCAACATCATGAAAGATAGCGTACCCTAAGACATGACAACTCTCGGCAAGTGGCGAGAACAACACGATGACAGCGAGAATATCAGATGATGACAGGAGTAAACGGCGGCGATGAAATGATGGCAGCAACAACACCCCCTTCCCCTTTCCTCCCCTTTCCCCTTCTTCTTCTTCCCCTTCGCCCTCCGACCACAACACAAAACACAACCCCCGCCGCGGCACAAGCACCTCACAAACATCCCCACAAACACCCCCCGAGCTGGTTAAGAAGAGCGAGCTGGACAGAGCGTGCCTTTTATGTCGTTTGATGGTGTTAGCTGGGCTGGGCTGGGGAGGGGAAGTGGGAATAGACGATGAAAAGGGGCAGGGATGGAAAGGGGAAGGATAAATATTGAAGAAGATAAAATAAGGTTGAGAAACAACACCTTAAATACACGTAAACCACGAACCATCCCATCTACCCCCCTATCCCACCACTCCTTCCATCCGCCCCACGACCAAAATATATATCTATAAACACTATATCCCCCAGCAAAGCATACCTACCTCTCAAGATCAAGTCATCTAAAAGGAAATCCGCGAGGGAATGATGGCATAAACTCTTTTTCTCAACCACCACCACTAACACAAGGCCTGACCCAAGACGAACCACCCTCGATATCGCGGAGGGCGGTGGTGGTGAGAGGTGAGAAACTACACAACGGTGAGAACCCTCCACCAAGAACAACAACAGCACCCCCCGACAGCAGGCCCCCTCGACAAGCACCCCCCCACACCTCGACAGCGCCAGTGCCCTCCCCCCCTCACCCCCACCCACCTAGCTAGGCAAGAACGACGCACTCACACCACACACGACCATAATTGCATTCGGTGACATTATCTCTTCCATGATGGGCTGTTCATTTCTGTCCTAGGGTCGGGGGGGGTGGGTTATATGCATTCTGGGCCTGGAGGTGTGTTAGTAGGGTTTGTGGGAAGAGGATGATATGGGAGGTAGGGTAGTGAGAAAGGGGAATGGAGGTGTAGGAGGAAGACAAGAAACATATAAGATAGGAAATGAAATGGGATTGATAAACGGTCATTCAATACACGCAAACGTGGCAAAAAACGAAGATTACGAACAAGCCACCCAGCCATATCTGCGATACTAAATTACCAGAGCAGTAGCGACGCACTACTACAGCACAAGCTGCGCTCGAGGTGAGGATTCGAATCTAGAGCATATCCAGGCAGCCATAGATGTGAGAAGGGAAGCTGGAAAGCTGCGTGGACTATCTGTTACTGCTGTACGCAGGCGCGGTGAGTGCGTGGTGGGCTGTAGAGGTGGGGGTGGTTGGTGGTGACAGGTGAGAGGCGAGAGATGAGAAAAGAAGTTGGTGAGAAGGAAGATGACGATGACAGGATGGAGGTCGACGACGGTGAGAACCCCACCCAACAGCTACAGCAACAACACTTCGCAGCTGCATCTCAAACCCCACACCCCACCACAGCAGGGCGTGGAAACACATCCAATCCACCCACGCACAGGCGCAACGAGCAGGGTCCCGTGAACTGTGCGAAGTAATATATGTTGCTCTTTGTCTTTTCCTAGCTGGGGGTTGGGGTTGTGTATTTATAGAGAGGGTTTGGGGTCGGATCTTGTGGGGGGTGAGAGAGGAAATGGGGATGGATGAGTAGGGGGGAAGGAGAAGGGGGGGTTATAGGAAGGTAATGGTATCATATACACACACTCATACTACAAAGTAGCAAGAAGCACAGCAAGGAGTTAAAAAAGAAGCCCATATCAACAACTAAACCCACTACTATACACACATCTCCCCCTCTCATCATCTCCCCACCCAACCCCCTTCCAATCCCTCCCCCCCAAGACTCAAAAAACTCCCAGTTCCATCAGCCCCAGCTACAGCACAGCCCAGTCTCAGACCCAACCGCACGAGCACGAAAGCCTTAACGACGCATCTAGAGAGACAAAGAGTGGAAAGGGGGGGGGGAACCCGAAAACGCATAGAAGGCAGAAAGAATAAAGTAGCATGAATAAGATAAAAGACAACTCCCTCCTCCACAAAACAACCCCCCTCATAACATAACCCCCCTCATCAACAACCCAATCCCATCACTTCACATCCAAACCCAACAGAAACTTCCGCACTGTACTGGACTGGACTTAGTTGTGGCGGCGACCGTGGCGGTGCGCGCGCTTCCTCGACGCAGCAGTAACTGTCATTGTCTGCACATCATCCATAACAGTAGTCAACTCCTCAATGACAATAACCTCCACCACGCTCCCACCCTGGGTGATATAGCTAGTCGAGCTAATCTTCTGGTTCGCAGCAAGGACGAGCGTAGGCTTCTCAGTGGTTGCCGGGGGCTCAACATCAGCAACCTTGACGATAGCAGCGTTGTTCTCCTTGAAGATGCCACCTGGTGCCGCGGTGGCAGAGGGGGCGACGGTAGATCCAGCAGAGTGAGAAAGGGTGGGGACAACCACGGTGGAAGCGTCAGCGACGGGAGCAGCGCCCTTGACGACGTAATCCGGGCCAGGGGTGAGCTTCACGCCACCTGGAAGGCTGGGGATAGGTCCCACGAGGTTCTCAGCCGCGAGGACAGAAGCGAGGATTCCAGTAGGCTCCTTGATCAGGCACGTCTGGGCGACGGCATCAGTCTGGATAGTGAACAAGGGGCAGTCCTCGATGCGGCCGGAGAGGTTGGTGCAGGTATCGACAGCGGACTGGAGGAAGTCCTCTTCCCAGCCCATGATGAAATCGCCGTGGTATCCGTAGCCGGTGGGATCACCGTTGGAGAAGACGAACTCGCCGTCCACGCCGTCGAACTCGGCTGTGTTCCATATCGTCTCGTAGAAGAGACCCGGGAGGCGGATGGGGAAGCCCTCGGGGCATGTGCCGTCCATGACGGAGGAGGGGTATGCGACGTGGTCCATCTTGTTGGCGGAGGTGACGTCCTTGCCGTTCCAGCACGAGGGGAACATGAGCTCGGCGCGGATGCCGTCCTTGCAGTTGGCGTCGAGGTAGGCCTTGTCGGGCATGAAGTGGCGGTAGAGGGAGCCCTCGGCGGCCAGGTTGTAGTTGAGGCAGTTGAAGCCGAGGGCTTTTTGGGCGAGGCCCTTTTGGGTGGTTGGGGCGGTCTCGCCGGCCGTGAAGTTGCGCTGGTTGGAGTCGCCTGCGATCATCTCCATGCCGTGGGGGAAGGCGGTGATCTTGGTCTCGCCGGGGGCGTAGTTGAGGAAGTAGTAGCTGAGACGAAAGGTTAGTGGGAGGGTTTGGAGGGGGGAGAAGGGTGACGTACGAAAGCATGCCTCCAACTTGGGTGACGAGCTTGTACTGGCCAGTAGCAGCGTCCTTGAAGTACATGGGAGGAGTCCAGTAGGCGGACTTGTCCTCGGTGACGGCGCACGAGGTGCAGTCGCCAGCGAGGAGATCATCACTGCCAGAGGTGGCGGTGAAGCCTGTGAGTGTTAGCCTTGTGCTGTGGTGATTTGAGGTTGATATAAGATCGGGTTTTGTCGGTGGTCGTGAACAGATGGAAATCGAGTCTTCCTGTTCACCAACCACGACAATGTGATGTCGACTGGCACAGCCAACGATAAGATCAATCCAACATATCACAAACATAAAACATACCGGAAGAACCAAAGATGGTGTGGGCGTGGGCAGACGCAACTCCTGGGTTCACGAGGGGATCGAGACGAGCAAGACCCGAACGACCACGGCACTCCATGCGCCAGAAAGCATCAGCGGAGCCCGCAAGGACCATCGCGGCGATGGCTGGGGTGAACTTCATCTTGAAGGTGGTGAAGTTGTTGTTGTTTGGTTGGTTGTATGTGTGTAAATATCAACAGGTTGAAATTGGTTGAGGTTATATTCGCTTTTTCTTGTCCGTTTCCCTAGAGTAATCGATACTCTCTTCAAATGCACAAAGAATGTCCTGGCTTTTCTATTGCCTAAAAAAACGAGTGTTTTGCGAAGAAGAAGCTGGTTCTTCTCGTAAGGAGCGTCGGTGAGGTATTGAAGAAAGGAGGATGTTGAGTAGACGTCAATCCAAGAGAAAGAATGTAAGAGGAAGCGCTGGGCTGCCTATGGGGTTTGGCGATGATGATCAGAATCAGGATCAAGATGAGCGTGTGGAGGCGAGATAAGCAGTGTTTAGGAGTTTGAGGTGGGGGGGGGTGAATTGTGAAATGGGCAAGGGGGTATAGGTGTAGCTAAGTATCCGCAAGTACCTGAGAGGAACAGGTAAAAATGGTGGGCTATCATAGGCTTAGCTCACAGGGGAAAATAGTGACAAAAGAGTGACAAAAGAGGGACCAAAGGGTTAGACGGGGGCGAATGTAAGGGCCACCGAAACCAGGCAGAGGCGATGGGATGGACGCATTCATCAGCCCGCAAATACCACAAAGAAAACACTGTTTCCGGATTGGAATGCGGATGCGGCCACCATAGATATTTGAAGTCGCAACTGAGGGCTCATTGGATTTTTGCTGCAATCATTCTACGGAACTAAAGGAAGGGTGACAGAAACAGTTAATTGGAGTCCTTGTGATGTTTGCATAGTGAAAAATTGAAAAAGTGCCAGCTTTGCCGCATTGCAAGGAGACCACCAGTTTTGCAAACGTGAGCCTCAATCGCCTAACCACGACTCCGGTGTGGTTTCTTTGTCTCTTTGTTTTCGAGGGGGCCAACGGTGGTGGACAAAGAGAAGAAGGGGACAAAGAGGGACAAAGAGGGACAAAGGAACGGCAGAGGGAGAAGGGAGAGGAGGATAGGGATGGGATGGACCGGGGTGGGGGGAACAAGGGGGGGCGTACACACAAACAAGCTAAGTTTCAAGGCTAAGACTGATTGGGAGATGGACCAATGTTGAGTTGCTGGGTCCTGGCACGGGCTGGTCCATGAGACTATTCAGCATGTAAAGTAGAGTACAAGATGGTGCTCACAGCCAAGTACTGTACATGCAAGAAAAAAACGAGTCCACAAAACTAAACGTGTGTTGGTGTTGGTGAGAGAGACAAGCAAGACTGCAAACTAAACTAAACTTACTCGTTTGCAAGTTGTGGACTCTAGCTGACGACGACGACAAACGGCACGGCATCGGGCGGATTAGTTTTGGTTTCTTTTTCACTCGTCTTTTCTTTGATGTCGGTCCCTTGGCCGCTTCTGTACCACGGTGCCCGGTGACAATAAACGACTGATCGCGGCGACACAATTGACGTGTTAGACGACAAGCGACAGCCAAGCGACAACCAACAAAGGGAACAAAGAAAAACAAAGAAAAAACACTGCCGCCGGACATACAATCGACCGACATACCGACTTACCTTCGTACAGACAGTTCAGTCAGTCAGCGTCATCTGTCTGTCCCTTCCTGCTGTCCTCCCTTCCATGCGTACAAGACAGACAGACAGACAGACAGCCGCAGCAACAGCCACGAGGATGGTAGGTGGCACTGCACCCACTGCACCCACTGCACCCACTGCACCCACTGCACCCACTGCACCCACTGCACCCACTGCACCACAATCCCACAGCACAACCACCGAATCCCACAGCACCACCCACCCAGTCCACGTCTGCCTGTAGTACCACATTCCAGCGCTGTCAGCATCCCACAGCAGCGGGCGAACTGTTGGCACCAGCACCAGCACCAGCTGTGTTGGTCGCACACTGCCAACTGGCCGTGTGGTTGGTACAGCCTGAACTGCCCCCCAGAGCTGAATTGTACTGCCCAGCCCAGTACCGCACATACCAATCTCTCCCATCGTTGATCGTTCATCGTTCATCGCAATCTCCGTCCCCGCGCGTCCTAATCCCCCATTATCCAATATCTCCCCAGCTGTCTCTCCCCGTCACAAATCGCCCGTCACTCCTCCCTCCTACCACTCACCACTGGCTATCCTCTCACCCATCATCATCCACTCTCCCCATCACCCACGCACACACACACAAAGGTACCAGACACCACTTCCCACCATGTACACTTACCTCCCACCGTCCCTGCGCAAGCCTCCCCCTCCCACCCCACCACCAAATCTCCGCCAAGACCCGCCAAGCCCCAACCCTGAAACCCGCTCCACCCCACCCCATCCAATCACCTCCCCCCATCCACAGCCATCCGCCCCGTCTATATCGGTAGAAGGGTCCTGGATTTAAAGCTGGCACGCCGTGGCTGAGAGAGAGCGCGGGTAATCTGCGGTGGTGGAGGAGGGGAGGTGACGATAGTGGCATCTGTCTGGTGGACGTAGTGGTGGTGGCTGATGAGGGCGTCGTCGGAGGGTGGAGAGGGTGACGATGACGGGTGACGATGGCTGCAGGGGTGTGATGCTTGGTGTTTATGGGGGATATTAGAGGGGTTGAGATGAAGGGAGGAGGAGGGAAGAGGAGGGAGGTGTCATGTTTGATGTTCGCGCTGTCTGCCGTAGGCGACTGCGACGGCGTGGGTTGTCATATGCCAAACTGCTTGGGAAACAAAACATGTCGTGCTCTAGTCAGGTACAGTACAGACAGTATGTCACGTGTCAGGGGTTTTGTCGTACGAGCTACTGTAGGGTAGAAGGCTAGTTAGGGAGATGGAAGGAAGGCATGATCAAAACTTCCTTCCTTCCATATTCAGAAGAATGGGATATGGGGATATGAGACCCGAGGAAAGAGCGAACAACACCCGCTCTTTCCGTTCGAGAGGGCTTAGAGGGGAGGGATGATGTGATACACTGAGTCTCTGTGAAGTTTGGTAGAGGAAGAAGGTAGGTAAAGGGAAGTAACTATACATTTTTTATTTGGTCTGGGAGTATCATTCTTTCTTCTCGGTATCACTCTTCTCTGCCATGTCTCACTCCCATTCTCCACCGTTACCATAAACTACGTTTTGCGGGACGCGTGTAGGGTCTTCTTTCTACCTTTTTGGGGGTATTTGGGTGTGCTTGGAAGGTGCTTGGGGGTTCTTGGTTTTCTTTGGGGGGTTCTAGAGGGTGTTCTAGAAGGTCTTGTAAGGCTGGCAGGGCTGATTCTTTGGGTTTGGGGGTGTGGGGAGTGAGAGGACATGACTCTGTCTTTATTGATTACAGTGGAGGATGTGGGTGTTTCTTGGGATGAATGGATGGGAGGGCCTTGCCTGATCAGGCTGGGAGTATTGGATGGGATTACTGGACTGGGGGGGCTGTGGATGACAAACTTCCTTTCTTACTGGTGGGGAATTTGAACTGATGGTTGAGGGTGGTGTACTTCTGAGTTATGGAGGTAGGAAAGTAGGGTTTGTTCCTGGTTCTAACCATTTTGGAAGACATGGTTTTCTGGGTAGGACAGAAGACTTTGTTCCTGTTCTAACCGTTTACAAAAACGTGGTTTCTGGATACAGGCACAGACCGCACCTTCGGGATTCCGGTTACGGCCAAGAAAGTTGGGAAGAAGGCGTGACTATTTTCCCATTTCGAGATGGAGTCGCTAGATGGGAGGTTTTGCTTCTTACTGGTCCGGACTTTTTGTCCGGACCGTTGAGAGGGTGGTGTGGTGTGTGCTTTCTGGTTATGGGAGAAGGCTTTGTTCCTGTTCTAACTGTTTACAAAGACTTAGTTTTCTTGGTTACAGACGGAAGACTTTGTTCTTGTTCTAACTGTTTACGAAGACACAGTTTTCTGGTTAGGACAGAAGACTTTGTTCCTGTTCTAGCCATCTTCGAAAACGTGGTTTTCTGGATACAGGCACAGACCGCCGCACCCTCGGTTTACTGGCCCGGACTTTGTCCGTCTCGTTGAGAGGGTGGTGTGCTTCCTGGTTACCGTCAAAGACTTTGTTTTGATCCTGTTCTAACCTTTTACAAACACTTGGTTTTCTGGTTACAGACGAAACACTTTGTTCCTGTTCTAACCATTTACGAAAACGTGGGTTTCTGGACTTTACCCTCGGCGAGTGCCCGGTTATGGCCAAGAAACCAGGACTCTTTTCCTTTCGAGATGGAATACTGGATGGGGATTGTGGTGGATTGAGAGATGAGGCTTCATACTGGAGAAGGGTTTGTCCTCCTTGTTGAGGGTGGCATGCTTTCTGGTTACGGATAGAGACTTTGTCCCTCTTCTAACTATTTACAAACCCATGGGTTTCTGGTTACGACCAAGATGTCAGTTTACGGTATGGGTTCTTCTTCCTTCTTTCAATGTAGCCAGCCGACGGATGCGAGGCGTTTCTTTTTCACTGGCACAGACTTTGTTGGCCATTGCCGGAGGCCTGGTGTTCTGGTTATAGGCTACGGCCAGGTTTCGAGAGTTGCGAATGGAGGCATGACTCTTTCCATTTTTGATGGAGATTATGGATACAGATCAGGTGGATGAAAGGAGTTTTTTTTCTATGGATAAAGACCGAGTTCCGGATACCTGGGCCAACATCAATTTTTTACCTTCTGGCCGTTGGCGGAAGAATAGTTCTCTGGTTATTGGTTACGGTCAAGAAAGGAAGCACCGAACTCGCGAAGGCATGACTCTCTTTCTCTGAGAATGGAGTCGCTGAATGGGGCTGTCAGCGGATCGGAATGGAGATACCACCCAACAAGAGCATTTCCTCACGGATACAGCGGAGTTCAAGATACCCAGAACTACTTGAAGTTTTTTTCCCCTGCCGAGAGAGACTGCATCCTTGGCGCCTCCAGCGGCATGTTTTTCTCTCTCCCTCCGATGTTCTGGCCATCTACAAGAGTCATGGGCTTTCAATACACACAGTGACTTTGTCCTATCCAAGGTAAGTACATTTTCACCCTCTCTTTTCACCCTCCTCACTCCACCATCTCAACTCGGCAGTTAACCAATCCCATCCCCTTCTATACGATTTCCTTTATTTTTCCTTTGGTTCCTGGAAATTCGAATAAGCTTCCCGTTTTTCCCTCTCGGGCCAGGAACAAGCGTTCCCTTAAAAAAAATCGATACCCCGAAGATACCTCGGGATGTCTCACCCAGGGACTCGGGAATGAATAAGCAAGGTGACGCCTCTCTGCACCCTCCGAGGAAGCCGACTGGTTACTCGGTCTGTATGAATAAGCCATTTCCATTGGGAGAAATTTTCTTGGTTTTTGTGGTTTGGCACTCGTGCCGAGGGGTTTTGGTCGGAGTTAGGGGATTGGGATATTGAAGGGGTTTTTTTTCTACAGGTTGAGATCGAAT